TTTCCCTCCGCAACCGCCGGACGCTGCCTTCCTCGACCGCGACGGGCTTCTCTATCCAAAGTACGAAGTACTAGTACGAGTGATGCAGTGTACTTCGTACTTACACCATTGATCTGGGGATGGGAATGGCAGTCATACGAGATGAATCAATTCTGCTGGGATGTTCATTCCGGACGCCGTTATCCCTTGTCCGGTCCTGCCAGTCTTCCGGGCACGCGGAAAGAGTGACGAGCTTCGAAACAGAAGTCTGCCCTGACAGAAATTCAAGCTATTCTCAATAGACTCTAGCGGGCCCCTCCTCCTCGAAAAGGTTGGCAGAGCACACCCTCGATCTATGGAACGGGGTCGTTATGGATGTCCTTGGTCGAACAACGAAGTGCACTTTGTAGTACACTTGATAGAATGGTTCTGCTGTACTTCGTAAATACGCATTCAATTTCCTATACCCTTGTCTCCTCGATGCAGCTCGGCGCACTCCCGCAACATTGAATGTGCCTGTGGATGAAAAAGTACACTAGTGCAATTTGCTACATAAATACTTCGTACAAGCACACTATTATTCCACAGGATTTCTTGAATCCGCCAATTGGTCTGAGTGAGGATAGAGCCACTCTGACCTGAAAATTGGCGCCGGGCTACCAAGGCTCCGTATCGTCGATCATCACACTTGTGCCGGGTACACCTCTTGCTTTAGGGAAGGTTGGGAAAGGTACTTCCGTAGAAGCAGGTACACTGCTACAGTACGAAGTACGTCTGTAGACACCCAAATTTTGTCAGAAAATTACCACTCATCTCTTCTGTCGGGAATCACAGTTGCATCCAAGGCGACGAGCAACACAACTGGCACGAACTGTGTGGCTAATTACTTCACCGCGAGGTGTCTTCAATTTCGAATAACTTTTTAACATTGGGCTTTGGTACAAGAAATACTACTGCACATGGTTCACCCCTGCCTCTGTCACGGCACCCATCACTTATTCGCAGAAACCCGTGCAAATGATGGTCTCGACATTTCGCTTCCCACTCGAGAACCCAGATCATTGGCGCAACTCTCGACAAGTACAAAGTACTTGTGCACTTTCTTTGGCTTCGTTGACCCCTTCATTACGGCCTTGTGTACGAAGTAGCGCGTGAAGCCTTGATCCCTAATGCTGGCCTGGGTTCATTGATCACCACCCAAGTATGAAGTACGAAGTACTTCATACAAGTGCTTCTCCCCTGTCACCTCCCTTCCCCTCTCCCTGCCTCCTCGCATGGGGCGGCTCTGTCGCTCGCCCCCAGGGACCAGGTCCAGTGAGAATGTTTCTTCCCTCATAAGTCGAGCATTTACATCTCTGGAGGGTTCCTGAAATTCCTTGGGTCCGGTCCCTCGCCTTTACCCTCGTCCAGCTCCCTTGTTTTCTCTTCTCATTTCGTTTTTCCAAGGTACCATGCCTTGAAGAAGAAGTTGCTTCCTCACCCCAATTGGATTGGAACGGTGGATATTAAACAAGACTCGGGTCCAGAAACTTTGTTGGAAGACTTGCTGCTTACGCCGACCCAATTGATTGAACCACACTGCATGCGTGTTTGCGTCGATAGCAAAAGCTGCATTCTTGTCCTGCTTCGTACTCTCCAAGACAAGAACCGACCCCAATTCCGTTGTACCTCTTGGTTTCATCGGCTCATGCCACCCTCTCAACAAGCTCCGCCATCCATTGCGACTATACTTCGCTTCGTACATCGAGTTGCGCGCCGCCAATTGACCGAAGGGCCTGCACGGTCCAACCCTCCTCGACGCTAAGCTTCGAAAAGTCAAGAAAGCCACCCACTCTCCCTACATAATCTCGCTGGTCCCTCCCATGACACTGGCAGCCAAGCTATGGAGGTCGTCCAACCTTCGACACGAAAATGTGCTAGCTACTGAGCACGAAGCCGCGTCCAGCACCACATCCGGTGACGTGACCGCTCTTACGGAATTCCCAACTATTACATCGATTACGAGTCCTCCCGTGTCACTCTCGTCGTGTACGTCGGCAAGGGCGAGGTCTGCGTCCCACTCGGGGTCTGCGCGCAAACGCGCACTCTTCAGGGCCAGGTCTTCCTCCAGTCTGCTCGATGAATTCTTCCGATACCCCGAACGTAGAGCCGTCTGGAAGGGCACCGAAGAGCTAGTACGCCACGAACAAGCCATAAAAATGGAGAGTCGCCAGGTGATGGGGGACCTGGTCGACTTCCTCCGGAACCAGGAGCCGCCACCCGATAATTTCATGTCGATTCCCGAAGAAGGATCCACGGAGAGGGGGAGATGGCAGCGATTAACACCCTTCGTATCTCGCCGGAGCAGGTCCGCACCTAAGAAACCTTCACCCATCCGCCTTCCCGACACCGCTGTCGCTGGCACTACAATCGGAGGCCATCGTCACATCGCAATATCCATCCCCGTCGAGTACTCTCCCTTTGGCCCGAACGTTAGGTCACAGTATCCAGTATATAGCAAGGACGCCGAATATCAATCGGAAGCCGACTCGGTTGTGAGATATACCGATAGCAGAGGCGTCGTGACTGTCCTCCGCACCGTGTCAGAGAACCGAGAGTCCTTCTCCGCCGATGATAACATCACACCTCCCCGCAGATTTTATTCCCCCGTCTCCGTAACCGCAGAACCAACTCCTCGCCAACTCACCAGATCCCAATCCCTAAACGGCCGCGGCAACACCCCTCGCGATTACTACACTGCCAGTTTACCTCCTGCGCCCCCATTACAGTCTGGTAATAACAACAGCAAACCCTGCGACCCGGCCACAATGGAGCAAAGACCAAGCACTGAGGGAATGGTACGACGCAATTCAAGCACCAGAAGTCAGAAGGCTTCCAAGGAAATAGCGCGCCCACCTATATTACCGCCCGTTCCTATTTCAGCATCTGCACCCTCCTCACCACGGGCTCGACAGCCGACCCGCCGATGGAGCATTTTCCCATCCCCGAGCTCTGCCCGGGCTGAGTCAATTGATGGTATTTTATACGGGCAAAGACGCCAGCGTAGCTCTCCTTCTATAGCACAAACGGCGGTTCGATCCGCCCCCCTTTCAGGCCGCACGAGACCGGGCACGTCAAATACCGTCGGGTCAAACGCCAGCGACTCCACGCCAACCAGGCTCAATATCGCCAAGGCGGTGCCCATGATCAAGGTTTCTGGTTCTCCTCGCAACTCAGTTTCGGATTTGAGGGCTCTTGCCGAAAGCACGACCAGTTTCCAGGAGGTCAACGTCATTACGAGCAACCCGCTCGAGTCTGCTCTAGAGACAGGCCCTTTGCCAGCCGAATCTCTTAGTGATTCGAGGCGATCTCGGAGGGAGAAAGTTAGGGAAAAGAAGAGGAGGGACATTCAAGCGTCCAGAGCTTCCCGAGAGATCAGGAGGTTTGAGTTGGAAGATGGCTCGGTCTACCAGAGTTCCTCTCGGGAACACAGCCATACATCCCTTTCTCACCTCGGGAATGATGACTCCGACCTTAATAATGATTCCGATCTTGAATCTCCAGCCCTTGGTCGCTTTCCACCCCGGGGACCATCAATCTCGCCAGTCATCGTTGTCGCTGACGTCAAGCCATCGACGCCTCCCGAGATGCACTCAACTCTTGCGACCACCATGACCACCTCTCCACTCTCGACACGTCCTCAGACGCCCGTTTCCGCCGACGGCTTTACGCCTCCCCACACTCCCCGAGGAAGGTCGCCATCCCGTCGAGGTCCCGGCGATGTTCCACTAGATCGAGTCTCCCTGTCTCGCCGCCGCGAGTGGAGACAGGCTCGTGAGGCTAAAGCCAGGACTATGCATGCACCCAGCCCCGTTTCTCCGACGCGCCTGGCCGCATCTAGCCTAAATATCCCCTCGTTCGCCGAAGAACGAATGCGAGATATGGAACGACGCATGATCCGCCTCGAGCGTAGCGGTGATATGTGGCTTCAAGCCATCGTACCCGTTCTCGACAGTCTCAACCGTACCCTCGTCATAATTCAGGACGAGCGTCGTCTCAGTGGCGTCAATATGACCGAGGTGAAGGAGCCGGCAGAGACGACCTACCCTCGCCTTACGAGACGAAGCACTCTAAATGAGAAGGCCCTCCTCGACCTCAAGCGTATGGAGAAGGGTGAGATCGCGGCTGACGGCGGCCGCAGGGGAAGCGGTCTAGATGCACTGGAGCCTCTAATGAGGGAGCTGCAGGCTGCCTCGCAACCAAACCTCGCCGCGAAGCCCGTGGAAGAGGCGGTAGCTTAGCGAGTTGCCCAACTCACAAGGCAGAGGTGGGGAGAAGGAGAGATGATGAAAATGTCTGGTAATGACCGGGGACCCAAAAAGAAAAAAGAGAGCAACGTCGGGGGAGTGTTTCAAATTATATATACCCGTTTGGTTTGGTTGGGCCCAGCCGGCCCGAAGCGCTCGGCGTACAATGGCGGGATTTTACCAATCGAAGAAAAAAAATTATCGAATCAGCTACATTTTGCCAAGCAGGCTAAATTTTCTTTTCTTTTTATATTTGTACATAGATGACCATCATACCAGAATTCTACTTTGTCCTAATCCGAATTTGTCTCCAACTTTTGCGATGTTTTCGTGTCGTCTTGATGTCATGGAGGTTTAAGCCCTGACGGATCTAAGCTGATCGCGAGCTTCGCTAGTGTGAAGGGATCGGACGTCTTCTTGCCTCGACGGTGACGGGAAAGTCCTAGCGCAAGGGGAATTGGACTTGAGAGATTCAAGGGGAAGAGAAATAGCTGGTATTCATAGTCCACCTCGGACTAGACTCTCTGAAAGGAAGAGAAAGAGAAAAGAAAGATACAAAAAGTAGTTCCGGGGCATTCATTACGAAGGGAATCCTGCCCTTTCCCCCCCGCGTCTAAAAGCTTTGCGCCCAGTAACTTTTAAAACCGACTGACTGCTTTCCCTTTTCTCTTTCGCTGCCTTCACCTACATCTACTAGAAGGGAAAAGAAGAAACAACATGATGAAGGACCCTCTTTTATAGCTCAACCTCCTGGAAGGAAGACCCATCGGGGGAAACGGCTGGCTTTGTCTGCGCCGAGCCATTACCATTCGTCTCCCCATCCTCATCTCCTTCGCTCGAGTCGCCCTCGGCCGATGGGCTCGACACCGCAGGTCGCAGGGCAACCTTCTGAGTATCCTTCTCCTCTACCCTCATCTTCTGCTCGGCCGCGTGAGAAATGGCCTTGGGCTCCTCGGCGGTATCCTCCTCGGAACTGTTATCCGACTCCGACTCGACCGTCGCATTCTTCCCTCGCGCGGCGGCATTCTTCGCCTCGGCTTCTTTTTGCTCTGAAGGATGAGGTACGGGCGGTAGGTCCTTATGCGCGGTCCTCGGAGACTGCACCGACGTGGTAGTCTCGATGGGACCAGGACGCATGGCGTCGAGGTAAAACTTTGTCACGCCTAAAATACGACCGTTCTGCTCGCAGGCGGTAACCCATTCCGGTCTTACGACAGGGATATTCGTCTCCACGGCCTTCTCCCACGCGATGCCCCGTCCCTCGGTAGTGACGAAGTGAGTAGTATCAATACGCACAGTATCCGTCATCTTGGCACCGATCCTCTCAACGGCCTCGACGAGGTTCTCCCGCACGGCAGCAGGCAAGATACCTGTCGTGATGGTAATACCGCTAAGATCCGTCATCTTGTGCGTGCGCACCGTCACCCTGTCCGAGCTATACGTGCCCGCCGTCGTGCGCAGGACGAGATGGAACGTATACTCCGTATCGACAGCGAGACCCGAGATCTTGGTACTATGCATATCGCGCGGGCGCGGGATATTCCCGGCCTTCTGGCCATTACGGTACAGCGCGAGCGATATGAGGTCCGCGGTCGAGAGCTCGATGGGGTCCCACTCGAGCACGACGCTCGTCTGCGTGGCGTTGAGGCAGCGGAGTTGAGGTGGCGACGGTTCGGCGGCGCCGAACGACGAGAGGATGTGGTCTTGGAGGGATTGGAAGGCGAGGTCGGCGGCGCGCTCGGAGGCTGTGTTGCGGGAGACGGCGATGTCGACGATGCTGCCAGAGGAGATGTTGGGTGGGAGGAGGATGGAGGGGAATTCAATCTAAGGGGGTCGCGGGGTTTTAGTATGTTGCGCGATCCGTGGATAGAACTTCAAGGTTTTTGCGGTGCCCGAAAGAGACCTTTGGAGAAGGAGTAGAGACGTACCAGGCGCTTGTCCGGCGTGAGGAGAACCGTCACGCCGGCATCGACCTTGCCAACGGTTAACGAGACGAGCATTCTCGTCGAGATGGTATGAGCTAGGTTTGGAGTCCAGAAGCAGTCGTTATCGCGGACTACGGAATTCGGATAGTACTATTCGTGTATTCAATTGCGGACCAATATACCGATACGATGGACCGCACGTCGTGGAGTCGTGGCGCTCAAGAGCTTCCCTTGGTCGAATCTGGGACTTTTGCGCCAGGAGGTGGTTGGGATCGACACACTGAGCATTGATTGAGAGGTGGTTAATTTAATCTGGATTTATGCATATATCTTCTAGAACGATACTGCTGTTACATCCCGAAATTGACTTGATTCTGAGAGCCTCCGATAACACTCAAGAGCCTACCAAGGAAGTAGGCTCCAGAAGAGATGAGAGTCCTCCCTAACAGTTTAGATTTAGGTTTTAATTAGGTAGGTTATAATGTTGAGCATCTTGAGCTTTACTGAATCTCGTCTTTTTCATGAGCATCTCAAGTGAGAAATTTCTGGACATGACGCATCACCGAGACAGGGTCTCGCTCAGACTGAAAAAGGTAATAATATTAATACGTGATGAACTCGAGAAAAGTCAAGCTATGGTAATTATACATGTAGGTTGGATGGATTCATCTTTGGCCCGCATTCATCGACTGTTTCGCCTCAACACAGCGAACGATTTCTCTCCCAAGCTCCAGGCACTTTGCTGGATCAGAATCCAGAACGGAGATCGTGTCCATGATCTGGACCAAAATACTGCCCGTCAACTCAAAAGCTGGTGGCTTCTCGACGGTCCCGTCCTGGCCCGTCTGCACCTCTGCGATGGTCCCATCCGGCGCCCAACCCTTCTCCGCCATCGCCGCGTGAATCGCCCGCCGTATCTTGCGCCTAGAGTAGTTGCGCATGATGGGCTGCACGGCATACGAGCCTACAATTTGAATCCATAGCGGCTCTCTCAGTTTTTTCTCGTACTTGTAGAGCCAGTACTCCACAAGAACGTCCTCAAAGTTCATGAAGAGATGTACGTGGTAAGTGCGGAAGATTGGACGCGGCGCATACTTGACGAGGATGGAGAGATGGCCCTCGGCCGTGAGGTTGATCTTCTTCATTTCGTAGGGGAAGCCAACATTGTGTTTGGTTGCCCAGGCAGCAACTTTCGGTATGATCGTTCCGCCCTCTTTTGCGGTTTTGTATTTCATACGCGTGGCTTGGGAGACAGGTTTGGATCTTGATGGCCGACCTGGCCTGGGGGTTGAAGGTGAGGCGGTGGAAAGGGGCCTCGCTGCTGAGCTCAAGGAGCGAATGAAGGGCGTTGACCAGCATACCCGACACGTTTGCCCTAGCACTCTGAGGGTCATTGTATGAGTTGAAGTTGGTTCAAGGTAAAATGTGTGGGCCGCATGGCAAGAGTTGGAGAAGTTGAGAGAAGGAAATCGGTATTGAGGGTTAATGGGACTATCAAGTGCCCAATATCATAAGTGACTCGGTGATGAGGAGAGTCTATAAGAGAGAAGACATGCCGGCTGTTCTGAATGGTACTACACCTGACGTTCAAAGTTCTTCAAGATGTTCTTTGTTGGGGCCAAACAATGAGAATGAAGGCGCATCGTCGTTGGACATGTTGAGGACTTGCAATTGTGCATCGAGATGAAGAAATTGCTTACATAAGCCTGAGATTTTCCATTCGAATTGACGCCTTGGAAACCAAGGCTCAAAATAACATCAAATCCCCTGCCACCTCCCACCTCACATCATCAAGTGCAGAGGAGCTCCTTCCCCAGTTACTCAAAAAGGAGCAGTACTAATATACCTGTGTATATAGATCAGAGTCAGGGTAGCTCTGACCGAAACATTAATTACGCATAGCAAGGGAATAAGTAAGTTGTCAATAGCCTGAAATCAGTTCTTACTAGAAGTTGCTGTAAAGCTTAAGCTTCTGGAAGAGCTGATAGATTAATGTTATTTCCATCAGTCAATCGTATTCAACACTAAGAATACACAATATAGGTTGCCATAGAAGGGGAACTGAAGAGGCAGGTGTCATAGAGAGTATCAACAGTCAAATTGTGTTGTCAGACGCATGTCATGTGCAAGAGTGAAGAGGAAGGAGAATCCCCAGAACTAGCGATGTTCACTTAGCTCACTGGAGTATACCTGACGCCATCATTGTACAAAACAGTAAAGTGCTAGGAGATAAGAGGAGCTCCTTCCTCTGGCTCCTTTCTCGGGCTCCTTCCTCAATCTTCCCCATCTCCAGGGGAATTTCCATCACTGCATCAATCAAGGGAAGGTGCTACCGGCGGACCGGAATAGAGCAGCTTTCAGAACAAGGCCGGGAAACTTGGCGTTGGCTAGGAATATTGTACCGGCGCATGTAATGATGGTGGCATGCCCTCTCGAAACACCAAGTTCCCCCATAGCTATCCGGATCAGTCGTGGTTGTTAGGCGGGATGAGACTACTAAATGTGCTCAGCAGCTGGAGCGCCATTATTATGAAACTGCTCTGGACGGCCGCAATTCTATCTTGAATCGGTACGAGTTTTGTGGTCTCCGAAAATGATATCCATTAATAGGATTTGAGCGGTTTGGTATTGTGCTTAAAGGGTTGAAGTCGCTTCGGCACCCAGGCGAACAAGTAGTGACGGAGGCATGGATATTGACCCGTGAGTTTGAGGTACAATGTACTTTGTAAGCCCCGCTTAGCCCACGCTTTGGCTTCGCCTGCTGCCGCCTTGGCGGGCAGTGATGCTGTGACAAGGGAACATTGAAGTTCGCTTCCTCCCGATTCCCGAATGGCTCCATGCCTGGCACCCATCCCACCTCCTTCAACGTCGTCTGTCCCTCCCTTACTCCCCACGATTCTTCTATTCCCATTCCCGGGAGGGGAAAAAAAAAGAAGTAAAATATAAAAAACCAATTATACTCGTATTTCTAAGCTCGGTCTGCTCTCTAATTGCAAATCTCACCAAAGTCACCTCCCAGCTACCCTCAGCCCATCATGGCGGCTGTAATCGATCCTACGAAACCCACCAAATACCCTGTCGTTCTCAGCGATGCCCTCCTAGGCGGAACCGCAAAGGATGTGTTTACGAACGTCCGATGTATGTCTTTCCACTCCCCTTAGCCTTAGAATCCGATGACCTCAAGCGATTGAAAGCGCCGGTTCTAACATTTCCTCCCCTCCAGATAATCACAAGCCGGATCTCTCGTCGGAAACCTCCCCAGAACAAGCCCGTCTGAAGCCCGCCATCGCCGGCTCGACCTCCTCCTACGAGCTCTCCTTCCAAGATGAAGGCGGAAAATACGCCTACGCCGGCACCCGCACCGTCGGCGAGAACCAGTACATTCTGTACTTCGACCCTTCCCGCAAGGTCTTCGTCCTCGACAGGATCGATTCGACCTTCAACATGAACCTGACCCGCACTCCCGACAATTCTGATCCTGACAGCCTGCGCCAGCAGTTCGAGCAGCTCGACACTTCCATTACGGCCGATACTAGCATTGTCGCCAAATCTGCGAAGAAGCCCGCCGCTACGAAAAGCGCTACTACCAAAGCCGCGCCGAAGACTACGAAGAAGGAAGCCGCCCCGAGGCGCAAAGCCCCGCCCAAGAAGAAGAAGGAAGAGCCCAAATCGATAGAACTGTCCCTACCCGAGCCGGCCCCCGAGCCTAAAAAGGAACCCGAGAAGCCTCAGAAGAAGAAGAAGAGGCCGGATCCGGAATCCGAGGAGGACGAGGATGACGATGACGATGGAGGCTTGCTGGTCGAGTATCCCGGTGCCGAGCCGAACCGACAAAACGACTTCTCGCCCGCGTTCCCCGATAATACTTTCCCTCTACGGCGGTTCTCCGAGTTTGCGGAGAAGCTGCGGGAGTCTGGCAACGAAGACTTCGACGAGGAGAGTAACTCCGACAACGAGGACATTGCTCTGAGTGGATTCAAACTTCCTAGTCCGGTCGGGAAGAAAAATAACCACAACTCGGCATATGGGCAGGACGATGAAGATGACGAAGACGACGATGCCATCATGGAGGATGTTAACGTCCCGCGTAATCTCGAGGCTGATCTTGAAGCGGATCTACAAGCGGGGTTGGAGAATGAGTTGGAGGCGCATCTCAAGGCGGGCCTTCAGTCGAATTTGGAGGATGATCTGGCGGCCGAGTTAGAGAACGAGTTGATGCAGGCCAACAGTGGAGGGGATGCTGACTCGGAAAGTGAGGTTAGTGAGGAGGATTAAGCTATGTCTTGTTTTTCGCTTTTCTATTTCTTTTTGCTTCTTCTTCTTTTAGCCCCTACTTGAAGGGGATGATCTTGAGGATATTGTGTGGGCGTTTGCAATCAACCGAGGCGTTTTGGAAGGTTAGCGACCAGGAAAGGATATGTATGTCACGGACAGATACCAGTGTTCTTCACCTTTGGCAAACAGGCTCGGGACAATCAATTTTCTTATGAATTAAATGACGATTCTCTATCTCTATATTTCTCGAGTTTTGAGATCCTTGTAAGTACTGCTGGCGCAGTGGCCATATAACTACTTATAGTTAAGCGACGTTGGCCGCGACACTTGGGGGCATCTTTTTGCTGTAGTTTGGCTCGGCTAATAAGTGTATCGAACGTGATAATCCTAAAGGGGTATATTTTATAGCTCCTCTGTCTATCCGCAGCGAGCAGTAAACGAGTTACAATACATATGAAGGAAAACGCATCATAGCACGGCAGGCTTTGCTTCCCCCGAGCCTCCTCCGGGTATCCGTCTCTGCCCCTTATCGTGGAGGGGAGATTCTTCCTCCGGCGTTCATATTACAGGAGGCTGTTGTTTTGTTAGATCTATATCACCTCCCACCTCGCCAACCGACCAATGCTCTGCCCAGCATTGCGCACAATACACAACATCCCCTCCTTCGAATTACCACTTCTCAGCTCATCGAGGACCTTCGCCACGGCGATTGACCCAACTGCGATGCCCTTCCCTTCGCTCAGCGAGAACGCCCCCGTCGTCACGAACCCGATAAGATCGTCGGCATTGGGAACGAGGGGGTGACCGGCGATATCCGTCTTGTTCGGCGTCGGATGGGGGAATGCTACGGGGCCGGAAACGAGAGACTTTGCGAGGAGACGCTTCCTTGTCTGGAGGTCCGCGTTTGGCGGAATGCGCGGAGCTGAGAGAGCTGCCGGACGGCTCGTTTTCTTCGAGTCGCTGTCGCTTCCAGGGAGGAGAGCAAGCCACTGCTCTCGCAAATTGACGGGAAGACGCTTGTTCTTGCCGCCAGTTACTGGCGCGACCTGAGGCTGTGTCGCCGGGACAATGACGTCGGGGTTTACAGGCTTGGTCGGCGGGCGGGGAGGAAGTCGGTAGATCCTTGCACATGTTGTGGCCACTCCTTTTGTGATGAAAGTTAGGCGGACCTGGACTACAGCCTTCGCTGGCGGCGCTTTGTCTGCGTTCGCTTTCTTCAGCAGAGAACGAAACTCTTCTTTGGAGAGCTGCACAATTCCCTCGAGCCCTGACGTCTTGCTTTCTTCCTCAACAGCAGCTGGCTTGGGGGGACTTCCGTCCACGTCCATAGCATCAACAGCCGAGGCGTCAACCTGGTCTGGCGCTGGAAACAAAAATCCAAAATCGCAGTGTAGTCCGTTGCCAAGCTCGCCCTTCCGACCTGCCCCAAGTTCGATGGACTTCCACTCCGTCCGTTTGCCCTTTGGTCTCCGACCCCAATACGTCTGCCGCTTCTCCCTCTGCTCCAGCTCCCACTGCACACCGGCATTGGTGCCTATAAAATCAGCGGGGAACCATGGCTGGTCACGTTCGAAAGCGACCTGTTGCATCTGATGGAGACCGCCAAACCTGGGATTCCCCCCCGAGTAAAGCGGGTAGTGCACGAGGCTGTACCAGAGCGGTTGTATACACTTCCAGGGCGCCATAAGGGTCCAAGTGCCTTGTGCCTGAGTACCCAAGCCACAGCGCTGGGCCATTAGGATAATAGGAATGGGAGGATCAGCCGAAGTCGCTTTGAGGTAAGCGCCGGGCGTTTTCGAGCTCTTTCTTCGATCAATCGCTTTCTTGGATGGGAGGCAGGATGCGGTATACCTCGCATCTCTGTTCCATAGGTTAAATGGTCGTAGGCCGTCTTCAGCGGGCCAGGTCGCAAGGGAATTTAGTAGTTCGTCGGTCTGGGATTCTGGCAACTCTACGGTACGAGGAGGATACCGCAACCTCGGATCTTGAATAGAGAACCCAAGCACAGAATTTGCCGGGAGCGACGCGGGACTCGTCAGACCAGCCAGTTCTCTGAATAGTTTTCCATGCGACTCTTTGTCTTCCGAAGTTCTCGCGTAAGGTATGAGAATGCCCAATAAGGCCTCGGTAGAAGCCGGTCCTGTAAGTTCGATGCTCCCTATTTCGAAGCGCAAATCCTCAATATACAGTCGTGGGTTCTCCATCTTAGTAAGTCGGAGAAGCTCATTGAACAGCTCAAGGAAAGCTGAAGGGTGTACTCGGAAGAAAACCTGCCGTTGCTTTTTCCTCGGCTTCGCATTCGAAGACACCGGTTCTCCTTGTTCTTCTTGTTTGACTGGGGACTCAGGATTCCATAGAACGGTAACAGGACATATATCTCGACGAGGTTGACTGGGACCACTCTGTCGGCTAAGCAGACCGGCCCATGCCCTCGTGCCCGCTCTCCATTTTCGACCCCTATCGTTCCAGCAGTTGTCTTCAGTGATGCCCAGTCTTCTAAGTACCCTCTCAATGCCAGCCGCATTTCCGTAGAGGCCAATGGTACTCACGTAACTGGCGTCCCAGATCACAGTACCACTTTCGCCCTGAGCACGATGCGTCGGACGATATGTCTTTTCGTTAGGCGTCAAGGGTACAGCAAACCTCCAGAGAGGGTTTTTGGGTTCCGTCATGCGCGCTCGCTTCGCATGCCAGACGTGCGTTGGTAGCCACGTCTTTGTGACTTGGCGTCTTCTAAATTTGGATTTGACGGGGAGAGGTTGGTTCAGGGTATTTCTGCGTAGCTTGGGCCTCGGAGCCCTCGTCGTGATAGTGGTTTTCGGAGACCTTTTCTCATCACTATCGGCATCCATAGTATCCGCATTATTCCCCTTCGCCTTCTCTTTCGCAGCTCTTTCCGCTCTCTTCCTCTTCTTCTCCGCGATCAGACCCAGCTTCTTCGCCATCTCGGCGCGTATCCTCCCCCTCGTCGTCCGTGGCTTCCTCCTCCGCGACACAACTAGAGGCGTATTATCTTCCCTACTCTCCTTGATCGCCTTGGCCCTCAATCTTTTCGGCACCCTCTTCGGATTATGACTCGCCGTCCGCCTCCTCATACCCCGCGGCAGCCTCTGGAACGCGCGGCTGCTACTCGCCTCCTTCGTCCTCCGCATGCTATCCTCCAGCGCGTCGATCTCGAACTGCCGCGCCGCGAGGAACGCCTGCAAGTCAAGTTCTCCATCGTTTCCGAGGGCCTCGTGGGCAGGCTGCGCCGCGATCTGGCGCGCGTCGAGGAACTTGGTGCGCTTGGGAGGGAGTCGTCCATTGCCGGGGCCTTGACTGCTGCCGTTGGGCTTGCGTTTCGTCGTGCTCTGAGACCCGATTACCGGTTTGGGCGCCATGCTGCGGTCATGTGTGGAAAGACGAAGTGGTGTTCTCGGAGGAAGCCGGGAAATAAATTCCTCAGTGGTACAATGCTTGAAGCTTACCTCGTGCTCTTTAGATTCACGAGCTCGAATCTCAAAAAGAGCAGCTTCGAACCAAATTTTGGGGAAAGTTTTGGTGGGGCCACAGTGCAGGCAGTGTTAGATCAGATACCGAAGCAGATAGCACCGTGTACCAACGTACAATCCATTGTAAGACCACAGTGCAATAATACAGAATTCACTGTCCCCATTCAGCGAAGCAACTGCGACCCGTGGATTTGATCTCTTATTCTATCCCAAGAACAGAAAGGCTCAAACCTTGGAATGTGCCAGCTTCCCGCCCACCCAGTACACACCATCATATCATAATGGCTGGAGGACTTGGGTTCCATCTGTGAGCAGCACACACAGTATGAATTTCTTACAAGATAAGTCACGCAGGGTAAGAGCCTTCCCGAACGAGCCCCGAATGTGTGAGAGTTGGGGGAAAGGGAGGGAGACGGAAATATGTCTCTCGGACGGACTCCCGCCTCCGGGGCATGAGATTCATCCATCTCATCGCCGCCCCGGCACATGAGCGTTCTCTCAGGTTATATCTCATCTCCCAGAGCCCCAACTCGCGCATACAGACAGACCCCTTACCTCCCCCTCTTACCCTCTCCCCCAAACGGGGCGCAGAGCGGGATGAAATGCACTCCTTCAAGCGCAAGATCTTTTCGCCAAAGCTAACTCAACTCTCCAACCAGCCTAAGTTTGAGCTGCATCTCAAGGTTCGTCGTATTCCGCCAGGCTTTCTTAGCCTTTTTTTCTACTCTTTTTCCTGCCCCCTAAACATCGTAGCTAACATTAAAATATAAACTTTCAGATCTATGATCTCAACAATGTGCCGCTGGTATCTGGATACTCGTTTATAAAATGGCACATCACCAGCTCCATCCACGCGGAGCACCGCGGGCGCACTCAAAAGTGTCCCATCGCGAATCACCGTGTTGATTACAACTACGCAAAAGTCGTTCCCTCGATTCGCATTGGCATCGACCGAAACGCGAGTCTCGGCGAGTGCTTCATCGAGTTTGAAGTACTTCAAGAGTTCCCCGTCGGCGGCGGCGCAAGAGATGAGCGCATCTTGCTTGGCGTCGTGAGGCTGAATCTGAGCGAGTTCGTTGAGGAAAGCGATGCTATTACGACGAGGAAGCGGAGCGCCAGCTTGAGTGTAGCTAGTTTCGCTACTGCAATGGGTTCCCCGGGCAGTATGGCTCCTCCCCCGCTACCGCGGAGTTCGGGCGCCGATGGTGTGGCTGAGGAGGGCATCATGCGGAGGTATCTCATGCAGGAGAGCAAGATCAACAGTACACTCAAGATTGGGATCCTCATGGTCCAGATCGATGGCGAGAGGAACTATGTCGCTCCGCCCTTAAAGACTGCAGCTGTCTTTGGCGGCATTGCAGGGATTATGGCTGGCGACCAGGCAGAGCAGGACGAGCCGGGCCGTATGTTTCTCCTCTGCCTCTCTCTTTCTCTCTGCTCTCCTCTCCCACTCTCATAAACTACCTCTCCCCGGTTCGTATACTAACCTCAAAAATTAGAAATTGCCAACCTCTCCAAATCCCGCGATGCCGCCGAAGTCCAAGACCTCTACCGCCACGCCCTCACAGCCTCCTGGTGCGCCCAACCCGACGAACACCCCGCCGACGCCGTAATCGAAAACCTCTTCTCAGGCGGCGACGGCTGGAATCTCTCCTCCGCCCGTCTCTCGACCACCAAACCCCTGCCGTCCCCCTTCCCTACCACCCAGGGGCACACGGATGACGACCTAGAATCCAGTGGCAGCCTCTCCGGCGACGAAGGACAGGGCGGCACCATTCGCCCCTCGGACTTCCGGAACGCCCAACGCCGCTTCGCGCACAGGAACCACCACGCGCTTTCGTTGACGAGCCAGAGGAGCTCGCTTACGATCAATTCGATCCGCACGATTCGCCCCGAGAGGCGCGGGGGAGTCCCCGTGGTGTCGAGGACATCGGCGAAGGACGACGATGTGAGGAGGTCGAGGAGCGATAGTTTGACGAGCTTGGCGCCTACGTTGGGGAGTAGTGATCGGGGGATGGATCCGGGGGTGAAGAGGGCGATGGAGATTAGTGAAGCGGAGGCGAGGGATGATCTTGTCGCTTGGAGGTTAGGTGGAATTACGACGATGAGGGCTTAATATTTGGTATTTGGTACATACTTTTCTTCGGCTTATTGGCGTTAGTTGTCTGGTGTTATTACAGGGAGCCATTTATCGATCTACAGAACACTCAATATATGAAAGAATTCGATAATCGTATTAAAAAAGAAATCCGCCTCAGACCAAAGGTTAGCCACCCATGCATCTCTATACGACATTGCTTTTCCAAACCAAGTCTCCGCCACAGGGTAAATGAATAATGGTGGGATTCCGATTGCAACATGCTTCTACCTTTCTTTTACATCAGAACCATGCCTTTGTATCTCTAAACAGACGCCCTATTTTGCCTCGCCTCCCTCCTTTTTTGCCCCTTTCTCTCATCCAGTGTATGGTCATATGAAAAATCGTCGTCGATGCAGCTGTGAGAAAAAAAAAGAAAAGCCTGGAAAACTATAAAAGAGAACCCCGAGCGAGGAGAGCTCGCATAGCCTCCTTCTTTTCGTCCAAACCCATCCTTCTTTTAAGCAGAGGCCTTGATATTACCCCTAACTCCACCCTTCTCACCTACCTCCCTAATCGTCACCGTGGCGCTCAGATCAGCGAGGACGTTTATCGTCACCTCAACCTTGCCGCCCTTCTTAGTGCCCCTGAGCGCGGCCTCGGCAAGGGTAGAGCCGATCTTCCAGATCTTTTCCCTCTGCTCCTCTTCCTCCTCGTCGGAATCCTCATCGGAGTCATCATCTTCGTCATCGGCTTCCTTGGCGGGCTTGGCCTTGGGCTCGGGTTGGGTAACCTTGATGTGGGTGTTGCCCTCGACAACCTTAATGAGGACATCGCCGCCTGCCGCAGGTACAGGGATGGTGATGGTACGGCGGGCGGGGACGGCGGTCTCGGTAGCAATGACAGGAGTAAATACCTCCTCGCCATCAGCACCGATGGTAATGACACCGATGGAGTTAGTAATGTGCTTAACAGTGCTGACCGCGGGGTGAGTCGACTGCTCAATATCATCGAACTCGAATTCCTGGATCAGAGAAGCCTGAAGGGCGGCACCTCGGACGGCAAGCTCGGAGGGGTTGAGAGCGCTCACGCTCGTCGCGGGAGCAAGGATTGTGGTGGACTCGGGGAAGATAGAGGCGAGGTTGTTAGCAATGCGGGGAGTATGGCCAGTGCCGCCAGCCAAGATAACCTCATCAATATCGAGAACATCCAGGCCAGCCTTCTTGACAGCACCCTCGATAAGGCGGTTGAAACCCTCGAAGACCTTGCGCGCTATCATCTCGTACCGTAACCTGTTGATCGTCGCCGCGAAATCATAGCCGTCCGCAAGACTCTCTACACTGAAAGAGGCATTGTTGCTCTTGCTGAGAGCCTTCTTAGTAGCCTCGGACTCCAGCCTCAACTTAGCCAAGCTGCGGGCATTTTCCCTGGGATCGGTGTCGTGCTTCTTAATGAACTCCTTGGCAAAGTGGTCCATGAGAGCCTGATCAAGGTGGACACCGGCGAATTCGTAGTCGTGGACGGCCGCAAGAACGGTGTACATGCCACTCCTGGAGGCGACGACGGTAACATCGGATCGAGTGCCGCCGAGGTCGGCCACCACGATGATCTTATCTTGAACAGTCGCCTCGGGACGCGCGTCGTAGGCAAGAATCGAGGCAACGGGCTCGGAGATGAGCTGGAGGACCTCAAGACCAGCGTCGCCAGCAGCCTTGATGAGGACCTCGCGGGCCTTTTCATTGAAGTTGGTGGGGACGGTGATTACGGCGGAGGTGACGGTCTTGCCAAGGTACTCGGAGGCAGCGGTAACAAGTCTCTTGAGGTATCGCGTAGTAACCTCGGATACGGAAATGGTAGATGGCTCCTCGGAATCCTTGTCCTTGACGGTGAAGGAGACACCGTCCTCGTCCTTAGGGTGGGCGGAAGCATGGCAGTGGGTGGGGTCGATCGACTTGAAGCTATAAAAGGAAATTCAAAATCAGCAAGAGTACGATCACCGGAATTCGAGAAGGAAAGCATAGAATGCGCGAGAAATCCATACTCCTGGCCCAAAAAGTCCTTGAAGTAAGCGATCGTGTTGGGCGCATTCCTCACAAGGAAGTTTTTCGCCTGACCGCCATAGTATTCGTCGCCATCGACATAGGAAAGAACCGTAGGTATTTGACGATCTAAAATACCACATGTTAGCAATAGTCACCACCTCCATGGGAGAATTGGAGCCGGTACTCACCTCCATCCTCGTTTGCGATAACCTCAGCCTTGTCATCAATAGTGACGGCAATCGAGCTGTTCGAGTTGCCCAAAGAGATACCGATCACGGTGCGAGCATCCGGCTCGACACCGAGCGTAACCGCCGATTCAGACATGTGGAATGGTATAATCGACAAACGAGAAGGAGATGTAATCTAGAGGCTAGACCGTGGTGCGTTCGAAGACTTGGAGTTGCCTATTACCCAGAGGGGATGGTGGGGGCCTGTTTATAACAGAAATTCTGTGTCCGATTTTTTTTTTTTCCTGCGAGGGCGAACGAATGTCGTTGCTTTGGCGTGCAACGAGGCAATGCTTGGAAAGTGCCCCCCACCACACTGGAACTAGCCCAACCCCACCAAAAAATCATGCTTACATAACCGTCAAATGCATCAGTGCGACTAGAATATGAATATCTCCCAAAGACAGTTTCGAGCAAGAGAAAGTTGATGCTTCAAGCATTCTACGCTTCGCGCAAATCTACGAGTGTTTCGCCATGGCGGGCAGGCCAGTATTCGTCCTTCCGGGCGACGAAATTGACGCTTCTTTAATACCCACACACCCGAAACAGCCTCTTCGGATCGGACCCGGCCTCCGCCTCGTTCCCCCAAGCGATCTAGTGCCAACAATCGCAGGACCACTACTCACTGACAAGAGGAAGAATTCGATATGGGTTGAACGAAGCTCCGGGCGTGTATGTTGGATCCATTTTGCGCTATATCTGCTAGGAAAATAGACCTCCAGTTCTGATATTGAAACCTCATTAGTACCTCCCCGCTGTTGGCGACCTCGTCATCGGCACTGTTACACGCTCTACCGCCGACTTCTACTACGTTTCCCTCTCCGACTACGCCGCCAACGCTACCCTCCCACAACTATCCTTCGAAATGGCGACCAAAAAGACAAAACCGAACCTCAACGCCGGCGCCCTCGTCTACGCCCGCGTCACCCTCGCCAACAAACACATGGATCCCGAGCTCGAGTGCGTGTCGCAGTCGACGGGCAAGTCAGACGGACTAGGTCCCTTGATCGGAGGCATGGTCTTCAATGTCTCCCTGGGCTTCGCGAGGAGATTGCTTATGCCCAAGGCGGTCGAGGAAGGCAAGGTCGTCGTTCTCGACGAGCTAGGCGGCGCTGGCCTGGCTTTCGAAACCGCCGTGGGTAGGAATGGCAAGGTGTGGGTCAATAGCGAGAGTATCCCTACAATAATCGCCGTAGGCAATGCTCTGATCGAGACGGACCGGAAGAATCTTACTGTAGACCAGCAAAAAAAGCTCGTGCGCAAGCTCATAAATACAAAATGAACGTTGAAAAGACTGTTGCTCGGCCTGAAATTTGACAGCACAAACGATGTAAACAGGTCAAGCATGAGTACCCTAAAAATCTCGCCTTCTATTGCTATTGATACCCAACCGATGCCAAACCCTTTCGTTTATGATGCTAGAAAACTAAGTACGACATTCATGACTGCTCAGCAAAACCTCAATCTCACCGTGAGCCCGAGAAAAATACACCCACGAACTGCCCCTATGAATTCGTGCCCCGTGCCAGGTACGCAGAGAAGTGACACAAGATCGTCTGTACTCCATAGCGACGAGGAAAACGGCCTCCACCAAGGTGCCAGACTAGGAGAGAGTGAGAACCCCCGAATATGGGATTCCCTTTACACGACCATTGGGGGGAAGAAAACTTCCCTCTCGGCAGCAAGGCTTGCCAGCGTGGTGAAATACGTCGATCGGACGCTTTGGATATAAATGCAACTTAGCGACGGCAAGACAGCGCTCCTTTGGTTGCCGCCTAGGTATAAAGAATTGATCAGTCCGTTTGCTAAGTCTCACCCCCGGCTCAGGTACCGGCCATCACCACGTCAACAAACTCGAATTCCTGGTCCGGGAGCGGGTTCTGCCTATGTATGTTCACCATGTGCCTCCGTAGATTATCCTTTCGAGGGAAGGATTTGCCGCCTTGCCGTGAATAAGAGCAGGTTGGCTCGGGGCAATGGTAGCGTCTCGTCTGCTCATGCTTATCATTGATATGGCGGTCAAGATGGGTCTTCGTGCCGAATCTCTTGCCGCATCCAGGTCTTTCGCAGACATGTGGTCGGTCGTGGTACCTCTTGTGGTGACTATAAGGCGGGTTAGCGGGATGGGCAGGGCGGAGAGAGTGATGGTTCCGCAACATACTTCAACTTATGAGGCTGGTCAAACTTCTGGCCACATTTATCGCAAACTAGAATTTGTGGGCTCTGTGGTGAAAGCGGGATGCGAGGATTAGGTGAAGAGCTTTGTTTTATCTCAGGGGTCGTCATGGGCTTTGGCGACGGGCTTGTGTCAGTTATTCGGGTGTCAGGTGTGTTTAATGTTGACGCCCCCGAAGGAGATGGCGCCGGGAATGGGGTGGAATATGTCGAGTGATCCGTGTAGTAGGGGTTTTCGGAGCTGGCGTGTCTTTGGTGAGTATATTGATGAACCTGGCCATCAACTGGCCGCATATAGTCTGGAGCCGTTATTGGAACGTCGGGTTCGGTCTTGATAGTTACGTCAGGTATCCCGTTTGCCACAGTAAACTGAGGCTCGGGGTCTTGCTCTACCCCAGCCGTGTAGCTTGCGTAGTCTTGGCTATGGGAGACATCTTCCAAAATCGGACCGGGTTCTGGTGTCGATTCACTAGATGAGGGAGATGGGGTGCTGATGCCGAGTGGAGCTCTATTGGGTGTGATCGAGGTCTCGACAGGAGGAATAGGATCGGCGGAATAAACATGGTTATGAGAGGGTGCCGACGTCAGGTTCATGAGCTCAGCGTTCGTCAGCCACGACTGCTCTGCCGCCGTCATCGCTCCCATGACTTGCATGGGATTCACTGTGCCCGGAGGGGCGTGTCCGGGAAGTGCAAGCGGAGGTGAAGCAGGTGCCGGGAATTCAATACGGCTAAGATCAACCGCACGGGAAGCTTGCTCCTCGGGGGAGCGAGACAGCTCATTTGGCGGTGGCTCCAGCTCCGTGGGTGACTCGGATAAAGCATGAGCTGCAATCGCAGAATCAGGGAAAGGAGAGGTGGGTCCAACAACTGTTGAAGGAGAGCTGCTACTGCCCCGAGGGCCAGTGACTTTTCTAAACAATGACCCGAGCAATGTACTCGCGCTCATCCGTGTTGGTGACCGTCCTCCCAGGGACGGATGAGAAATTTGAGAATCCCAGGTGGGAGAAGAGGTAAGGCCAAAGGCCTCGGACGGAATGTCGGTGTTATAGTAGCTTCCACTATATCCTCTGCTCTCGCACGAAGCAACCATTCTCGCCATTTCGACATCTATCGGTGATGGCATCGGACCTGCCGACGATGGAGATTCGGCTGGCATACCACCGGGAACTGACGTCGTAGCTGGTGGCATAGGAGCTCTTGCGGTCGAGGCATCGGTGCCGTCAGACGAGGCAAGAGTAAGGTCCTTGGTCGACCGACGGCTAGCAAGTCTGTTATCCATCCGCTGCACGTAGGAGTCCGTCGACATTCGACGGTCAGCTGGCGCGGCCGGAGCTTCAACCATCGCCGGTGCAGCAAAGGTCGCAGGACCTTCGCCGGGGAGTTCATCTGGGTCTGCATGTCGTCTACGTCGTCGATTCCTAAATCGAGCAACGACAGGCCAGAGACAGAGTAATATAAGAAGGGAGCCCAGGATTGTGCCGACTGATACACCAGCTTTTGCACCAGCGGACAAGCCCCTAGGCTCGAGGGGTGAACGGTGGGCGATTGGTGGCATCGTGGATGGTTATCGTCGAGGTCGGGTTATAGAGAGAGGTAATGGTGTTCACGAGAAGTCTTCCGAAGCCAGACTCGAATTGAGACACGCACTCGCAGCCGAGCCGCGATGGTTTAAGGGCGAGGCTGAACGTGGAGCCGCCCTCTGTAGCGTGGCACAGCTCCGTCCCCAAAGGGACTTATGCGAGGGAAACCGCGGAGAGCGGGATAGGGCGATGGCGCTGGACTAAGGTCTAATCGATGAGAGAGTCGGTGGGTAAGATTCTCAGAACAATAGTGACAATTCTACTTGAATTGCCGAATTGTCGTCATTGTTGCAGGCGGCAACAGCGAGATGGAGAGGGCATTATTGCAAAAAAGTCTCGTTGGTTGGTGAAGGTTCGTTAAGTTGGCGGTTGTGGGTGAGGCGGAGTCAGCCGCCTTCAGCAGATGCATCCAAGGTTGTTCAGGGTGCTTTAATTAGCGAGCCAGGACTAAACCCTTTCAGCCTCAGCGGTCTTAGACAGACAGGACAAGACTCAGGCGGCGTGTGGAGTGTGCAAGCCACGGTGTGAGTCCGTCAGGTCTTGCTATTCCTAACATCAGTTGTCCAGGAGGAAAGACGGATTTGGGTGTGGCGGGTGAAGCTGGGCGCCGGCGGCCTCCAACCCAACCTCGCACCATGTGTTTGTTACAGAAGGACTTTTTGTAGCACCTAGAATCATAACATTTTACAAGTATTGTCTTAACACAATATTGATCTCTCGGTCAAGATAATTGCAAGGGTCTGAGAGCACAGACACGACCCCAATCTCCAACCCATCAATGTTTCACTTAAGACCTGCCACCAAGAAACAATTCTCTTAGTACGATTGCAACATGAAGAACACGAAAGAGGTACTACATCATTGATCATTGATCGACGAGAACTACGTAAGTGCTACCATCGGACGCGGCACCTTCTGCATGCTCATCACCCGGCTAGTTTCTTGGTCGAATTTCTGTCCTCACCTCAAGATGGCCTTGATATGACTAGATTCTTATGCGTTTTCGAGAATTGTTCGAAATTATAATAAAGCGTTGTGGCCATTCTAGTTTTCAACGACGGAGAAGGTACCTTAACGTAGTTCCCATCCGCAAAATGGAAATCGTGGACCAAATCATCGGCCGTATCCCCTGTGATAATCTCGACCCCGACCTTGACGATACGAATGGGCCTGCAAATATGCCGCCGTAGAGGAAAGAAAAAGCCCAGACTGATCTACAAATCCGCCTGTTGCTTGGACACCGACTCCCTGTCAGTTTGCTGTCCTGAAAAGCATGACCCCCGACTGTTCTCTCCACCACGGAAATGTCAGCAGGATACTGCCAAACCAGACAAGTCCATCTCTCATCTCTTGATGTTTCGGACAACAGGCCAGTGATCTCAAAGTCCCGGGAGACCTTGCAGTGGATGAGAGTGGTCCAAGGATACAGATCTCTCCGAGGACGAATGGCCGTTTCTCCATCTCAGACAAAGTATGCTGGCAGCCGTCCAATATGATCTAGATGCCGTCTCTCTCTCTCTCTCTCTCTCTCTCTCCCCGAAGCCCATCGAAGTGGGAGCAATTCCTATATATACCCCAGGACTTGCCGATCTCGCCCTTCGAGTTGCTACTGGGCGAGTGGCTCTTTACGCCTTCTACTCTCCATCCCGTCACGGACTTTTAGGTAACATGTAACTATTCGAAGTCTCTCCCGCGAGGACAAACAGTCAAGCGCTACTTTGAGGCTCTTTTATCAGAATTCAGACAAAAATTCAATGTTCAGTTTTGGGAGATTTGCTGCTGCTCTCTTTGGCTCTTTCATCCGGATGTTAGGGAGGAAGGAGCGATGGGAATTGTAAGGGGCACGAAACTTCTAACCAGGGCAACTCCCAAGTTCCTTCCCTCATCGATCCATCAATGATTCTTCTCCTATTCACTTCAACTGGATCAATCAACTGGATCAATTGAGGCATCTCGACAATAGCTAAGGGTAGTCTTCTGAATAGAGGACTTCTTTTGTCCCCTCTGAAAGAAAAGAAAGGGTCTGATCCAGCTCACTTCTTACCTCCCTCCTCCCCTCCTCCACTACTCCACTCCCTGATTCTGACCACCCACTTCAAGTTCAACTTCACTTCACTTCACTTGACAGCACGCCAAACATCACTTACCTCCAGTGACTATTTTCTGGCACCGACCAAGCTTCTGCTTCCAGGCACTATTTATTCTCCCCCATCCCTCAGAGATCTGAGAAACTCAAACCTTCTCCCATCCTCATTTTCTCACCAAGTCTTCTATCAGCCTCTCCTGATCAAGAGATAGCATCACAAGCAACATCAAGAGCATCTCTAGATCAATCCCTTTTATCATCTATCACCTAGTAAGTCTCAGATGTCTTTTGCCCATTGCCTCTCCTCTCCTATTGTTGCTAACCGTCATGTCCAGGCAAAAACTCCTTTATCGGCAGCCAATTGATATCTATCTTTTAAGTCCAAGCCCAGTAAGTTGTGTCTTTGCTTTCATTGACCCCTCCCAGGCCGCGTATATATTTCTGTCCGGGTCGGGATACATATATTTACACTATCTCTCCTGCCACCTCCTCGTGGCACTCCCACATGGGCCGCATGCAGGTATATAGTCTAGTTATATGCGATATTTGATGCTTACTAGTTACGCGTATAGGAATGGCCAACGTGGGATTGCCAGAGAGGATTCCAGATTCTGCAGTGGAGCAGATGACCGCGACGATGGAGAAAGTGAGTAAATTACTCGATCCCAGTCCCCAGACCTAATGTCTCTCCTACAATCGAGACCTCACAGAATAGCATAAATAGCGTGTCTAATGTCTTTTCAGCTCTCCTTCGTCAACGTCCATGAGGGCACGCCCGTTCAGGAGCCAATCGACACCTTCTCCGTTGAAGAGTTCCGGGTGCGCCATGGAGATGGTGCCACGATCGAGATGAGGAACGAGCTCATCACAATCAAGGGCTATAACGAGTCCCGGCGTCTGTTGGCTGCCTGGGTCATTTGCCCTCTCGTGGTCTCGGGCCCGTTTCGCGCCGCGCGCGAGGAGTGGTTGGTCTTTGTCCGGCCGCCTAGTGGAGGAGACACCAGGTTCCCGAAGGTTGGGGACCGGTGTGCTCTTGCCATCGACGAGACGCTTGATCTTGCGGACAAGCGTGTTGGCTCTGGCTTTGTGCCGGCCGAGAGGGTCGACAATCCGATGGAAGGCATTGCACCGACTGCGTACTCGGGGTACGCAGCGTTCAAAGTCTTCCCGACGATTGGGGAGGGTTCGAACGCGAAAGCTCCGGAGGTCCTCAAGGCATGTTCGATTGCCGAGGGGCTCTCCAAGCTGACGCCGGAGTTCCTGAATGACTTCAACTCGGTGAAGGTGATACTCCGATTGGAGTTGAATCTGACCAGCTACCTCGCCGAAATGTCGGCCCTTCATCAGCTGACAGGGGACAAGCGGGAAGGCGCCGACCGAGAGCCGTCTCCGAGCAGTATTGAGGCTTTCAAGTGGATGCTGGATTTCACGAAAAGCCCTGACGCGACGCTGGACCTTTTTTCCATCCTCCCGCACATGAAGCGCCCGGCGACTTCTAGCATCCCTACGAAGCTTGTTAAGATGTTTAACGCGCTGAACCCGGATGCCCGCGCTGCCTATGAAGGTCTTTCGAGTATCCCTGCTAGGCTGCACATGGTGGCTGGTTGTCCCGGTGCGGGGAAAACACACTGGAATCTTCTTGTCGCTGCTATTGCCCTATCGCAGCCTTTCCGAGACACGATGAGCAGTGGAGATACTCGCCGCCGACGGGCCAAGATCCTATACCTCATTGATGTCAACAAGCCGGTTGATGACTCGGCGGACCGGATGCACAATCTATGCAATGAGGTTGGGCTCAAAAGGACAATCATCAGAATGCATGGTTGGCCATACGAAATGCGCCAGAGTACCTTCATCAATGGTGACTCGGGCGATTCTCTCAATATGGCCCTCGATGAGGCTGATTCAGCCCAGACTCGTGGTCCTGACTTCAGCCGGCGGTTTGTCACAATAGCCCAAATTTACAGGGAGGAGGGTGCGTTGCCTGGCGTGGATCCGAAAAAAGCGCCCACATTAGACGAGGCCGCATGGGATCACTTTTACAAGCACAAGAACGACAAGTATCCTGAGCTTGCCGTGTCTCTCGAGAAGCTTTTAGAGGCAGGCGTCCAGTCGCCGAGAGAGGCGCTATCTCTCCGGCGTTGTGTTTACAAACTGTACTCCGACGTGCTCAAAACGGCCGACTTCGTCGCAACCACCCCCGTAGCGGCTTATGGAAACTTCCCGAAGATGTACCACCCCGATGTCGTCTTTCTGGACGAAGCCCCTCACGCGAGAGAGCTAACAAGCCTCATCCCCATCGCGTTCTTCTCCCCCAAGGTGTGGATCTACACTGGGGACTTCCGGCAGACTCGCCCTTTCGTCGCCGGTCTTGCAAACAACGCCCGCGAAGATAGCGAGCTGATCAGAAACCCTTTTTTCAAGCAGTTGACCATTAGCACCATGGAACGCGCCGATCGGGTGGGTGCGCTACGAAATCATCTCTACATTAATCACCGCTCCTACGGTGGCCTTGAGGTCTTGCCCTCCGAGCTATTCTATGCTGGCCGTATGCGCACAGGGATCCCCGCCGATGAACAGTACCCCAAATCCCTTCAACATCTCCGAGATTTCCTCGAAGGGTTCGCTGGTGACGCACAGCAAGGTTAGGAGCCGCGCATGCTCGTTCACCTGATCGGATCCTATGAGAGTTCGCGCTCCAACAGCTTCTACAACGAGTGGCATCAGAACTGGGCAATGAAGCGGGTCAAGGAACTCCTCGCCGACACTGAATTCCGACGAGTCGACAAACCCGATGAGCCCGGCACAATCATGGTAATCGCCCCCTACCGAACCGCTATAAATAACTACCGCTCGCTCGTTCGTGATTTGGGTGAATCGGCCAAGGGAAGAGTGGACGTACGAACGGTCGACACGGCGCAGGGCAATGAGGCGGACGTCGTCATTCTGGACCTTGTTCGCACACGGACGCCCGGCTTCATGGATGATCCACACAGGTTGAACGTCGCGATCACAAGGGCCCGCCAAGCGGAGATTATCCTGATGCATCCGCATATGACCAAGAGAAAGGTGGGGGCAGAGCTAGAGAATACGAAATATCTGCTCAAGATGTGGGAGGAATGTGATCGTCGGGGTCGCCTCATACGCATTAGGCCCTGAAGAGTCGATGGATGGCGGGGTGTGATAACAGGAGACCTCTAGACGATGGTTTACTTAGACGTTTCTCATTCGCCTCATCGATTTCAACCTCCGAACTCCAATGGCCTCAGATCCTCGAAGCGTTCTTGGTAACGGCGCCGAGGAGGAGTGAGTGACGTCCGATTTGCTGGAAGTGTGGAGTGGTGAGGGATACTGGCTTCCTGAGAATCAAGGATAAAAAATAAACTACATCAACAAAGGCCAGCAAACCATCCTCACGATGTACTCCATCAGAGGCGGCAAAATGTCACCACGATTACGAACAGATCGTCCGGCTACTTGGGGTTAGTGTGCGGAGAGAGAAGATTTGCAAGGGTTGAAAGGAGAAGGGAGACGATTAGTTGATAGGTGGTTTCGTTCTTGTTCTATGGACCTGGTTGGAAGGAGAGGGAAGACGAAGAGTCGATTAGATGGTTTCATTCTTGTTCTATGGACCTCATCTTGGCTTGATTGTATGGTATGCCTCTGCAGATTGTTCCTCCACAAAGAAGGGCTTGCCGATGGATGGTAGATTAATAGCCCAATAATGATGAGAGAATAGAATGGAATCATGAGGTTTGAACGCATCCCCAGATTCAGTCTCGTTAGTGTCTGTAGGCCAGGTCTTGGCTGTTCTTGGCCCTGGGGAATGACATGTCACCGTCGTAGTCTAGGTGGTCGAACTGTCATGCCAGGCAATCTCAATCCCCTCACCCCAAACTCTGGCGATACGTGGATAGAATGCAGTGTACGGAGTTAGGACTTGTAGCGTAGTGCCGCTCCCTTTCCGCCGGGACCCTAAGACGGTCCGCAGGAGTGAGCCTGCATCTTCGAGAGTGCGACGGAAATTATGAGGACTCCGGCGAAGAGATGGAGAGAGCCTCGGCGAGGCTTCAATTTCTGCGGATTTCAAGCGCCCCTGTCTCTCCTATTTCCTTTCCACACCCTCTCGTTTTTAAATTCCTGCGGAATTTCGTCGAGGGCACCTTCGCAAAACTGGGAATGAACCGATGTAAGTAGGACGGGACTACGGGCTAGTCGAAAGCCAGCTGGATGATTTGCCGCGGTGACACGGCATCGGTAGTTTTCTTTTTATTCCCGCACGAGCACTTTCCTGGGGCAGGAAGGGGGGTGAGTTGGTAATCTGCTGCTGCTGCTGCTGCTACATACATCACACACAAGGGTAGCTTCGATTTGATGTTCACGACTACACTAGTTCGACTTTAATTCTCGTCGTACGATTTCATCTGGGGTATGTCCCACGGTCAGCTTTGTTGCATCCTTGTATCTTGTTTCGGAGAAAGGGACTCGGGTTTTGAGTGAGGAGGAGGGGGGTGTGTGCGTTCTTTTTCAAAGAGAACGGGGGGGATTGGGGGGCAGGAGGTGACTCTTTGGGTTGGATTTTTGATGATGGTCGCAGATCGCGGGAAGATAAACGGCGGAAGAGGGAAATAGAGAAAGACCGAGATTTCTGTGTGGATATTTTCCTTGTAAGTGGTAGAAACGGGTTCGAGAACACCGAAAAAATGGTGAAAACTCGGCCGGGAAGTGTGGGCTTCCCGAATCCCGACCTTGGGCAGGGCAATCTCCGTGCACCGTTCAAAACATGAAATTTGTGGCCCCCATGTTGTATGCGTATTAGCAGAAGCCCCAGTTTATTCTTCACACCAAGTGGTAACAAGGCAATGAGCTATCGAAGTACATACACTACTGAGTATTGACGTTCTTTTCAAGGGTCCAGGTCCACGGGGGCTAACAAATGTGAGTTTCCTTCTGCCGGGGAACCAATCAGTAGAGACTCCGAGATGGAGTCGGGGCGGGATTGGGAAGGACGAAGAAAAGGTGGAAAAGTGGAAAACATTCGGTGGCTTCCAAGATGTTCCATTGACGTCAACAGGTAGCTTTTTTCAGCAAAAGAACCTTTTTTTCCCTTCGTCTTCGTCTCGCGTTGCCCTACCGTGAGCGGGTCTCGGTATGGATACGGGTATGGGTATGGGTATGGGTATGGGTATGGGTATGGGTTATGGGTTATGGGTTATGGGTAGTCGGCAAACAATAAGAATTGATGCCAAGCGCTTAAACCACCGAACGGGAGTGGACTTCGGATTCGAAAAGGATCCCTAAGAAAAATAACGAATAGGAATAACTGCGAGTATGGAGCAATATGGTAAAGTATCGTACATAGCACACGGACACATCAATTGATCGTCCGAAGCACAACGGCGTTGGAAGCGCGAAGTATTTGCGTACTCCGTACCGTCGGTGAATGTAAACCCCGATGTCCGCCACTGAATCTTATGACCGTGACTGCATCTTATCTCCGTGCCTCCGTCTTTTTGTCTCCGTCCTCAACGTTCTTCGTACTGATACAAGTAACCATCGTGTGCCGTATCCGAGTGCGAGGGGGGGTGGATGGAAAAAAGAAAGCAGGGCTTCTATCAATCTTCTAGCATTCCCTGCGAGCATATTTTGCTCTTTAGTTTACTTCGTACCTACTTTGACTATTTTATGCCAGTGTGGCATCAGGATCGCAACTTAGAGCGTGAATCGGAATAGATTAGTATACATCAATAACACGGAACAGGCCAACCAGCCATCAACATCATCGTGGCGGGGGAGAGAGAGCATTTGACCTTTCCCAAATCTGCAAAAAAGGGCGCAACACGTTGCAGTCAGCGAAAGAAAACGAAGCCACCATCAATGTACTCATGTCCTGAGAGCGAGAGTAAGACGCATCAAAATACCTGTACCCTTGCACGAGGGGTGAGCTTGTTTAAACTTGGCGCGAGGGCAGATTAATGTTCCCGTTTCCCTTCCCACCGGGTCAACCACGAGCAAAGTTTACGCAAACCTTGTGCGTCAAAACGACGCCAGGAGTGGGCTATGTCGCCATTTTGCGAATGCGAAACCAGAGAAAACGAGAAAAAAATAGATGAGACGACGATTGAGAAATCAAATACGTCGAATGCGAAAGAGCGGGGGAGGCGTAGGGGGCACAGAAAAGGGCAGAATCCGCACATTCCCATCACCAAGCTTTTTAGGCAACCGAATTCTCGTGCCGCTGGTTGGAACGGGGGGTCGAATATTAAGCTTGGCTCAGCCGATGCTGGGCGGACAGGGGATTTAACAGCCTGACTGGTGCTCAGGTGTACGCACTTTGGCGCTTTGGGAATGCGAGAAATACGCGTATCTTGCTTGTTTGGTGCGAGCCAAGACGTGTAAAGAGGACACAGGGTCACTTCCAGCAAAGACGTTGCATGGAAGAAGTACGAAGTACTTGTGCACATCAATTAATTGAGATTGAGATTTGAATGTCAAGATGGTTCATCGAATAGCGGCGAACAACAACAATAGACATATCGTGATACAGAAGAAAAAAAAAAAAGTAGAGGGAAATAAAATGAGGAAAATAAAAATCAATTCGAATCATAGCTCCGTTCACATGCGAAAGCCCTAACCAAAATTTCTTCCAGAAACCCCCTTCTTTTTTTTTTTTTTTTTTTTTTTTTTTTTTCTTCGCCTTGGCTTTTTTTCTCGGCTTCTCGAACAAAAGACCTTGACGGACACGGAGTCTTCATAAGGCCGAGGAAATGCCCCGCCTGGCACCGAAGCGGGGACGGAGAAGCCCCATCTGCGAGCGTGCAGGGGAGCGGTCCACCAGAGCGCCAGAGCAGGGGGAGTAGGGGAGCAGGGATCAATGGATTGAACACAATGCCTGTGCTATCCACCGCCTTATCAGGGGGCGAGGGAGAAGGGAAGGGGGGGGCGAGAGGGGGGGCGTGTCTTTAGCTTCGGCCGATGCAGTTCTTCACCACAAGCACTAGGGTAGGTATGCATGTGCGAAGGTTGGTAGAGCTGTTTGAGCCCATGACGAGGAAACATCAAGTATCAACAGATTGATGCCATCTGCCTCGATTGTGATGTCCAACAACCTACATCAGTATTAATCCCGATGCTACCTATGCTACCTATTGAACCTTCCCCCCTTTAGTTCTCGTGATCTGTTGAACGTAGCTCTTCTTGCCGTTGTTTCAATTGACACGTACTTCATACTTGCGGACTCTATATTTCGTCACAGCCTCCTCCTTTCGAGGGGGGGTCCGCAAATTGGCGACAGGGACTGCCAAGATCGCATTCGGGAAGGTAGCCGTCTAATAGTTTATTTGACCATTACCTGACGTCGTCACCAGGTGGCTTGGCTCTTGGTGCAATCCATCAAGTCAAATCCAACATCGTCAAAGGCCTTCGTGTGTCATATCATACGAAGTACGAAGCTCGTCCTCCTGAAAAAACGGCAACCTAGTCCTCAAATCACCGAGGATCCATCCTGTGAGCTGGAAGCTGCAGGGAGATAGATCCAAGCTCCATCTTCATCTCCACCATCTAGCCATCTGCCTCAACCACGGCCGCGGCTCATTCCACCATCTTCGTGTTAACTAGGCCAGAACCAGGCCCCCTTCCCGTCAGGGGCTATTCTGTAGTGTTAGTGAAAAGAAACGAACCAAGAAAAGAACAAACAATAACCGAAAAAAAAGCCTCTGTCCCTGAACAGCTCCACACCTCCGCGGACTCGGCATCGAATAGCTTTCTCCGCCCAATCTTCCATGTAGTGTAGTGTCTGTAGCGTACTATATGTACGCAAAAATGGTCCCGTGTGCGCATGCATTGACCTATCCCAGCTCAACACTACCCGGGAAAAACGTACGGCTTCGAATTGTAACACCACCAAATATGCGACATCGCTCGTCTCTTCTTCAACGCCTTTGGCTGCTGCTAAGTTAGCTCCCGTTTCGACCCATCTTTTTCTCTTACTCCCTGTCTCCATGGAACGGAGATATCTAGGGAGATTGATCCAGGGGGGAAATGGGAAACAAGACAAAAAAAAAAAAAGAACTCAACACCCCCGTTGATCGCATCACGGAAATGTCTCGGCGTGCAGATTCCAAGGTTCGCTGTCCTGTAGTCTGTCATAGTGTAAATCGATCTAAGTGGGGACTCCCGATAAGACCTCAACTGGTTGCTGAAAGAACGGGAAAAAAGAAGAGCGGAAAAAACACAACTAGCTTGGGTTGGCATCGGTGAGCTCCACTTCTCACCATCAGGAAAGAATCTGATCTGAAGAAGGCACCCAGATAGTGTAAAAAGTTTTGGGAAACACACACATGCCATCCTGGCTCAGACACTTGTGAAGACACTTGCAGATTGGGGACGAGTTTTGTAGAGCGTAAATGATTCGCCATCGCTAATATGCTTGCTTTGATATTGAGAGTATCGACGAAAAATCAGAGTGTGGAGGGTGTTGTAGAGAAATCGTGGCCAGGCAAAGCCAAAAACAAGAAGAAAAAAAAGACACCGATAACTCCTCCCATTCTTTCCCATCCAGCACGGTTCCCTGAAATTTCACCCTCCAAAGAGTTCCAGAAAGCCTCCGTAATATACACTGGTAGGTTGTTCTTTCATTCGTCATTAAATCAAGACTCGACTCCTGTCCGCCAACCCGTTTGTTCTATCCCATTTGTGAATGATGATCCGTTGGCCGTAGCCAAAATAATTCCAGGTCCGACTCCGTTAGTGTCAGTCCGGACACCCCCCACTCTCCGCTGCAACGAGATATTGGAAGAGCGAGGATTAGTAGGTGAGAAAGAATATAGCTGTAAAAGTTGGTTTATAAATGCTTCCAAGAGAAATCCAGCAATTTTTATTTTTGCTCTTTTTGGGGTTTTCTTTTTTCTTGTGCGTGATGTTGTCGGTAGATGCTTTCGACTACAACCGCATTTGTTGGCCGTCATCCTCATCGAAACCCGAATACATCATCGGATCCCCCACACCTAACATCACTTCTGGATTAGGACAGGAAACAACATGGGGTCGAAGCCTTCCAAATTCTGATTCAAGCAACCCTTGCGTAAGCATCTGGGCATTGGACATCGCCGCCGGGTGCGAAAGGAAATCGGGCATCATCGACATGGCTGCTTGGGAATCCCACGCTGCTGCAAAGTCCGCCATTGTCGGTGCATCGGGGAATAGGACACCAGCTGCCGCAGATTGATCTGGAACTGGTTCGAAATCATTATATGGGGGAAGGCTCTGGGGCGAGAGGAAAACTTGGCCCGTGGTGGTCGTGCTCGGCGTGGGTCGATGGTCGTCTTCGAGATCGGAATGCTCATGTTCTGATGCGGAGCTGAGGTCTGTTCGACTACTCGTCGGCGTGATGTTTCCCGTTTGTGTCGTCGTAGAAGTCTGCACCTGCCGCTCCTTTTGTTGGGCCTCTAATTGCCTGACAAGCTCTTTGAGATCCCTCTCGTCCTCGGGGAATACTGAGTGTACGGGGAGGTCGATATCGCTATTGGGGCGGATGCAGCCAAGCTTAGATGCGATGTTGTGGACGACGGGAAGTCCTCGATCGTTGAGCTCGGGATCACCAAGTTCCCAGCTCTCTCCGTTGCGAACCATGCCGTAGAGCTTGTGAATGGTAGCTATTAACGCGAACTGCGTGCTCTCAAGGACCTCGGCGTATCTAAAAAAAGGGAAAAGAAAAGGCGTGAGAAAAGATGCGAACTAGCTAGGAAAGGGAACAGCTCGAATTGGCGGGGAGGAAGCATACCCTCGGGGAAGCTGCTTATATTCGACCTTCTTGCGCACGCCGGCAGTACATATAAGGCCGTCATCCTTGCACCTCTTGCAGGGGAACTCGCCATCGCACTACATAGCAATGTGAGCCAGCCAATCCCCCCCAATAGAATACCCAATGCCTTCTGCTTACCTTGGTCTTCTTCATTCTACACCTCTCACATGCCTTCCATACTCGCTTATGCCTGCCATCGGAGGCGGCGGGGGAGTGGGCTTCTAGGTGACTTGTCGCCGCGCTGATGACGCCGTGGGATCCTACACGCTTCGAGGTGCGGCCGGACGATCTTGATGATTTGGACAAGGACTTTCTCGCGGGCTTATGAGTAGCATCCTCCTGGGGAGGAGAGGGGAGATTAAGTTGACCCATTGTGTGTTCTCTGATACGGTCACGGAGGAAGGAAGAATTGAGGCGAAGAGGAAAGGAAAAGAGAGAGAGAAGGAGAGAGAAGCAGAAGAGGATTCTGTCTAACTATATATGAGTGTACACATGTAAAGTGAAGCTGTTGGGAGCCTAAGCAGTAGTCACGACCAGAGAAATCTAGAGAGGTTCGAACAGGTGTAAGTGGGAAGCAGATGAAGTCGAACGTGGGATGGAAGGGAGTATATAAAAATAACCTTGCACGCCGCGGGATTCAGGCACCGGGATTGATAAATATATATATGAGCTCAAGAGCAACAAGGGACTAGCAAATGTGTGTCTGATATGACCGCACCGAGTGGAGCCGGAAGGGGAACATTGGGAACTTGGGAAAAAGAACGAAGGAGGGGTGGCGTGAATGTATTAGGAGGGGCGTGTGGTTTTTGGTACTTGTGGGGACGGGAGTGGGATTGTCATGGCGAGGAAGTCGCGCTAGGGAGAAGGGCGCAACTCCGACCCCGATTAATAATGTTTCGGCGGGCTTACTCGATGGCTCACGATGATGACATGAGTACTTCGTACTTCCTAATAATGAAGGCCCAAGTCTCGACCGTTCCGCTGGGAGGATGGCCAAGCGCGTTTGCACCTGTCCTTTGGAGGGCTTTGGGGGCTTTGTACCGGTACCCACTTTCTGCAGGCCTGGTCATGCCTGGGCAGGCACCGCACTATTTGTTAATTCCGTATATCCCTCGCACTCACTGGACGCTCCTCTGTCCGGTTCGTTAATACCCCGTCCCCGTTTCGCGATCCGCGTACAAGCTTCGCACACCGAAGCGCTGATGGGACGAGGCGCGTCTCATCGAATGTTTGCATTCTGCGGGGAAGACGCCATCGTATCGTCGGAGCTCTATCCCGGATAATGGACCTCACATGGCCCCCCCCCCTTAAAACCAATGGCAATGGCCAAGGGTCAAGCCAAGCCACTATCCAGAGAAACACCCCAGTCCTTCTCCCCGCTGGGAGATGACTGGACTCGCGTCCTTTTTGCGACTCCCGAAGGAGGGCTTGGCCTTGCTTCGAGGATTTGTCACGTTCGATTTAGGGAAAGAATATTTGTAAATCAGTGTACATGGTTTCGGGGTCTAGAGAAGAGGCTGGAGTTGAGGGTATCGCCGTAACGGCGAAGTGTGGCAGTATTCTAGGGTAGGGCGGCGGACGGCGTTAACCACAGAATGCCGATTCTGAGAAGATTGTTTGCGTAGTGGTGGCCGCAGCAACAGTCCCGGTGATTTGATTGACGTTATGGAGGGGGGAGGGTCGCCATCCTCGCATCCTCGCATTCCCGAATATCCTCATCCCATCCTAGCGGCTCGGCATCCGAGAAAAGCGAAGGTACCTACCAACCTCAATTGAGGTACTCGATTAACATGACATGGGGGCGCTCAGGCGCAAAGCTGTGATCATCTTCCATCACCAACGCCGTCATCTACCTGCATATGGAGGTATTCCAGCGTACTTCTAGCCTAGTAAGACTGTCTCGGTACTCTATAATACAACAGCGTGTAATACCCAACCTTGCATTCACAACGGGTACAATTCAAATTCCGGGACAGGCAGTAATAACCGGTTCAGGAAATGCCATACGAAGTACTGTACTTCGTTCACAGGATGCAGATGATCTCTTAAGGCTTAGAAAGAAAATCGCTTGGCGGGTGGTTCCGGGTTCGTGGGGAGGGGGTGGGATGGATCTGAGAGTTGTGCAATGGGAGCAAACCTTGCTGTCCCGGTTCTCACACATTCTGATGAGTTGCAACACTACAATCCTCGCATCTTGCTGCCACCTTGATGTCAATGGAGGGTAGTTGATGACTCCTCTCCGAGACGGGGTTAAGCCGTCAAACTGGCGCAAGGGGGGGTTAGCCTTGTTGCCGGTTTATGTCCGAAAAGAGTCAGCATCGAGAAGGCGTCCACGTGCAGGATGAATTGTAAAAGTCTTCGAAAATTGTTCTGTTTGACTTTTTCGATGATAAGCTCGTAGTGGGGTACTTCCATTGTCCTCAGACAACATCAGGAACATACCCACTCGGACAATATCAGCAACCCAGACGCCCCTTACCAAAGATGCAAAATGGCTGTTTTCCAGCAGTTTGCGGATGTGGGTGGGTAGCAACATAACCCCCAGAGATGATGCCTTTCGGTAGGTCAGCCCGCTCGTATGTCTGATAATGTGGTAGACTGATAGTGGTGGAGTGGTATACATAACTCTCTTACCCAAGGCCAAATGCGAAGTACACGCGCGATTGGGGATTCACGCAGAAGCACGATGAATGATCATGCTTTTGCTTCGGTCATTACAGTTCAGTCGCTGGTGGTAAGTACCGATACAGCGGGTAAGTGTACGAAGTTGGTGTGCTCAGTGTACTACACGACCTGATGCTTTGCGGTCAAGCTTCAAGGTGGTCGTGAGCGGCATCAGAAATTCGGTAAGTGTGGATCCATGGTTATAGCTGGTTTTAGCTTGCCCTCTTCTGGCAATCGATGGAAAGTCTGCAGCAAATCTTCTGCAAGGGTACAAGGCCCATCGGGGAATGGGGCTCAATATGACCCCGATGGACCGCCGAGCGGCGGATCTGCGAAAAGTTAAGGGCTTTTCCCTTATCCAAAAGGGCAAAAACCGAGCGAGGGTACATGCACTACGAGAGTAGAAACAAAAAGAAAAAGGGGTGGGTTATTATGATCCAGGGTTTTTGGGTGCCCGAAAAAAGAATCATATGTGCAGAGCCTATTGGGCATCCTGGAGATTACCTTCGAGAGCACAAGCTCATGGCTTACGTGTGTTTTTGGCTCGGGGGCCGACGTGGACGGCAAAAGGACCACAGGGGAAGGCGTAAATGAGGCTGCCGGAGCGGCTTTGTCGTACGAATTAGGTATTTTGCAAGGGTTGCTCTTCGAGATGCTTGGATTCCACATCATGTTTCCACGAACATCAAATGAGGGCTTTGGTATCTGAGTAGGGTGGGTGGGTAGGGGATGGTATCACAATGTGAGTGTATCGATACGTTTGAGCTTGAGGGTACACTCCAGGGACCAGGACTGGGTCCAGCCAGGTGGACCTGGTGGTGCGGAGGAAGCCGGAAAATTGGGCCCGCGTCCGAGTGGGATCGAATCTGAGGCGATACGGGATTCGCGTTAGACCAAATCCCGACTCAATTCCATCCACCATTGGATGACACTCTGGTGGATCGTGATGGAGGGAGGGTCCACAACTTCATAGTATGGATCATCGATCACTGATGTGTGTCATCAATCAATCAGTCGTTACAATTCTAGCGTCGTGTAGACTGGTGTGTATTGGATGAGGACCGCTCTTGCTCAGGAAGGACAATTGAGCGGCTCTGATACGCAAAACTGCGTCAATGATGGAATTGCTCCCCGCTGCCATGCATGGGGACCACGGGTTATTCTTCGGAGACATACCTACAACCCGAGCGGCTTCACGAGCAGGCACATGTCTCCGACGTCGTCAAATGACCCTGATGGAACTCGGGCCCCTTCTCCATTGACGTAGCCGTCAATGTTGCTCAGGGATGAGAGGGACTACAGGACATCAACCATAAACTTAGCGTCCTCACTCCCCTTCCTTGAACGGCTTTACTGCAATAGAAACATGGATCAATGATGGAAGAGTCGCCGTTACAATGTAGGTTACAATGTACATTTCGTGTTAGCGGAAGCAATTCCCCTCACGATCATCAGCAATGGAAGCTGTCTATGCATCATGGTGCAGGACGAGAGCATTGTGACTATGCAGAGAGCTCTCCAATAAGACGGCGATTCGGTATTATCAGAGCATTTGGCGGGGAAAAAAAAAAAAAAAAGGTCTGTGTGATTGCGTCCGCTGCCCGCGGAGGCGAAAGTTTTCCTGCCCCTGTTCCCGCAGCTAATGTCCCATTGCTGGAGCCCTGTGGTGTGGGTCGGGGACCGGAGGAGACTCGGACAAGAACGGGCGCCCGAATCGGACTCGGCCGGGTAATCGGGATCTTTTGGCGCTTGTTGAATCCCGCGTGACTCTTGGATATTCGGAAATGCGATATTTATTTTCCTGTTTTGTGAGCTGCGATTTAATCAAAAAGAAATGCGGGAACTTGAGTCGCAAAAAATCGGCGATTCGATCGAGGCCGTAGATCGGCGAGAAGAACGAAGCTCTAAAACAAGGGTCCCCGTGGTGCGCCATAGGTTCGCGCAAAACGGGTTCGCTCCATCCCACCAGGAGGGAGGAGGAGGGAACTTGGAGGGGAGCGGGCAGCCACACTCGGGCGGAAGAAGTCAAACTAGACTCTCGTGCATTGACATGAGGCCACAAATGCGTCACTTGGCGCTGGGGTAAATGGTCAGTTAACTGCAAAAGAACATCGAAGCTTGGCCCCGACCCTGGGGTCGCTGAAGGGTCTCGCCTTCTTCACGATAAACAGTTTTCTTTCTAGATACCGCCGAGGTATCGAATTTTTTTTCACTTCGTATTTTAATCGACACCGATAGCCTGGACATGGTCTCTTTCTTGTGCATGAGACAGAAGGAAATTTTGCAGAAAAATTCGAGACACGATGATGTCACCAGCGGGTCCGCCTGGGTTTGGCTTTTCCCTTTCTTGCCTACGCTAGCAAACTCTGATATGATAGCCTCAGGCCAGAGAAGAAGAGTTATGAGGCGGTTTTGTTCTTTTTCTTCCTTTTCTTCCTTTTCTTCTATTGGGTTTTTGTGCACGCCCTTGACCCTTGGGAACATTGAACTATCTTGGCAAGATGAGCAATTCCAATTGCCTGATTGATAAGCAAGGTTTTGCGATGTTGCATCTTTTCAGCCTGGGATGAGCCAGATGCGGACGATGAACGAACCGTTCATGGGGTTAGAGAAGGATTAAAGTACAGTGACAGAACAATTGGTCAGTCGGTTCCCCATGATTTGTCAGTATCGGCACAGAATTCAATGTCGATGTCGTGAATACAGAACATTGAATGACTGGATCGGGCCAATTGATTCTTTAAACTCCGTGAGGGTTACCTCGTTCGGTATATGTGCGATGTGCTATTGTGCGTTATCGTGTTCTGTTATGACCCAAAATGGCCTGGCGAGAGCAGATTTCATCAGAGGCTTATGATATGAAGGGACAGGCATCTATGATCCATGATTCCATGACATTGGATCAATGTTGATCAATTTCATTTGAAATCGCAGCGCTTGCTTCTCCATTTGTCAGCCTCAGGTTCAACTCATGGTGGGTTATGTCCGGATGCATTGTGGGCTTCGTCTTAACTTCGTCCTGTCCTTCACGGTGAGGGAGCAGCGATGGCGACACTATCTCCGCATGCCCTGGACACACCCTATATTAAGGCTGGAGTGGATTGTATTGTTGGTTATCCCAAGTACAAGCTCATGCCGTATATTTACCTGGACCCCCACCCAACAGGAGTCGACAGCACATGCATTCATGAACTGACCGGAGCGTACTTCGTACTTCGTCCGACTCGAGAATCCACAGCAATGATCTCACCTGGATCAATTAATGGCCCTGCAGTGTAATACTGCTCGTGGACCATGAAGCATTAGGGCCGACAAGCGGGCGCGAGTGCGGCTCCGGGTGCGGACGTGGCGTGGGAGTTCGTGTCTGGCGTGTGTTATGCGTGAGCTCAAGCTCAAGGTTTCTGTGTGCTCCCCACGTGTCTATCTTGGCCCGGCAAGTGGCGGTTTTCTCGATGGATCCTCTTGTCCCGGAACAGCCCTATGAAAACGAAATCCGGTCGATGAGCCTGATGGTGGGTCGTGGTCGGCTCCAAAAAGCCGTGTAGGCTGACGTCTCTGCTGAGATTGTTATTATTTCTGCGCTTGGAGCATTTATCATTATTATTTGAGCCGTCTTAATGGGCAACGATCTACCGCGTGCTACCGAGGTAGCTCGTGAGGTGATAGGCAAACCCCTTCAAGATATCTCAATTGGAAAGGGTGCGGGATTCAGCTTCTCGAGTTAGGCTCGGGTGCTCCTAGTTCTGGCATCATGATGAATGTTTATTCCCATTTTCCTTCCTGATTGAATCGATGGTTGACTCACCAGTGATTCACATCATTGTGCGGATACCAAAAAGATGGGCCTTGAATATCAAATGGGGGCGGCAAGAGTCAAGTGCCACCACCCGCAGTCCACGCGAGCTTTCAAGGTTTAAAGCTGGGTGAGATCTGAGACGAAGGCCCGTCTCCGTCCGACTACCGACCAGGCCAGACTGCTCGGCTCCGGGGCGGGCTGCCGTCCAAACCTACAACAAGGAGGGCATTGCATCTTGGTTAAAATCTTCGAAAACACCCTGTAGCCCCCGCCATCCATTTCTCCATCATCTCGTCTTTTGTCAGTTCGAACGCGCCCATCATCTGGCAGCAGAAACTCGGCAATGTTGGGAAAGGACTGGTCTGACCACCGCCTAAAACTTAGCTCGGCCTGGCCTGGGCAACGGCTTTCAGAGCTGCTGATCTGTCTCGCTGGCACTTGGCAAGTCGGCGGCCTTGACTTCGGGCTTTAACTGCCCTACGATCTGCAGCTAAGAGCTAATGACATGGACAGCTCTTCCTGACATCGGCCCAAGCGCAGTTTAGGACCTCTCAAGAGGCGCCGCCACACAAACGCTTGAATGGTCGAAATCCCGATGTCGACTCGAGAACCTCCAACCTCCTCCGTTCTGCTCATTGGACGCTAAACGACCAGCCACGCGATTTGACATCAGGATTTTTCTGACATCTTTTCGCTTCGACAAGGGAGAAGGCTTGATGGAGCAATGGGAGGAAGAGGGGGAAGCTCTCAGGTGCTACTTGCACCAAGGTCAGCCGCTAAAGCATTGGAAAGGTGCCATCGCTTTATCTTCGTCTCCTCATCCCAACCTCCATCATTTTACGAGGGATTCATTGCATTGCAAGATCACGAAATGACGCGTGGCTCATCCCAGCTCTGGTCCAACGAAAAGAAGATGTTCGAGATGCAAACTGTCGATTATTACAATTTGGCCTTGCATTGCAGAATAAGACTCGCTTTGTAGAGTGCTTGGAGAACCGCCAAGACGCCGTAACACCAAATCAATTCGCGAGGTGTCACGAAGCAGCATGAAGACTGTAGCGACCATCAGCCTTAATCGTACTTGTAGTGCATTAGCTTCCCAGCCCTACCAACCTGAGGCCGAGTTCCAAGGTCCATCAAACGGGCAATCCCAAGCCCGGTTCCATGCCCTTGTCGCATTAATGTGTAACATGGTGAAGCGAGGGGGGTTTCTGGGTGCCTGAGTCCCTGGTGAGGAGGACTGAAATTTCCCCTCACTCTCGATGAAAATACGGAGTGTTCTTACCCCGCCCTTCTCTTCTCCCCCCCCCCCCCCCCCCCCCCCCCCCCCCTCTCTTCCCTCAATTCAATCACCCCAACACAAGCAGCAATGTCTTTGAACGTCGACGAAGGACGTCGTCGAGGACGCTCAAAGTCCCCAGGCCGCTACGTGGCTGAGGATCGCGAGGAATCTCATCGCGAGCGCGAGCGCGACCGTGAACGCGAGCGACCAATGTACGATACACGTGAGTCGAGCTACGCTTACGCCGAGGATGACCTAGACGACTATCCTCGCCGTCGTAGGGACGATAGGGACGATAGGGACAGAGGTAATGACTACCGATCCCCCACAAGTCCGCGTCAGTCGTCGGGTGCTTTGCCGTACCCGCCGCCGTCCGGTCGCGGTGGTGTCCCTTATCCCGGCGATTCTTCGAGCGCCCTCGCCATGCCGGGTGCATTCGACTTCAAGGACGACAAGCCGCAGCGATCCGACTATCGTACCGTGTCTCCTCCACCTGACTCAGCCTACCGTAGCTCCAAGGAGAAGGTGGACGCTGGCCGTGATTCTCGAGTACGGTATTCTTATTATCGTGACGATGAGAGGTCTTCTCCTCGTCCAGAGAAGAAGGGCCGAGAATTCGGCGCTGATGATATATTGTCCAAGTTCCTCCCGCAGAAGTATAGGCCCGTTGAGAAGAAGAGCGAGCCGCCGCAGCGACGTCGAAGAGATGACTCCGACTCCGATTCCGACGACGAGTCCGACGACACTGACGTCGACGACCGCCGCCGTCGTCCTGCTGAAGACTATGACAAGTACGGCCGTCGCCGAAAGGAAAGCGATGCCGACGAACGGCGACACCGTTTCCAATTGCGAGGACCGTCTCCTCCCTCGAATAAAGCCCAGAAGAAGGCTGAAATCGAAGAAGGACTTGCCTATGGGAAAATGGCCGGGGAAGAGTTGTCGCTGCGTGACACCATTCGCCAATCAACCCAAGCATTCACTAGAAAGGAGCAGGACTTGCTGTCTAAGTATGGCTATTCTGGCCACGATTCCGGATACCCACCGGAGAAGAAAACTGCCAGGTTTGAGCGCGACCATGAGCGGGAGCGGGAGCGGGACAAGGACCCTCGACGGTCCTCGTCCAATGTCCTAACTGTCGACCAGGCAGACAGGCGGCGCGACAGGTCTCCTGCGCCGCCGACCAACAAGATGTCGTCTCTGTCGGTAAACACAGGACACCATTCGTTCAACATGTCTCTTGCTGCAGCGCCTCCGTCGCCGCTTCTCGAGTCATACCATGGAACCTACCAATCGTGCTCCCCCATGCCGTCTCCGCTGATGCTCCCTCAACATGACGGGAACGCCATTATTGATGTGGCTCCTTTGAGTCCCGATGGCGATGATGCAAGGATCAACCGTAGAGCTCGTTTCCACGTGCCCGAGGTCGTGGCTGAGAAGATGGCCAATGCACTCAAGGGCGACCGAAGGGCTCCCGACACTGACGTCCTCATCCAGATCCTGCCGGGCCTCAGCCACGAGGAGGTGATGGAGCTCCGCGCCCAGTACAAGGCCCTCGTCAAGGCCGGAACGGAACGCAAGGGCGTCAACGTGGCGAAGCACATCCGATCGCGCCTCAGGGACGAGGATCCTAACCTCATGAAGGCGTGCTACGCCACGGCTCTGGGTCAGTGGGAGAGCGAGGCTTACTGGGCAAACTATTGGTACCAGGGCGATAAGACCAGGCGCGAGCTGCTGATCGAGTCGCTCATGGGCAGGACCAACACGGAAATTCGGTTGATCAAGGATGGATTCCACGATAAGAAGTACGGCGATAGCTTGACTAGGTGCATGAAGACGGAGCTCAGGGAAGATAAGTTCAAGAAGGCGGTGTTGCTTGCGCTTGGCGAGGAGCGCATGGAGGATGTGGACTCGTATGGCCGGCCTCTTGAGGTGAACATGAAGTTGGTTGACCAGGACGTCGAGGATTTACGACATGCTGTGAAGTCTGAGAAGGGTGGCGAGACCCTCATGATTTCGATTGTGGTTCTGAGAAGCGATGCGCACTTGAGGGAGGTACTCAGGGAGTACTCGCACCATTATAAGTCTAACTTTGCCCGCGACGCACTCAAGAAGAGCACTAACCTAGTGGTAAGTTTAATCTACTGACACCAAATCGACAATTTCTAACCCGCCACTAACAACAACTCTCTCTCCGTTCAGGGCGAAGTGCTCGCCCACATCCTAAACGGAGTCATCAACAAGCCCGTCCGCGACGCCCTCCTCCTCCACCACGCCCTCACAGCCTCCCGCAAAGACGACCTCCGCCGCGAGCTCCTCACCTCGCGCCTCGTGCGCTACCACTGGGATCGCCGGCACATGGAGGCCGTCAAGCGCGCCTACCACCAGCGCTACGGGCGCGAGCTGCAGGACGCCATCAAGGACGCTACGAGCGGCCAGTGGGGCTTGTTCTGTCGCGAGCTGTGCATCACGCGCATGCCGAACGACGTTAGGCGCGTGGAGAGGCTGACGGTTGAGGGGCCTGAGAGGGGTAAGTCGCGGGAGAGGTCGAGTACGCTGGATGTTGCAAAGCCGGAGAGGGGCAAATCGAGGGAGAGGTCTAGGGAGAGGTCGAGTACTTTGGAGGTCTCGAGGCCGGAGCGGGGGAAGTCGAGAGAGAGGTCGAGGGATAGGCGTCGGGATAGAGATTAGATTATGACGTGGAAGTGAGCAAAGGGGGCAGAGGTTGGATGTGTGTATACACGATGCACATTGCATATGCGTGAAGTGAACCCAGATATATGATGTGGTTTGCTACGCATTATATTTTCCTTATTTTCGAGAATCGAACCTGTTGTTTTTCACTGGGAAGGACCGTGGATGCAGTGCACTCCTGATGTGATATCTATCTTGGATTTGCCATCTGGCACTGAGTTGGGTGGAACGACATGGCTTACAAGTGGTGGGATGTGCCCGTCCGTGGTAAGGATAGAAACATTGTAAAGACTCTTGCTACCTTGGCGAAGCTATCCAGATGCTGCTGGGAGCCACACCCCCAGAGAATGGGCAGATAACAATGTCCCTGAATAGCCTCTCTCCATTCTCGAGGCTATGAAGGCCATGCTGGATAGGGGGAATATGGTGTGATGCCCATCCCATCAGCATCTAAGTAGTCCTTGGTCCGTAGCGGTTCTCTGCGTTAGGCTCATTTCTTGGACACCGTCCAGCAGTCTTCTCGCCCCCATCGGCCCTTACAATGGGATACAATAACAGGAACTGATGTTATCAAGAATTTTCTTGATGATACTAAGGCCCGCACGGCATCCAAGGCGTTCTCTAGGACACCGAAACGCCAACCAACTTCACTTCAGTTCGGGAGACGAGCTATCTGGCGAAGAAGCAGCTCTACTAATTGTGTATTCGGTGAGATGTGGGCGAAGGGACTAGATTGTGAGGGAGGACGACACCTGCTGTCGGCAACAAAGACTTCTGCCGGCGCTCCAATGCGTTATCTACCAACGACATCATTCCACGAGCTCTCTGCTCCGCGAGATGTAGAATCTCTTCTAGCTGTGGGATGGCTCGGCTAGACCGATAGACTGGTAGCTTCCTTGCTCTGAACTCGTCCGATTCGGGCCTTGCAAGATAGATCAAATGGCGAAAGAGCACGGTCTCCCAGCTTTTCTCATTCAAACGCCTACTTCAACAAACCACCGCACCTCTCTTTCAACAAGGTAATCACCGAGAACCACACCCATCGCAGTGGTTCCGTCTCGCTACGCCGATATGCGCATCCGCCTCCAGGACAAATAGAAGTAGGTGTCTATTTTTGCTGGCTATAACAGGGGAAACCGGGAATTCTGCATGAGGACTGCTGGTTACATATCAATGCCCATTCAATGAAATGGGCAGCAGCTGTAGACTAGCTGTCGCCAATCTTGGAGTATCCGCTCCTGGGCTTCGAAAGTGGTGAGTTGCTCGTCATTCCAAAAACCTTTTTTTAAGGTTTTAAGCTTCTTACATGAAGAGATCGACGGATGTCTTCATTTATCTTCCATGCGACGTGACGCAGTGAGCCACAGAGGGCCCTTCCAGGAACGGAGATGATCCTCGCCTCGCATCAAGCTGTGTTGCCGTCCGAACTTTTTATGGGGTTATTATGGATGCTCATGCCATGGTGCATCAATTCATTAATGGAGAAGCTTAAAAGTAGCTCTTTGATCGGCCTCTGCCTTTCAAAGACTCCGCATGTGCATCATTAAAAGTCGAAGCCGGTCTCCATACGAAGCAGGGCAGGAGTCTCCTTTTCGCGTGCCAAACAGGAACTCGAGAACACCAGCCTCCTCCTCGTATGAGGAGCAAGCGTTTACAAGCACGCAAAATAAGAGCTTCAGATGACAAGAAGGTGCCAATTGTCCAATGGCACGATCGCAGAACCAAATCAGCCATCACAATTTGGCTGCAGCAATGGTGGCGGCGCCAGACCAATGACACCGGCAGTCATGATGTAAAAATTGTTTTTGTGGTGTGGTTCTTCCGGGACTCGGGAGAAGAGCTCAGAGCGAGGGAGGGGAAGCAATTTGAACGCTCAGGCAATGCAGAGCCCTCCCCTCGGCCCCCTTCTCTACGAGGTACGAGGTATTACGAGTCGACGAGGGACACTTGGAGGCGTTGTTGTCCTGTCAGAGCACTTGGGGAGGGTATTACGAAGTACGAGGTAAGCTTAACGATGGGATTCTGAGATTAATTTCCGTCTTGACGGGTGGGCGTTTAATAAAACCGTGGCTTGTAGGGCTGATGGTTAATCTGAGAGGAGAAAGCTTTGCGGCACGAAGACAGGCTTAACCCGGAAACATATCTCGGACAATATCGTGGGAGAGGAGGATTGAAGAAGGAGACGGCAAGGCGAGACATGAGTCTGAATGATGGATCCAGGTCTGAGTCCCTCTGCGGATAACGCCTGTAGCATCAAGATGCAAACAAATGTCCAAGGTGAAGGTCAAAAGGGTGCCAAAGATCTACGTCTACACAGGTATTGCCGGCTTCGTTTAGTTTACGAAGCAAATGACGTGCCTTCCACCTCTTGAGTTATTTCTGGAAGCGAAGCAAGGAAAAATAGACTACTAATACTGGAAGCTGGCATCTTGACCCATCTCTCTCGTATTCCATGTTCCGCCTTCTGGACATCGGGCAGCGAAGCTGAACCTGGACCAGACACGATCCTAGCTAGCGTCCATGAACTAAGGCTAGGATCAAGCTGGAGTCACACCATCGGCAAGCCAACTGAGGCGCCAATCATAGCAGTCTTGTCCCCTTGTAATGTGAATAAGAAGGCCTGATATTGGGCACACTACTTAGTAATGCGAGGATGGATCAATTTTCGTTTGACGGGATCCAGAAACAAGAAGCGTTTGCTCACGCTTACGACGTACGAATGATGATGACCGCACCGTTTCCTAAGGGCTGCCGGTAGAATACGCTCCCTGGTTGTCTCGGGGTGATATCGAAGTGATGGGCTTTGCCGTTTGGTCGGAGACTTCAACTGTGAACTAACCACCCTTTCGGGTCCCAAGGAGCAGATTGAAGACTTCAATGTTGACAACATCTCTGCAAGCGCCGTAAGAGGATGCCTCGACAAAAGTGAGAAAAAAGCCGTGCAGTACCTGCGGAAAGGGGGGGTTCCAAAAGCGTACATTATTCTCGAAATTAATTCGAGTGAACGGGGCAACTCAGCTAGGAAAATATTGTCGCACTATTTAGCGCAGGATCAAATTGCCCCCCTCGACCCCGACGTTGGTGGCCTTTGCCGATTCGCCGAGCGCTGACAATGGACAGGGCAAGGGGAACAGGGCCGTGGTCCACCCTTTAATGCGTTAGCCATAGGGCTTCGTGAATGCTACATACAAAGTACTTTGTCGTGTGAAGGTACACAGCTTGAGGTCTCCTTAAACGATATTGATTCTTCGAGTGGACCACACCTGGCCATGTACTTCGTAAGTCATCTGGGTCACAACAGTTTGAAATTTGAATGTTCCGCTCCACCACATCAACAAGATCACTCTTTACTTTCTGGGTGCCTGAATCCGAACATCTGGGTCTTCCTCTTCGCTTCGATCGCATCAATTGATTTCCCCCTCAATTTCGCCCCGCCTTCATTCGACTCCAAAGTGCCGAGAGACTCACTTTATCTTCGTTTGATGCTTTTCCTATGCCGATCACAGGTATCCATTCCACCTCTCTACAAGAGGCGCCTGTATCAATGTCTTCCTCTCGCAAGTGAAAGGAACTGCAATTACAAATTTGCGTGGGATTTACTACTTCGTAATATAACCGCTTCTTGCTTCGAGGGCAGTGTAGCATTATCACCATGTCTGCGTGGCTGGATCCTCCAGACCACAATTTCGCGTGGGCTGGGCGTATCGCGCCATCGGTACAATCGACTGTTGACCTGACCGTTTTAGGAGACCTTCGCGACGAGGTTAGACTGGGAAAAGAATGGAAGAGTGAAGTGCTGACTTCGTTTCCTCGTCCTTCGTACGCTACGAAGTATAGAGTAAGAACCGACATGGGTCAGTCCCCACTCTTTTCGTCCAAACTCGCAATTAGTGTCAAAGTCCTCAACCTGGTTGACCCCTGACGGATGCACAAAGCATTTCCTTTATGCACTGGGCCTCTAAGGTAATGACGGTCGAAGCGACTTGACCGCTCTGTGACGTGACCTGACCCGCAGCTAAAATCTCGAGTTTCTTGGCTCAGGCAACCTGCAAGCCGTCTCGTATCCTTCTCCCCCGCCGGAGATTCCAACCCATTCCCTTCTCTTCTCCACAGCACCGTTGAGTCAGAGTGAGACGGATAAGAAGAATGAGGAAATATTTATGAGTTGGCAGACATCGAAGAGTGCAGTACGAAGTGGTAGTTCATACGACCGTGACGATTGTTGCATGTATGCCGTAAAGCTGGCGAGTAAAACATGAGAGACGAGAAAAAGAGAGGGCGAGAAGTGAAGAAGCTTCGCGATGGCTTCAATCCTCCGTTCTGGGACGTGGTAAGCGTACCATTGCAGGGTTGCTCGCATTCAATGATTCTACTCATGGGTACGAGCGTCCACTCAAAGTACCTCGCCGTGGTCGCCGCGCACAAAGAATACTTCAGGGCTAATTTAGGCGAGGACCTTTGGACGGTGGTACAAGTCGGTAGGAAAAGTGTCAAAACTCTGTGGCACCGTTCCCACTGCCCAGGAAAACACTTTCCGCTCCTCCGCAAATAAGCTCCCAAATCTCTTCTTCTCCCTGTCACCATTAGGGGGGGATGCCGTCAAACACGCCACGAAATTTCGGGGTATTGGGGCAGAGAGGACGCATCAATCTTCTTGCTTGTGTTCCCTTCCCCCCTGGATTGGGTGGGACGCTTTTCTTCCACTTCATACGAAGTCTCCATAACAGAAGTAACTGTTTGTTGGTTGTGCTGGGTTACTTGCAGTGGGTCCTCAACTTGGTAAGCCATTGGCGATGGATCAATGTTAATGTTGACGCTCGACGAGATGGGCAGGTCCTATTTGGTGGTTGGCTCCAATCAAATCTCTTTCATCTCCTTTGCCAACAATGCATGGAATAGAGTGTGGAGGAGGAACAAATTCCGCCCAGGGCATTGTCTCACGGCACACCACAGGGTTCAGGTACCAGATTCACCACGTGCTGTCAAGCGTCCCCAAAAAGCAACAGGAACGCACACAATCTTCGGTTTTCTTTATTCCCTCTCTGAGACACGATGGGTCGCCCCAGGTTTTAGAATACTCGCCCAGTAAAGTCTCGTAATAAACTTCGCTTGAATGGTGTCAGCGAGACAGCTTCGTACTCCGTACTTCGCGAAATAAGAATAGAAGGCATCAATCGCTAGCCTAGCTCAACCCACCTCTGTCCGGAGTCCACGTTGCGAACCAGCATCGACGCATTGAAGCGATACGAAATCAGCGATTTCCTAATTGGATGGCTTGGCAGCCCTCCCTGCCTAAATATTAAATATTGACAGGGTCCTGTGAGGAAATGGCCAGGTCAAAGAGGAGGGCGAGAAAGGAGGGGCAGAACCAGAACCAGACGGAACGACTGCGCCAGGAACAGAGCCCCTGGTGGCTGCTTGACGGTACCATTTATGCCCTATTTGGTGAAGGTACCGAGAGGGTACAAGGTCAAGTCACTTCAAAATGGGTGATTGTCAGGCACCCGAGGCATGCACCCCGACCACAGCGGTAATGTCCATTTGTACCTGACGAGTAGAGTTGGTGTGACTTGGTGTCTTGGAGCCGCGTCCCCCGCAGGCAGCCTTCATGCTGTGGATGCAAATGACCTGAAGGATGGTACCCTCGAGGTACAAACAAAACGAACCATAGCTTGCGACCCTGGTTTTTTTTTCTCCCCTTTTTTAGCAAGGCGCCACCAGATGAGCAAGGATATCACCCTCTTGACACCATGCAGATGTTCCGACAAACCCAGCCGTTTTCTCGCGTCGCCCTCTCATTAAACGTACTTGTACCTCACTGGTCAAGGGAAGCCACTCTTATCATGCCCACTTATTCTTCCTTAGCGTCCCCTAGTGTCGTACAGGGCATTTCCTTTTGTCTTGGTAGTACCATGGAGCTGTAAATCTGGTGGAGAGGTACCTGGACACTCGGACGGGGACCTCAGCAGCCAATGCAGCCCAGGACCACATCCCACTGGCTCTGGGGCCTGGTTCCCCCGGCGCGATGTGAGCTTTGGGTCTCGTATTGCGCCTTTGCCTGGCGCCCTCGGAAGGCGGAAGTGGACGACGGGGCCAAAGGGGGGGATGCATGGATGGAGAGCCCGTCGCCTCCTGGTTCGCAAGTTCAGCCCAGTTGGGAACGGGGCATGGGGTAGAGTGTGCGGGAGTATAATACCACTCCAACGCCAGTCCTCAAGCCATTCTCACCTGTCTTTTGGTCTCCTTTCTTCTCTCACTCCAACTCTGATAATCCCATCCCGGAGCCGAACGGTCCCATCTTGTGTGATCGTGCAAACATCTTGTTTGCGTCCTTTCGTTGAAAGCAACCTCTGGATACCTAATTCGACCTTAGCACATCCGATTCCGATCGTTTAGTTAATACCAGAGCTATAATTAATAATTGTCTAAAAAAGAAGAAAATACACCAATTTCGAGATGCGGTCCACCGATATTGCTGCGGCTCTCGCAGCCCTGGGGCCCGTTGCCGCCACTAACGCCCCCGCGATCAACCTCAACTGGGGACAGAACGAGAACGCCCGAAGGCTCGCCAACATCTGCGACAGTGATGCTCGTCCCGACATCATCACCCTCTCCGGCGCCTGCGTTGATCCTACTGCCAGGCCCTCGATCGACTGCCGTGAGGTCCTAGCCGATGCCGCGAAGTGCCAGGCCAAGGGCACCAAGATCCTCGTCAAGATCACTCCCGGTACTGAGGGATTGGTTAACACCTTCGTCAAGACGTTCCCTACCGTCGACGGTTTTGACCTGACCATCGACAGGACTCTCGGTAAGGCAAAGCAAGCACATGGGGGAATAAAAAAGACGTGAGTGTTCTTTTTACTGACACACCTTTACAGAGAACCAGGAGGTCGTTGCCAACGCGGCCGCGAGGTTCCGTGCTGCCGCCAGCAAGCCCATCTTCCTTGCCGCCTCTCCCGAGTGTGCCGCCTCGTACGAGCATGTCACTAAGTCTGAGGCTCTGGACTCGGGTCTCTTCGATGCCATCTTCCTCGAGTTCAACGGCGATGCTTCGTGCCCCACCATCTCCGGTGCCAATACCTGGGATGTCGTCAACTACCAGGTCTGGGAGGACTACCTCTCCAGCGCCGAGTACAAGAACAAGGACACCAAGCTCTTCCTTGGTCTTAGCGGTGCTGAGGCCGGCGCCAACAAGCTCATTGAGGAGATCTTGAACGACAAGGACTTCACCCACTTCGGTGGTGTTTCCATGTGGGAGACCGACTCGGCCGACCTCGACTCCAGCCGATACAACGCCGGCGTCCGTGAGGAGCTCAAGAAGCGAACCATCCGCAAGGTTGTCCGCTCCCCCGCGCCCGTAGCTGCCCAGCGCCCTCCTGCGTACATCTTCCGACGTGACGCCCCTGTCGCTTACGTCCCTGTCGTCGCCCGCCACCTCCTTGCCCGTGCCGAGGAGGCCTGCGAGGGCGGTGTCTCGTCCACTGTCAGCTCGACTGCTTCTAGCACCTCGGCTTCCTCCACCGAGAGCAGCACTGTTGCTTCTACCACTGACAGCAGCACCACTGCCTCTTCCACCGAGTCTAGCACTGTCTCGTCCACTGAGAGCAGCACCGAGTCTACTTCGGCCTCTGCTACTGACAGCAGCACCTCTGCTTCGGAGACCGCCTCGTCTACTGAGTCTACCTCCGCCTCCGCCACTGAGAGCAGCACCGAATCCAGCTCTGCCTCTGCCACCGAGAGCAGCACTGAGTCTTCCTCTGCTTCCGCTACGGAGAGCAGCACTGAGTCGACCTCGGCCTCCGCCACCGACTCTGCCTCTGCCACTGAATCAAGCACCGAGTCTCCTTCCGCTTCTGCTACCGAGAGCAGCACTGAGTCTTCCTCGGCCTCCGCCACTGAGAGCAGCACCGAATCTAGCTCTGCCTCTGCCACCGAGAGCAGCACTGACTCTGCCTCTGCTTCCGCTACTGAATCCAGCACCGAGGGCCCCTCCGCTTCTGCCACTGAGAGCAGCACCGATTCTGCTTCTGCCACCGAATCTAGCACCGAGTCTCCCACTGGCGAGAGCTCCACCGGCTCTTCTGGTCCTACCGGTGGTAACACGTCTGAGACTTCCGGACCCACTGACAGCAGCACCTCTGGCCCCGAGCCTACTGGTAGCGACTCGGCTAGCTCTTCCGTTCCTACCGGCGACTGCACCTCCGACTCGTCCGGTCCCACCGGCGGTGAGACTTCTGGAACTGCTGGTCCTACTGGTGGTGAGACCTCTGGCACCACTGAGCCTACCCCTAGCGGTTCCGCCAGCGACTCTGCCAGCACTGCTGGTCCCACTGGCGAGAGCAGCTCCGAAACCTCGGGTCCTACCGGTGGTGAAACTTCTGGAACTTCCGGCCCTACTGGCTCTTCCTCCACCGATGGCCCCGAGCCCACCGGCAGCGGATCGGCCTCTGGTAGTGCTACTATCACCACCACCGCTCCTCCCAAGTACACCACCAGCACCGTGTACCAGACGAAGACCTATACCATCACTTCTTGCCCTCCCAGCAAGGGTCCCTGCCACGAGGGTGAGGTAACCACCGTCACCATTCCCTGGTACACCACTGTCTGCCCCGAGGGTGAGCAGCCCACTGGTCCTCCCGCCCACCCTACCGGCCACCCTGAGCACCCTGGTCACGGCGGAAACCCCGGCCACCCTGGCAATCCCGAACAGCCTGAGCAGCCCGGCAACCCTGGCCAGCCCGGAAACCCCGAACACCCCGGTCACGGTGGAAAGCCTGGTCAGCCTGGAAACCCCGAGCACCCCGGCCAGCCCGGTAACCCTGAGCACCCTGGCCATGGCGGAAAGCCCGGGCAGCCTGGCAACCCTGAGCAGCCCGGCAACCCCGGCAGCCCCGGCACCACTCTGTCCTTCACCCGTGGACCTCAGCCCACTGGTTCCGGACCCAGCCCCACGGGCACTGAGGGTAGCAGCCCCATCTTCCCCCCTGTAACGGCGGGTGCTGCCAGCACTGGCTTCAGCCTCCTCGCCGTCGCGGCTGCTGCTTTCTTCGCTCTTTAGATTCATCCAGGGCTGTTAGATCAAATGGGTATAATTGGGTGTGGAGTTTTTTGAATGATGGATATACATGGGATCGTCTCTTTTCTTGTTTCTCTCACTTGTTTTAATCATGAGGTCCTAGTTGTTTCACCTGATGCCCCCCGTCAAACGACGGGTGAAGCGATTCCCCGTCCTCACACCCGGAAACATTTTTCTCTCGAATTTCTCCCCCAAATCTATTTATTCTCTTTGTTTGCAAGTCAAGTGAAAATTACATGTAAACATCAGGTTGACCATTAGTAAATCTGGCATGGAAAGAACAAAACAATGAGCGTTTATTTACTTCGTCCGCCTCTCTACTTACGCTTCGTTTCTTGATGAATCTGTACATAAACCTTGAATATCAGGAGTTGTGATGTTTTATCGAGATGTACCAGTATTCATTCCGTCAATGATTGGGACTGACCAGCCAAAGCAGCCATTTTCGGTATGTTGTGTCTCCTCGGCCGCGCGTCAGAGGAGATAAACATGAAGTTATGAGTGGTAAGTCGCACCAAAGTCGCACGGCTGGGGGGGATCAAGGTTTCTATCTTTTCAACTCTGAGTTCGGCGGACCGAGATGATCCAGGGGCTGTGCTCGATGAAATGACGTTATCTGCTGGAGATGCAACGCTGATGGACGATCAAGTATGGTCACGTGGTATTTAGAGTCCGTGCTCACGGTCTCCAGGTCCCAAGGCTTGGTTTCGTCCCTCAACTGCCAGCATCTGCTGAGATCCACGTTGTACATGGGCTATCGACATATCAAGTGTACAACGATCTTGTATTCTAGGATCCCGCCAAGTCCATGTCGTACTGTGTATTATGTATTCTCTTGATCAAGACCAGTGAGGCAAGATGAAGCCTGGAGCTCTTGCTCCTTCTGTACACCACCTTTTCTTCTGCATGCTGCATATCTTCCTCGTGTTGGACGGATCAAAATTTTTTAAACCTCTTCTCCTCTTCATCGTCGAGTCTCGGGACTCTTGGCGCTGTCCGTAGCCCTGTGCGAACTACTTTTCTGACTAGGTCCTGATTCCTCATTCACTAATGCCTTTCCCCTATTTGACTTACTTGACTGTTCAGCGCCTGGCCGTCTCCAAGAACGGCGGCATTCCTCATTCCGCCCACTACGTTTGCCTCCTCTCCATTCCTCAACGACGCAGAACTAGCTTGGTGAACCCTTCGTCCTGCGCCAGGGGTCGAGTCGGTGTGGCCTGCCCCCACCGTTGATTGATTGCATTGGTTCCATGCAACATATTCTCGCATTATTGTACCGCAGAGCTGCACGTATCAGTTGAACTAAGAAACAATGTCGGATGTTGACGAACAGTTAGTGGTCCAACCCCTCGTCCAGACCCGTTCAAACCCCCCTCTTCGCTTCCATATTCCCTCCGGTTTCTCGTCTATCCTAGCATTTCGGCGCTAGAGGTCAATGCAACTCATCCGGCTCCCGTCCATACTTTTCTATTGTTTTGGCAAATTCGTTCTCTATCTTCCATCTTGCTGTCGTCGCTCTTAACACATGTTCGCTCTTGGCCTTTTAGTGGCCTAGTCTCTACAAGTTAGCTGACAGCTGGCATCATTGCTTTCCCTTCATGCAGTAACCATAAATACCTTAAATCCGCCACCGCCATCACCCTGCTTCGTGGAAAGCATCGAGATCACAGCGAACCTGACGATACCAGCTCCAGCCCACCAGCTGGAACTTCTTCCGCCGCCGATCCTACGCTAGCCTCGAAAGCACTTCCCAACATGGCACAACCTCCAGCAGCACCGCCCACGGCGACGGCGAATCGCCATAGCTCGAAACCGTCGACCGCGACCGTGAACCTCGCCCGCACCCACTCGAACCAGACCCAGACCCAGACCCAGACCCAGACCCAGGCCTCACCGCCCCGAAACTCTATCGACGGCAAAGGCGCCTCCCTCGAGCAGTCGGTGCGCAAGTTCCGCATCGTCGAGGCTCTGAGGAGCGGCGATACTGCTTCCATCTCGAGGGCCATCCGCGACAGCGCCGAGGGAGGGCCAAGGGCGAGCACCTCGACTCTGTCTGGCGGGAATGCCACCCTCCAGGACACCACCATCCTACATCTGGCCGTACAGTGCGCCGAATATCCCGTGGTCGAATATATCTTGTCGAATTTCGCCGGCATGATTGATATCAATGCCCGGGACAAGGATGGCAACACCCCGCTTCACATTGCTGCTGGGCAAGGCCGGACCGCCGTTGTGCGACTTTTGCTTGAGCAGGAGCCTATAAATGACGCGATCGCCAATCACCAAGGCCGCTTGCCGATTGACGTCTCTCGCAACCCTGAGATTTTCCAACAGCTCCAGCTCGCCCGATCCCTCTTTACCGAAGCCAAAATACGTCAAGTTCAGGAACTCGTAAATCGCGAAGACTATGGCACGCTCAAGGAGGTACTCGAAGAGAGTCGTCTGAAAACTGTTTTGGATATTAACAGTCCCGACTTCGCGTCCGACCAGACTACTGTCGACACTGGAGGCACTTTGCTCCATGAGGCCGCCCGAAAGAGGAACACGAAACTCATACAGATTCTCCTCCTGCACGGTGCCGACCCGTTCAGGCGCGACCGAAGGGGAAAGCTTCCTCAGGATGTCACAAAGGACGATATTACAAGGGCGATGCTAAAGAGATCTCCTGCCGCCGTCGCAGCGCAGAGAGGAATACAGGAGAAGGCCGTGCTTGGCCATGCCGCATCGCAAGGTGCGTCATCCGCCTTGCCTGGAGATCCGCTGGCTGGCCGAGAAGGCCGAGAAATGAAAGGTTACCTCAAGAAGTGGACCAATTACAGAAAGGGCTACCAACTGCGATGGTTCGTCCTCGAAGATGGTGTATTAAGCTACTACAAGCACCAGGATGATGCTGGATCTGCCTGCCGAGGTGCCATCAACATGCGAATTGCACGGCTTCACATGAGCGCCGACGAAAAGACCAAGTTTGAGATCATTGGCAAATCCTCCGTCAAGTACACGCTCAAGGCGAACCACGAAGTCGAGGCGAAGCGTTGGTTCTGGGCTCTGAATAACTCGATCCAGTGGAGCAAGGACCTGGCCAAAGAGGAAGAGAGGCAAAAGCTACGGGCTGCCGAGCTCCTCCGACAAGCCAAGGCGGACCGTACCGGGTCGACCGACTTGTCAGCCCAGCATACATCGACGGATAATTTGAGTGTCTCCGAGGCTAACCGAAGCAGCCTTCAAATAAATAGAGGCCCGGTATCGAAGTCGGGTCCAGGGCCAAGCACCATCGGTAGTGTCGACGATGACGTGGAAGATGAAATAGGAACCGACGGTGGCTTGTCGAGATTCCCAAGTGGCCCCGCCGTTGACCTGGAGGACGACGACGACGACGACGACACCAGCAACCGCAATGGGGTTGCGCCGTCAAAGGACGCCTTTAGTATCACAGCTCAGTCAGCTAAAATACAACTGGATACCATCTCTGCCGTCAACGCCTCTCTCATGGCGCAGGCAGCAAAGAATCCCCAACTTCCGATCGGTGACCCCAGTGTTGGCCAGGCCCTCACGACCTACGACGGAGCTATCAGGACTCTCTCGGAGCTGGTCGGGAATCTCCTTAAGATATCCAAGGATCGCGACTCGTATTGGCAGTACCGGTTCGATCGAGAAGTCCACATGCGACGAATGTGGGAGGAGAGCATGGCCAAGGTCGCTCGAGAGCAAGAAGCCCTCGAGGCGAAATACGGCGAGGCGGAGATGAAGCGCCGACTCACAAAGAAGGCGTTGAAGGAAGTCATGGTCGGTGGCGGCATGGAAGCCGTTGAAGACGAGGCGCCCGAGGAAGAAGTCTTTGAGGATGCAGCCTCCATCAAGTCCCGTCGCAAGTCCCTGAGCCGTCGCCGGACTGCGCTTGAGCAGATTGCGCAAATGTCTGAGAGCTCCGAATCGGATGACGAGGAGTTTTTCGATGCAGTCGACGCAGGGGAGGTCGAGGTCACAGAACTACCGCCCGCCGAGGCCGTCGTGGTGGTGTCGGGAGGTGTAGATATCAGCTCGGCTTTCAAGGGATACGAAAACGGCGTCAGGACGCGGCTAAAGCTTGATGCTGACAATCGCCCAAAGATTTCTCTATGGGTAAGGAAACGAACACTACAGACCCGCCATCTTCTCCAGCGGCATAGCGTTTTACTAACTGGTCGAATGAACAGGGCATCCTGAAATCCATGGTTGGCAAGGACATGACAAAGATGACTCTCCCCGTATCTTTCAACGAGCCGACATCGCTTCTATACCGTTGTGGTGAGGATATGGAGTACGCCGACCTGCTTGACCTCGCTGCCGAACGGACGGACTCTCTTGAGAGACTGCTTTATGTTGCCGCCTTCGCTGCCAGCGAGTATGCTTCGACGATTGGACGAGTCGCCAAGCCATTCAACCCTCTGCTTGGCGAAACGTTCGAATACGTACGACCAGACAAAAACTACCGCTTCTTCATTGAACAAGTTAGCCATCACCCACCTGTCGGAGCCGCTTGGGCCGAGTCCCCTAAATGGACATACTATGGCGAATCCGCTGTCAAGTCCAAGTTCTACGGAAAGTCATTCGATATCAACCCATTGGGAACGTGGTTCCTGAAGCTGCGTCCGGTATCTGGAGGGAAAGAAGACTTTTACACGTGGAAGAAAGTTACGTCGTCCGTTATTGGTATCATCACGGGTAACCCGACGGTAGACAATTACGGACCCATGGAAGTAAAGAACTGGACGACGGGAGAGGTTTGCCACCTCGACTTCAAGCCGCGCGGATGGACAGCGTCCAGCGCCTACCAGATTTCGGGCAAGATCCTCGATTCCGACGGACGTGTGTGCTTCAGTCTAGGCGGGCGCTGGAATTCCAAGATCTACGCTCGACTCACTCCGGGCTACGAAGCCAAGGTCGACGAGCCTGTATCTGACAACGCCTCGACGCACCGCGGCAGCATCAGCGACACCAACAGTGCGTTTTTGATCTGGAAGGCAAACCCACGCCCGCAGGGTATCCCGTTCAACCTGACACCGTTCGTGGTCACCTTTAACCACATCGATGACAACCTCCGACAGTGGATTGCCCCTACGGATTCGCGCCTGCGACCTGACCAGCGGGCCATGGAGGACGGCGAGTACGATTTCGCGGCTACGGAGAAGAACCGGCTGGAGGAAGCGCAGCGTGCTCGGCGGCGCATCCGGGAGGCCAGAGGCGAGGATTTCATCCCCGCGTGGTTCTCCAAGGCTCGGTGCGAGATTACTGGGGAGGAATACTGGAAGTTCAACGGCGAATACTGGGATAGGAGGGAGAGGTATGGCAATGGTGACAAGAGTGCGTGGGATGGGCTGGAGCCAATCTACGAGGATTGCCATGTCAATGGGCCTTTGCGACGAGGTACGACGATGAGCATGAGGTGAAGGCGCAGGTAGAGGAGCGGAAGCCATTCCAGGTCGTTGGAGAGGAACGGCCGTGTTTGAATAGGTGGTAGTAGCAGGAGCAGGAGCAGGAGCAGAAGAAGGAGCATGGACATAAGCGAGATCGGCTGGCAGCAGAGACGAGTTTGGATGAGCTGGTGGCAATTAATAGAGGAATACATTATTTGTTTGTTTTCATATCTTGTGCTCCAACAACCCTCCGCCTGCGAGTTCTCGACCAGTCTCGGTGGAGACTCGAGCCTAGGATAGCCAGATGATACAAAGAACAGGCTTCTGAGAATGGTTATATTAAATAGTGATAGGTTGTATAGATTGATCGGATCAAATGCTACCTTGACTGTACAGAGGGAAGCGGCGTCCGGTCTCCGCGGTGGTCCAGATTCCGGTGGATGGGACAGCAAAGAGAAGCTCTCCTTCATCATGTTGCTAGTTTAGATGAGGGAAATACAGTTGTCCGCCACTGTGGGGTTCCGTGGACGCCGAGCCTCGGCAACTTTTCCCACCCCTAACGAATGAACGCTTATCGCCAACGTCAAACTGATACCTGTCAACAAGGTATTACTTGCACTTGCGAATCAGGTACTTCGTACTACGGAGATAATATTAAGACTCTAACAGGCCAAAAGGAACATTTTCTTACGGTTTTGCCGAGGACGTCACACTCTTCATTCGCCGTTGCAATCGGGGTCCACTCAGTCCCTGGAAGTTGGGAACTGGAACCTCTCAAGTTCTTGTTCGGGACCCTTCCATTTTATTTCATTACAACCATTACCACCTTGGGCTGCAAGCAAGCTCTTAAAAACTCGAGAATCCTTTCCCGTCTCCTCCCCCTTCGGCGCGTTGCATTTTCCCGAGTGGGGGACATTCTGGCTGTGTACCGCGTCCGGTGATACATCACTGCATTGATTCACCACGTCAAATCAATTACACGTGCCGACGTGGAACCTTCATATCGGACCGGGCTGGACAGGGCGTACGGAGCGCGAAAGATCTTAAAACTCTCTTACTCTCCCCTAGACCACGAGAAGGGCCGGCCTTCGCTTTTCTCCGATCTTCTTTCGTCTCCTAGTCTACTGCTTCAATTGACAACTCGGGTATACAGCGCACCGAGGGGGTGTTCATAATTATTTTTTTTTCTTCTTACTCTCCTTCTTCGTCTTTTGCCGCCTTCTTCCTTGCCTCCTTGAAGGGAATACGTGTTTGAAGCCATTCATCATGAGCGGAAACGGACGACCTACGCTTTTGCGGACTCCGCCGGATGATCCGAATAAGGCGCCACTCGAGAATGCTATTGAGATTGTAGAACTGGGTGTCCTGGGACCTGTGAGTTATCGTCCCCGCCACTTCGAACCAAGCTTTCTATTTTGCTCCCTTGCACTCTCTTGACGAATCTGCCGTCCCTCCCCGTCAGCGTCATGGAGCCGAAATCGGCTGACCTACCTCTGTTTGCTAGGACATGTTCACAAACGCCCGCCAGGCATGGCATCCCCCCGGCGCCCGCGGCATCTTCGGCGGCGTCCCCATAGCCCAAAGCATCGCAGCAGGCCAACGGACCGTTAACGAAGACTTCGTGATCCACTCATGTCACTGCTACTTCCTCCTCGCGGGGAACAACGCCATCCCCATCACATACCACGTCGAGCGAGTCCGCGACGGCCGCAGCTTCGCCACGCGCACTGTGCAAGCCCGCCAGCGCGGCCGATGCATCTTCACGACGACGATGAGTTTCGTCAGGTCCGGCTCGGGAGGCGAGAAGTTGATCAAGCACGCCGTGGGCATGAGTCCTGACGAGAAGCGCCAAGGGGCCGTAGACTCGACGGACGTCATCGAGTGGCAGGGCGTGACGGTCACAGGAGAGGGCTCGACGCCGGACAGGAGGAAGTGTACGCATTGGGTGAGGGCCAAGGGGAAGATCACCGGCGGACAGGCGGCGCATATCGAGGCTTTGGCGTATATCACGGATTCGTATTTCCTGGGCACCATCCCGCGGATCCATGGCATGTTCAAGGTGCCGCCTCCATCGGAGCCGTCGTCGTTTAAGCTAGGGATGATGGTGTCGCTCGATCATAGCATTTACTTCCATGAGCCTACGGCTATCAGGGCCGATGAGTGGATGTTTGCGGAGATGGAGAGCCCCTGGGCTGGTGATGGGAGGGGCGTAGTCACGCAGAGGGTGTTTTCGGCGGATGGGACGCTGTTGGTGACGTGTGTGCAGGAGGGGGTGTTGCGGTTGCAGCAGGAGCAGGAAGGGGAACGGGGGGAGAAGGTGGAGGAGGAGGAGACGGGCAAGGCGAAGTTATAGATGGATGCGGCGATTGGGACCTGGATTCTGGCTGCGTTTACAATAGGACGTTACGGTTTTCTTTGTTTTTGTAGGTCTCGGATATTGAGCAGGTATAGTATATTAGAATTCGCTCATTTCGATAACATAGATTAAGCTTATATTCTGAACGGTCCAAATCTTCATGGAGCCACACATGATGCCTGGATGTCTCCTTGGTATGGCGAGGTAAAGGGGGTTTTATCGACGATCGTGTCCTCCATTCCAGAATCTACTCCCGGTACCAGCTCCTTCCAAAAGCGCTGCTTACACTCCTTGAGAGACGTCTACTCCTTGGCCATGCCTGAGTCGAGAGGGAAAGAGAAGGCATGGGGAAGTTGTTGCCATCCATGGGAAGGGAGCTCGGAATATCAAGGGATGGAAAAGGACGGCTGAGCAATGTGAGATTTCTACCGAGGTCCGCTTCGCACAAATCCCATAAGCGTGTCAAAATACCGGGGCAAGGTGTGTGTTTTTGGTTACGGAAGGTACAACCGTCCATTCCTTCAAGAACGCCCGCCCGTGCCGAGTCCGCCAAGCCCGAGGGAAGGAATACCTGGCGCCCCCACCATCCTCTCACACAGCGGTTTCAACCCCGTTGCCGAAGCGCATCGGAGGATTAAAAGGGCAATTCACGCTTCAAGCCGGGGGATGGAAATCTTATTCGACGAGCGAATTGAAACGATAAACATTCTCGAAAAAAGAATGCCCGTTTCTGGCTCAGGATACGACGCGAGACCGGCTCTCAGCGCTCTTCTCTGAACGAGAGATTTGGACGCTCTCGCTTCACCGTTTTTTTTACTCAGAGCGCGGCAGCTTTCTTGGCTCCGAATCTGTGGTTGAGATGCTGATCTCTATTTCTTCTGCAATTCGTTTCGAGTGGTTCCCTGAACTGTCTCCTCGTTCCCTTCTCCCTCTGCTTCCGGGAAGGAACATCACTTCGATTTCGATGACACTCGATCTGGCCGGAAACAGGCCATGCTGGAAAAAGGCAGTCCTCGAGCCCATCGATAGTTGTTCCGACCAGAGGCGGTCGCAAGCTAAGCCTTAATAAGGCCCGTAACGACCAGCCCCTTGCCCACGGCCCTTCGCATGCGAGACTTGCCCGAACTGGACCGCGCGGAGGTCCTTGCTGTGAGGCGAGTTTGACAAATATTCGGTCGTCGCTATTTTATCCGCCAGATGAAGTTATTGATGCTATTATTGTGCGGTTGGTTCTATCTCGATTCTTCTAGACTTGGACATCTTGAATATGGAAGCCAGGATTTACACGACCTTGGCTCATCATTTCAACGATCGTGATCGCCCCCTTCCCTACAGCAGGCGTCGATTACTGATTGGAAAAGAACTTGATCTGAGCACATCCAAGCCGTAGCTTTTATGATTTTCCCATTCCCTGTTATGCCTCGTCGGGTTCCCCTGTCGACAGTGAGTCTCGGGTTGGTACCCCACATTTCCCTCGAGCACTCGCTTGTGGCATCAGACACCAAGTGTTTCGACATCGCCAGACTATTTTGGCCTTCCCAAATTGACCGCCCATCGTCTCAGATCGGGTGCAGAGCGGTAATGCTGCCCGTTCAAAATGGCTTGGGCCAACTCTGGGAGGCGGTCGTGGTATTTTCGACCTAGATTTGGCACCCTTGCCAACGAGCTTGCACTAACAGGAGGTGTTGCTTAAAGTGAGCTGTCTGGAACACCTCACGTTCTCCTCTGTATTTCTCATCCTCTTCCTTTCCTTTGTTGCCGCTTTCTCTTCCTCTCCGTTCCATTGACTTCTTCTTCTTTTTTTTTTTCTTTTCACGGAGGAAGGATGTCGAGCGTCCGTCCGTCCTTTTCTGCCCTGGTGGCACTTTTCTTCGCATTTCTCGTTGTTTTTGGCGCCGTGGCCGAGGCAGCACCACAGAATAACAACGGAAGGGGACGAGGCAGGAACAGAAACGGCGGAAACAGAAACAATAACAATAACAATAACAATGGAAATGGGAATACCGCTCGCTTGACTGCCCAGGAGCAAGCAGCGCAGGTCCCCGACGGCGTCTCTCAAGCCACTGATGGTTCTACAATTCTTGATACCACTGTCGACGTGAAGTAGGTCTTGCACAACGTCATCGAAGCGTATAGCGTGTTGAGTTCCACTGAGAATTCGTCGGCTAACTGTCTCTCTCTTCTCCAAACAGTGGCCTACCACTACGCTTCAAAATCAGCGGACCTGCCGACCAGTTCACGACCACCTCCGGCGTCGATGGAGGCACGCAAGACCCCGGAACCCAGGGCACTCTCGGTCTCAACGTTCTCCTGCACGGAGACGGCGGCCAATCCTTCTTCGATTTCCCCAACCAAGCCATCCAAGGAAACCTTGCGGGAGTTGCCGTCCTCGCTCCCGACCCGAACCTCTTCTGGGGCGGCGGCTCAGGGCTCGACCGCACTAACGGTGTTGAACACGCCCAGGCCGTCAACGATCTTATCCTAGATGTCCTTCCTCAAGTCATGGCCTTTAATAGCTCGAACGTCTTCTTCACTGGCGTCTCGGGCGGCTCTCTTCTCCTCTCCGGGTTCTTCATCCCGCAACATATGAGCAACTTCCAGGGTAACGGCGTGCTACTGAACTGTGCTGCCATGGCACCCCAGGTCAACTTTGTCAACGGCGATGCGGTTGCCCAATCCACCCGCATCCACTTCCAGAGTACGACCGGAGAACTCGACCTTCTTCGCGAGTCTATCCCGGAGTCTATCGTCGCTTACGAGCAGCTCGCTTCGAATGCCGGTCTGAGCAACGCTGAGATCAATGCTTTGCAGACTGTTGATAACTCGCCTAATGGTGGACACTGCGAGTTCGACGAGCAGGGATTCGTCAGTGGAATCCAGCTCATGGCGGATAACTTTGTCAACATTATGCAGGGAGGGAATGGCAATGTGAATGGCATCGGAAACGTATTGAATGGTGTAGTTGGGAATGAGAACCTGGTATTTGCCTGAGAAATGGCTGCCAGAAAGAAGAAGAGAGAAAAAAAAAAAAAAAAAAAAAAAAAAAAAAAGAAAAACACCATGCATCCTCCGGAACGAAGTAAATATCTATCGAGGCATCTAGGGCATGCATGAAATGCATGAAACATGAGAAGTATGCAACTGCAAAATATTTACAATTTCTCATCATTATCCACGTCTTTCTCCCTCAAAGCTAATAAATGTGACAAACATGAGAGAGGCAAAATTCTTTTTTACAAATGAAGCAAGAGTATTTACAGCTTCGCGCCCTTGGCCCTCCTGGCCTCCTTCTCCTTATCCCTCAACATCCTCCTGAGAATCTTACCGCTAGGGCTCTTAGGAATGACGTCGATGAACTCAATACCGCCCTTAAGCCACTTATGCCTAGCCTTGTGGTCCTCGACGTACTTGGCAATTGCCTTCGCCACGTGGTCCTCGGGATGGGCCGCGGCATGGGTGCCCCTGACGACGTAGGCCTTGGGGACTTCGCCAGCGCGGTCGTCGGGGACCTGGATGACGGCGCAGTCGGAGACGAACTCGTGGGTGAGGAGGTGGGCCTCGAGCTCAGCGGGGGCGACTTGGTGGCCCTACAAGGTAGGTAATTTTAGTTTTAGTGAGCACGCAAGAGGAAGGAAAAAATAAAGAAGGTGGAGTGGGGTGCGTTGTTCCTTCGGACATACCTTAACCTTGATGAGCTCCTTGATGCGGTCCACGATGACGAGATGCTCGTTGCCCAACGGCGAGATTCGAATGACAACTTCATCGCCTGTCTTGATCCACCTGCCGTCGTCGTGGTGCACGAATGTCTCGGCGTTGGCCTTTTCGTTATTCAGGTAGCCCAAAACCACCGAGGGGCTCTGTACGAGCAGTTCGCCGGGGGTCTCGGGCGTGGTGACCTCGTTGCCCTCAAAGTCGATGATCTTGGCCTTGGCGCCGGGTACGAGAGATCCAGAGGTTCCGGGGTGACGGTCCTCCTCGCTGGTGGTGCAGACGACGGTGGCGGTCTCAGTCATGCCGTAGCCTTGGCAGAGGCGCAGGTCGGGGAAGATCCGGAGGACCTCGTCAATGGTTTCGCTTCCGAGAGGGGCGGCGCCGCTGTAAAGAATGCGTAGGGAGGAGAGGTCGTATTGGGAGGCAAGTTTTTGGTTTCGGAGGAGGGCGATGATGATGGGGGGAACCTGTGGGGGGTGAGGTGAGTTAGTAGGTTGTTGGGGAAATGGTCGATTAGAAAGTCGGGCTGATTTGGCAGAGAGCTTACAATGCACATTTGTCGAATCTTGAAGTTTTGGACGGCGGCGAGGAGCGTCTTGAGGTCAAACTTGGGCAGGACGATGATCTCGTCTCCCCTGTAGGTACCGACGTGGCATATTACGACGAGGGCGTAGATGTGGCTGAATGGTAGGAGACCCAGAGATACCTGCGTTCCTACTCCGTTCTGCTTGCGGGGAACGCTCTCGTAGGTGGTGACTTGCAAAATGTTCGCAATGACGTTGGCATGTGCGATCATTACCGCTTTCTATTTGCAAAGCCCCTCGATCATTAGCTTATACGGAGTTCACGATTGAATGCACCCAGCCAACCAACATGCCAGACCGGGAAGGGGGGGCGGCCGTGAAGCACATACCGGTAATCCAGAAGTGCCGCTCGAGTAGCACAGGTATGCGGGTTGCCGAGCACCCTGTCCCTTAGTCCACTTCAGAGGCTCGATCTCGGGCAACTTTTGTCCTTCACGGACGAGTTCATCCACGGTAACGAATCCGGCGGCCTTGGCGCCGGGGACCTCGAGGAGGAAAATCCTGTTGCGGGGAATGCCAGCACCGTCGGCAGCCTTGAGGGCGGTCTCGAGGAGGGGCATGCAAGTGAAGAGCGCGACGGAACCGGAGGACTTGAGCTGGTGCTCGAGCTCCTGGGCGGAGTAGGCGGCGCTGGCGGGGGTGACGATGCCGGAGAGGCGGTGGACGGCATGCGAGAGGGGGACATAATCAATCTAAACAAGACAAGGGGATCAGGTTTTAGGGAGTGTCCTCAAGGGGTGCAGAATTCGGAAAGGGGGTGGATGGCTTACAGCGTTGACGGAGAACACTGCCACAACCTTCTCCCAGGGGGTCGCGTCGTCGTTGGGGGCGAACTCAAGCCGCTTGCCGATTGCGCGGGAGAGGAAGTTGGTACGTTCCTTGGTCTCTTGAGCGGTGTAAGTCTTGCCGGTGATACCGCAGGTATACGGGTTCCGGGACTCGCGAAGCGGCTTGCGGTTGTAGGTCTCATCGTTCATGAACTGCTCGATGGTAATGGAATCGGGGACCGCTGAGTTCGGGGGCGGGGTTAGCAAACAGAATAACGGACCGGGGAAGCTTCTCTCGCGTATGTTTTGTGCGTATCACGAACCAGGGAGCGCGGGGACCCAGGAAGGCGGGTAGAAAACCATTGTTGCTTATTATGAGCGATGGCTCTTCTTTCCTCTCTGTCCTTTTTGGAGGGCTTCTTTTTTACACGAGGCAAACGTTGCACAGCGAGAGGGGAGCAATGAAGAAGCGTGGCTGGCTGGCTGGGTGGCTGGCGATAGAACGTCCCCCTCCAAATGTTGGGGTTGCTCCTTAAACAAGAAAATGAGGGTCCAATACAAGCTAGAACGGGAATCAAATAGCGCTGAACTCCAAGCTCACGAGACACTTAAAACGACAACCGGCGGGGCTTTTAAAGCGGTCAAGGGAATAACAGAATATATCGAGGATAGAGACAAAGACGTCGCATCAGCGAAGGGGGCCCCAAGCCTCGGATTATCTACTTTTGTACTTGCGTCGACTGCATTAGCCGCGCTCTAGAGCCTCTCACTATCCCCGTTCAGAGAAGTTCCGAGGCACCTTGGCAAAAACCCCACGCTAAAGAGTCTAAGGACCGGTGCCTGGTGGGTAGAAATTCAATGTTTCTGGGTCGAGATCTGGGGGCACTGAGCTCCCCGCATTCTCCACAACACCCCCAGAACCCTGGTCGACCCTCGCCTCGGCTGGCGAAGTCGGTATTCGGCATACGCTACTTCTAGCGACTTGATAGGTGCATTAAGCTGTGTCGCATCGCCCAAGTACAAGTACAAGAAGTTGTCGCCGACTCGCCCAACCATAGCTTCGCTGCTCCATCCAAATCTAACTTTGTTGCGCACGTCATCTCCTCCCGTATTACCAAAGGAGATCTCTTCCATGGTGATTGGCTTTTCCGTCGATAAAGCCCCGATATATCTCCACACTCCTGCCACGATGCCACGATGCCCAGCATTTCAGGGGGGGCTCCAGCGCTGCTTGCCCCCGACCGACTCGTGCTCCAGTGCGACCACCATCTCGCCAGCGGAGGCAGAGCCGAGCAGGCACACCGGCTGAGGGGAACGGGACTCGTATGTTATTTTCTGACGTCTTCATCCTTTTTACTGTTGATGTCTTGTCTTGTGCTCAGCTCAATTTCCCCACTTGCTGCACTCGTGGGGATATGCTGGGGGGCGAGTTGGAGTAACCACTTCGGAGTAAACTAGCGTCCGAGTTAAATCCTGCTTCCCGGTTGACACCATCTCTTGTTGATTACAATACATTACTTCGTCCTCAGCTCTACCTTGAAACTCGGGACATCTTCGTACGAAGCGCTGTTCGTGTCGTGGCGGTGATGATTTGGACGTGGCGCTAATCAACTCTTCACACAATGGCATTGAATCTGCCCTAGGCTGCTAGGAAGTTCCTTTGTCCCTATGAAAGCATTATTATCTGATAAAAGAGTACGGCAACGTTCTCATACCTCCTTTCTGTGGCTGGAGGGGGGAGCCGAGGTTCGCCGAGACTCGGCAGATTTTGGTTTGTACAACGGAGCGAGCTTCGGTGGGTGTTGGTTAGAATAGTAGTGTAATCGGTGTAAGGGTCGAGATTATGATAATTGCAGCAAGTTGAGCCGTCAATGGAATCAAGGATATCAGCTTTAAGAGGAAAGAAAGTAAACCAAGATGAAACTTAGCCCTTTTCTCCAAATCTAGCCCAATCCTTCTCTTTAATGCAAGCAGGCTGCAGCCTTTGGCACTTCATCTTGATTGTTTCGGGCAGACGTCAAAGCGCTTCCAACAACTCAGCCTGGGGATGCAGTGGTGATGATGCCTTCACTCAGATATCCCTAAAGAAAGAACAAAACAGAGAGGAAAGAAAGAGCTGCCCAGATCAATGTCTCCACATCGGTTCCTACAGGTACAATGGAAGTTTCGAGATATCCCACTCCTTCCAGGGAATCCAATCCTCATCATCATACTTTCCCTCTGAACAACTCTAATCAGTAGGGCAGGAAGCTTCACTCATCATCGTGCCTTCTCTTACCCTCTATAGATACCTTCACAAATAGCTCTTTCCTCTAGTTCAGATGAATCATCAGGGTTCAACTACAAATACAACCTGCCTGTGCCTTTCTACTCTCCCTCTCTCTTCTTTTCTCTACCAGAGCATCTCGCCTCTGCACCTCGCGTCTACATCTCACATTCACAGCTCTCAGCCAGATCTCTCTCCCCATCCTTTTCATCCCAATCCCAACCTCATCCATCTGAGATATCCAGTTCTCCGTGCTGTGAATGCTTCTCAAGCAATTCGAAGTTACTCACAGATACTAGTTTCCTCTTGACATCTCATTTTCCTCTCATTCCATCAATTGGTAAGTATTTGGGCCTGGTGCACTTACTCCTCAACTGCTTCCCAGATCAAGGGAAGGTGCACCTCCCTTACACCTTACAATTACAATTTCCTAACAAATTCCACTCCAGTGCTTTTCTTCTTCCTCTTCTCCCATTTTCTTCTCTTCCACGAATCGAACCTTTCTCCCACAAGCGCTCCATCATCAGTTGGAACTTCTATATCGAAGCTTGTTGCCCTTGCCTGCCTTGAAGCGATCTCATCCCATCTATAGGCACAAGAAGATTCCCCTTCATCATTCCACCTGCTATCTAAAGGTAAGTCTAGTCCTACAGCACCTCTTGTGCAGGATCTCCCATTAGACTCGAAGTGATGGTCGTTTCTAACGACTTTCTAGGCTGTCGACTCTTGGTGTCCTCCGGATATTGCCATCGGCGACTTAGGGTATGAGCGGCTCTTTTGGAGCTGGAGACAGCATTTCCTAGACATGTCACGTCCTGAAATCACTGACCTTGGCATCTATTGCCTTGCTCCTCCCTCCCCTCATAAAATATATTTAACCGAACCATTTTTGATTTCAAGCTCTATCTCGGCCTCCTGGGAGACCAGCCCTTGACTTCACAGCACAATGCCCATGCACAGATTCCTCCCCTGCACTCCAATACCTTCTCCCCGGAATTGTCTTACAAGTCTATTGTTTGCATGATCACCACGTACTCTTGTTTTTCAGTTGTCATGTTTGTTTTGGTTTTTGCCCTTGATTCTGTTTCTTCAGTCTCATGATGATCCGAATGGGAGAGCTAACCTGTTACCTCTAGGATTGCCGCACTATATACCGACTGCAATACCTACCTGAAAGGCATTTGTTGACATGGCGGCGGTTGTTGTGAAGAGAGTGGCCTCCTCGGAGACTATTGGCCCCTCGAGCAAGCGTTCGAGGAAGAGCGGTGGTGCCAGACGTGTTCTTAAGAGTCTGGTGAATGAGAGAGCGGTGCTTCTGCCAGAACCTCGGGGCTCCCCTCCGGTATGGGCCGACAAGAGACAAGGTCTCTGCAGTGCCCTTCCTTACTATAAAGGATATCAATCTGGAGGATACATTTCCGGAAATGTTTTGATGGGGAGCTTGCTGGATGGATTCCCAGCTGAGAGAGACTTGGTTGATCCCAATGGTGTCATCATCATGAATATGTGAGTGATCTATCTGCTTCAATGGGGTGCATATGTGGGGTGAAAGTAAGTTACTGATAAATGGCAATAGTGGAGGTGGTCGTGATGTCGCGGAGGGTGCCACCTCCAACACAAGGGAGCGCCAGCGAGACCAAGGTTGCCCGTTGATGTTGAGAGGTTCCTTGAGAGCCCTGTCAAAGAACCAGTATATTGGCATTATGGTTGGTAAGTGCTAAAACAATTACTTAGCTGCTTGTGTTATGCAAGATTCCAGCTATTAACATCGTCTCTAGGTGAGATGAGCCCCTTGATGCCATCTAAGATGCCCCATGCCTATAACGTCTTGGACTGGTACTTCATCACCGACATCTGGGCTGAGAAAGATGTCAATGGTTTCAAATTCTGGAAGATGAAGCTGGAAATTGTTAACCCTGAAAATGAACCTTGGTGGGTGCCAGCGGGCACGACGGTCTCTCCTAGCCCTCGCCCTGGAGACTACGAAGCCCCGATCCAGCACTGTGAGGTTTGCCGGAAGCCATCCAAGCAGATCTTTTCCCAAACGTGGACCTGCCTCAACTACCCCTGTTCGGCCTTCTTCAATCTTGGTGACGTCAAGTTTGCCGATCTCAAATATTCCAAGAAGTTTCTGAAGGAGAGGACCACCTACATCGGAAAGGATCCCGAGGTAGCTGGCGGCGCGAGGGAGTTTCCGCCTAGCCTTGTCCCGACTCTCCCAACCATTGCCGAAGGAGATGCCGGCACTGAGAAGCACCTGAAGCAGGGCCTTGTCTGTCCTAGGTGCTTTGGTTGTTCTCCTCGGAGCCATTGGGCGGGATGGTTCTGCGACACCCCGGGCTGCGGCTTTAAGTTTGAGAGCACCATGAGGCCCATCGCAATTTCTGAGATTGACAACAGCACTATCAGAATGAGCTTCGAGAATCGAAAGCCTAAGCGCCACGAGGGCATGGTCGGAATTTCCAGTAGCTTCAGCACGGAAGGCTACGAGGTCACCGTCACTCCTCTCCTCGACCTTCTCAATGGAGAGCCGAACCCCAAGCGAGCTGTTGGCATTCTCGCCCATTTCCGCCCTTCCGGGGAGACCAGGGCTGCACTCAACGGAGCCGACGACAGCTTCCAGGATCTCCACGAGCATGCAACCAAGGATGACTGGATGCGCCTGCCGGTCAGACACAAGGGTGGTAAGTATCGAGACCCCACACACATTTCTTTTTCTGATGAAGAGAGCTGACATCATTTATAGGCAAGAGCGAAATCATTACTAGTCATTTCGCACAGAACTACGGCGCCCAATATAAATACGTCGTCTCCGTGGCTTCTAAGAGCTTCAGTGATGCCCCTGACACCGTCCTCCGTGCTCTCTTGCGAATGAGGTGGGCCGGCAAGCAGGCCATTGATCATGCGGAGAAGTCGGTGAAAGAGCTGGAGGGCAATGGAAAAGTCGAGGTTGCCCAGTCCCTGGAGTTCAGTTTTGTTGAGTTTAATGAGCTCCTTGCCCTCGGCTATTTTGAGGATGATAAAATTAACGTAAGTCAACAACTTGTTACGTCCATCTTTACTACATATAAGGCAAGTTCTGACGATTATCCAGTGGCATGACGACGGCGAGGACACGCTGGGCCCAACCGTGGCCACGATCTCTCTGGGTTCGCCCTCGACCATGTCTTTCCGTCCCAAGCTCAAGGGCAAGGATAAGAAGGGCAACAACTCGGTGTTCGACTTGCACTTGTTCCATGGCGACATTGTGGTCATGCATGGCACTGACATCCACAGGTGCTACGAAGTGAGTCTTTGCGACTTTCGCTTTTGCATCCCCCTGAGTTCGTGCTAATCGTCCCTTTTTTCCCCTCTAGCATCGGGTTATTCCTCACGGAAAGCGGCGATTTGCTCTCACCAGCCGACATATCAGCCTTGACAAGCTCGACACGGACGAAGACCGCCGACTTGCACAAGAGCTTGGTGCCATTCCGGAGAGGGCTCTGCACCCCGACTTTCTCACCGGTCCCAACCAGCCGACGGCCTAGTTTTACTATATATAATGATGACCGGTAAGGGCCAGGGCGGGGAGAAACGACTGATTCGCAATCTATATTTCTTATTACTCGACAACGGGCGCGGGACGACATATACTATCTCCAACGGGACGATTTTCCCCCGATATAAGGCGCACGGAATGGGATGACAGCATTTGCTATATTCCAGTCAACGACATCAATATGAGCGGGCGATATACCACTGGCCGGAGCAAGTGGGACGTGGGGGTTTTCTTTTCCTTCTTCCTTTCTCTTTCTTTTTCGGCGTTTCTTTCCGTTCATCTTCTTCGCTTTCTATTTCTAGTCGAGGCTGAGCGGCGCAGTTCAAGGTTTTGCGGACCGGGTTTCATTTCGCTTTCGTTGATACCATTGATACCATTGATTTCAGTTAATTTTGTTCATTTCCTTTATTTGTTTCTTTTGATCCAATGCATCTATTGGGATGGAGCATGGGCTTCGAGTTTAGATGGCGTTCTATAAAGGAGTTTCGGTTTCGTACATTATACAATAACATTAGTTTTTTTTTTTTTTTAAAAAAAAAGTGCCGTCCCGATCTAAAATAAGCCGAGTCCGCCCAATGTGCTAATGTGACACACGGAAGAGCGAGAAAGAGAGAGCGCTCTATACCGCGTGCTTCCCTCGCCTACCTGAAAACTAGAGCGGCGGCGCCGACACCGGTAGCGAACAAGATCCAAAGGTTGAGAATGTCCCCACGACCCCATGCAGCATCCTCTTCGTTCCCTCCCGCCGAATTGGATGAGCCCGTTGTGAGGGGAACGTATGTCTGCGTTGTAAGCATGCCGGGAGTACATTCAAGATCGAAGCTTGGGCATGAGGAGATGGTAAAGGTGGTGGTGTAGGGCGTTGTAGGGAGGGCCGGGCCACCTTCATCGGCAGCGGTCTGTACGCTCTCTTGGTTAGCGGGGCATGGGGAAGGAAGCCAGCCTAACGAACAGCTGAGTTCGATAAAAGGTATTATCCCGAGGGCGAAAACTTACGGGAGCCTCTGTGGGATTCGGGTTATCAAGTGAACACTTCCCCTGGACACCGGGCACCGCATCGCGACCCTCGCCAATAGCCAGGATCTCTGTCCCGCAGTTCGCCGCCTGTGCAACATGAACCTCCTGGTTATCCCAATCGAAGACGAAATACCCTCCACGCATGACGGAATCGCCCAGGATCTGCTGATGCTCCGTCACGCGCAAGCCGATGTAGCACAGCCTCGGGTTCAGAGGGTGCTGGGTATCGAGGATGAAGTCGGACATGGGCACGCGGAGAACGATGGGAGCCTTGCCGCCGTTGTTGGCGGGGTCGCCGAAGCCGAAGTCAACGGTGGAGGCGGTGCGGCGGAGGGAGCAAGGGGCGAGGAAGAAGCCCTCGTCGTCCATGGTGGCGTCCATGTCGTTGAGGAGGGGCTGGGCGACTTGCGGGTGGAGGCGGGTTAGGGTCGTGCCGCTGTCGAGGAGGGCGTTGGTGGATGTTTCGGGGACGGAGTGGGTTGTGTTGCCGGTGCGGGTGACGCCTATTGTGGAGAACCAGACGGCGAGGCTGGAGGTTTTGTTAGTAAAGATGGAGGGATAAGGTCATGGACGGGAAGATTCGGCGAGGGCGTGAAGGGTGTTTTTTTTTTTTTTTTTTTTTTTGGGGGGGGGGGGGGGGGGGGATACTTACCGAGCTTCGCCTTCTACACCTGGTTGCATGGGGAACTTGACGAGGGGCCCAGCAAACTTCTTTACGTCAAGACCGCCGTAGATGACGGCACCCGTCTCGTCGTCAGCGTGCCTCAGATCCAGCGAAAAGGCCCTCGACTTGATAAACCCCTGCTCCTTCATCGAGTTGAGCACAAGCGAATACGGCTGACCCTCTGCGAAGCCCGCATGGACGTCAGGTGCGAGGCCAAAGATGCCTGAGATACCGTCGACTGTGCCGTCGACGATGACGCCGAAGATCTGGTCGGTGAGGGTGACTGTGCCGATGGTGAGGCTGTCGCTGTAGTAGTTTAGCGTGACGGAGGTCTGGGTGCTCGCGTCGCTCGAGTCGCCGTAGTGGAGACTTCCCTTGGCGACGGGGCCCTGGACGGTGGTGGAGCGCTGCGGGTTGTAGGTGCCGAAGGCGAGGCACATGCTGGTAGTGAATGGGTCGGGGGAGTGGTTGCAAGTCGGCGTGACCCAGAGGTCGCTGGAGCCTGTGTCTATGAGGACGGCGATGGATTGCGCGGGCTTGCCGAGAGAGACTTGAGATTTCGGTCAGGTCTAGATACACATCTATAGTTTCGGGATTCATGCTGCTGGCGGGGGTGACGGGGGGAGGGGGCAGTTTGCTTTGCTTCTTCGCCGTCTTCTACGTACTCTCTATAGTGTAGAAAGTGACCTGATTATCTAGGGCAACCTCAAACGGATTCCGCGCCTGGATCGAGCTCGAGCTCTTCACCTTCTCCTTCCAATCGATAGGGATGCTAATGAATCCATCCCCCGTAACGGCGCGAGGGAACGACGCGGCGTTGGCGATCCCGGCGAACGAAGAGGCCAGGAGGCCGTGGAGGAGGGCCGTCGTCACCGACGAGAATCGCGATTGCGGCATCGTGACTTGAGGTCGTTGTGCATCTGGAGAACCCCCGGACGGGGCTGTGCAACTTTGGGTTGCCTCGAGCGCACTGAGCTGCTTGCAATGGAAACGGATACTCGGGGAAAGGCTTGAGAAGGAGTTCCCCGTTTCACACCATTTGAGGAAGATTCCTCACGATCCGGCAATCGGGAAAAGCTGGAGTGAGAAGGAAAAAGAGGTAAGAGAAGAAAAGGTAAATGAAGGAATCCAAGAAACAGATCACGACCTCCATAAAAACATATCGCTCCCTCGCTCTCGCCCCCCCATTCCGCTTCGGGAAGCTAAATTGGTCTGGGCGAGCTGCACTAGTCCAGGCGACACAGCTTCTGCGTGGGTTTCCCGAGGTGACCTGTGCATCAATTTCAGCTCTGGGGTCATGCAGCCTGACCTTGGTCTGACAGACTGACACGGACCAAGGAAAAGAAGACCCAATTAAACCTGATATGGGCGTCCATCGTTGATCCTTTTCCACGGGGCGACGGGCTAGCTTGCGATTAGTTGTTGTCGACGCAGTGGAACCCCTTTCGCATTGCTTCCCTCGGTCGGCGGGTTGGACAGACTTGGAGACAGACCACCAGGCTTGCAGGGGGGTGTGCAGTGCGATGTGGGCAGCTATCACTTCATTAGTGGAGAGGCGCGGTTGGTCTCGTATTGGCAGGTATCGCTGCCAATGCTACCCAGCTGGACCAGCCCTGATGGCTGATGGGGCGGAGGTGATGGGCTGGTGTGGGCTGGAGTAATGTAATGCCGCATGCCTTGCCGGGTTTGTCGGTACTAAACGATCGTGAGCCGCACCTAAGGCGTTGATAGAATCGATCGAACCTTCGATCGAACGGGGCTTTCAGAGTTCCAGCTTTGCTCGTATCGCGGAGACTGGACCTTGGCGGAGGCAGCTAGGTTTGGGGCTGTTGGCCTTTTTTTTCCGTCCCAATTCGGGCGATCCAACCCGCCGGGACGAAGATCACTGTGGGTAGAAACACACAAGGACACAGGTAGTGCGGAAGATAAGACTTCCTGGATCAGTGGATGGACGGAATTGATTGAAAGGATTGATCCGAGATGGGTTTGTGCGACGAACTCCTCCGACAAGTAGTGCTTGCTTGACGACCTGGAAATCATCAGGAATGAACCGTTTCGGAATGATTAATATCATTTTTCTTTCATACTTATATTATTCTCCCCGTTCCATCCGTAATTTTGTGCATCGCATCTGATCCACTCGCACTCGTGGCTAAAAATAGGCCATCGCTAGATGGGACGGTTAATGGGAGCAGCTTCATGAAGCATTGAAGTTTATTGCAACGCAGCCCAGGATTAATTGATGTGAGGGAAATGACTGAACGCTTCACAGCCAAGTGCGTTCCCCCTCCTAACACATACTGAACTACCTGGCTTGTCTGGATGTCTGGATGTCTGCTCCCAAGCTTCCCTTGCGACCGTGGCCATTCCTGTGTTGCCTAGCGGGATGCCAACGACACTACGCGCCAACACAGTGGGTTGCTGATTCGCGATAGCCCCGTGCCAGGGCCAGATGAACTCCAAGTTACAGTCTATTGATGATGTCTTTTTGATAATGGTACACTCCGTGACGAGCCTGCTCTACTCCTACAAGTTCCATACAATGTCATCCGCTCACTTCCCCCCCGTCCCAGACACCAAAAGCACCACACTCCCAAGCTGCCTCCTAATATCCTCCTTATCAACATCATGCGTATCCTCTACCTCGCCCCAATTCCCCGTCTGCCAATCCACCTCCAAACTCGCCGCCCTCGCCGCCTGCTCAACCCCGAACCGCTCCACTGCATCCCCATTCCCTTCCTCCACCACCTCGCCGAGCCCCGCCCCGTGCTCACTCCACTGCACCACAAGCCTCGCGGCAATCAACAAGCTCTTAGCCGACAAAACCGCCCTCTCCAACCCCGCCAACTCCCACGCCGACAGCCCCGCCACCCACCCCTCCACAACAGCCCTCGCCCCCTCATCCTGACTCCTCGGCACGATCGAACTCCCGTCCAGGACGGGAACAATCGTAACGCCTGGCCACACCCTCGAGACGAGGAATTCCACAATATCCTCCGCCGCGTGGCGCTGCAGCTCGCGCAACGTCCTACCCTGCGCATCCTGCTGCGTCTCGTCGCCCTCGGGCGCCCAGCAGAGCACCGAGTCCGTGTCGAGGTAGCGCATGACCATTTTCGCAATCTGCGAACGGCTCGCGCTCGTTGCGGCGCCGGCGGTTTGGTCTTCGTGGGAGAGGTCGAGGGCGCGGCAGATGAGGCCCGTTAGGGGGATGAGGTGTTGGCGCGTTGCGTCTTGGACGGAGGAGAGGAGGTCCCATTCCAGTGCGAGGGCGGTCGCGAGGTGGGGTTTTGTTAGGGGGATTTGAATGATTTGCTTGGTTGTTGGGTGGCGGAGGGGTCGCTGGTCGAGGAAGACCTGGAGAGCGCCTATTGAAATATGTTAGTATATGTAGCTAGCCCAGAAGCCCAGTAACGGCGGAGAAGAACGAATAAACTAGCAAAGAGTGCGGGAGGAAAAAAGAAGAGGGGGGCAGAAGGACAAGACATACCGTCAACCTCCCGAACAGTCACCTCGTCCCAAAACCTCTTACTCAACCCCTTCCCCTTCCCTGCCTTGGCCTCCTTCGCCAACCTCAACATCTCCGCCTGCCTCTTCCTCTTCCGAACCCTAGCGTACGCCTCCTCCGCCTGGCTCACCGGAGCCTGCGGAGGGGGGCCCGTGCCAACGATCGGCGCGACATCGGCTGCACGGCTGCTGACGGCGTGGAAGGGTCGAGAGAGAGCGAACGCCGTCGTCGGGATCGGGATGGCGGACACGCGTGTTGGGAGGACACGCGAGGGGAGGCGGCCCCCGAGGCGGGTGAGGGATTGCATTTTTCCCGCCTATCTCTGAGGAAGGGTCGGGCTAGGTATCTCTATCTCTCTCGGATTGAGCGCCGGGGTTTGGTGGATTCTAGCCCGTCAAGATATTAAGAGGAAGAGCGTTGTGAAGTTGCGACTCGGAGCCGGGCAAAAAATCCCTTCGGAGAGAGCTAAGGGTGGATTTCATTACAGCATCTGATTGGCCGGCCCCCAAGCTACCTTGAATACTACAATTGTACATACTAAGTACCTTTGTACCTTTGTACCTTTGTACCTTTGGATCGACATTATCAAAATGGCTTCATCAAGTTCACCAGGACCATGGACAGGGAAATATGTTTATATCCAGTTCATATCCATCCAGAGGACTCGAAAACTTCGCATTGATACAGCAGTTTTCTCTTCGATCGGTCCTACTGCCACCACTACCCTACAAATGGAAGAAGTAAAAATAACATGAACCATCCAACCCCGAAACCTCGCTAAACCATGCTTGTTGTGTATTATCCCTGTCCCCGTCCTCTCCTCGGCGTCGAGAGAGGGACGGGGCGCCGCAAAGCAGATGCATGAATTTTAAAAAAAAGAAGAAAACTAAAATAATGGTACAGTAGCGCGGGCTCTCACGGCGACATGATGACCAGGCTAGAAAAATAACAAAAGGCAGACGCGTGAGTGTAGAAGAGTGTGAAACGCTGGCTGTACCGAATCCCACTCGTGGGATTATGAAGAAGCAGAGGGAGACAAAAGAAAAAAAAAAAAAAAAAAGAGTACCGACATGCCTTGGGGGGAGAGTCTTGTTATTTTTGTAGCTTACTCCATCTCCCGACGCCATGAAACAAAAAAAAAAGAAAGAAAAGAGTTAAAACGACATATGAACACCAAGAACACAAAAGCAAATGCAGCAAAAATCAACGAAGAGGAAAATGGTGATGAATGGGACAAGGACGCCTCCTGAAACCAACTCCTAAAATAAGAAAAGTCCCCGCGGGGCCCTAGGCTGTTGAGAGCTTCGGGTTTAAAATCTACCGGGCAACGCCCATCGGTATCTAATATGGCGGCCGGGTGAGATTGCCTAGGCCCTCCTCACCGGACCGGCTGTCAATGCCCCTCAACAACTCATCCAGGTCAACACCCGATCTCGGGCTCTCGCCCATCGAGCCCAACCTAAAGCTGTCACCGCCACGGCTGCTGATGTTTCGCTCACCTCCTCGGCTGGGAAGTCTGCGATCAGTGCTTCTGCTCGTACGAGGTCTGTCGCCGCTACGGCTGCTCAGCATGCGCACAGGCGACCTGGCTCCGTCCTGAGGCTGTGCCACCTGTCCGGGCGCTAGGTTAATGTCCCCGCTTTTGGATGTAACAAGCGTTGCGAGCGTCGGCAGAGGTGGAACCGGTGGCACGTTTTCGGGCTCAGGCGGCGTGGCCTGTGCCTCCTGAACGTGATCCATAACCGGTCCGGCTTCGTGGGTTGGGTTGGATGTAAGAGGCCCGGTGCTTCTGCCCTTGGATGGCTTCCTCTGGAGGCCCGAGTTGACCTGGGCGGGCTCGACAGGCGCGGGCTGCCCATCCGGACTAGCGCTCAGTTCGGACGCAGTGTAATCATAGCTGACCATACTATCGAGGCTGTCTGTATCTGCGTCCATAGCGCCCGCGGTTCCAGGCATGGGATATTGAATCTGGCCCGTTAGAACTTGCTTTAACTGGTCGATAGAAGCAATATAGCCTCGGCTTGAGGCTGACGGTGAAGGCGAGATTCCGTTACGAATGCTTCCCTTTTTGCTGACATGAAGAGGTGCCAGGCCACCACCGCTGGCACCGCCGGTTTGAGCAGAAGTTGGCCGAAGGTTATGTTGGCTTCCATACGGCGAGGCAGGGTAGCCGTTCAATCCATTGCCGTTAATACCTAGTCGGTTTCTGCTCGTCCCGGTAGTTCCTGCCCTGGATCCGTTCAATGACTCCGACCTGCTCCCCGGTTGAAGGGCAAGGATAGCCTGTTCTCTCGTCCACTCTACAAGCATGGTCTCGCGATAGTTGATGGGGAGGTCACAATCCGTAGTCGTCACCGCAATCGTGCCCGAGGTCATCGATGAGGCCATAACGGGCTGGGAAAAAGTCCTTCCGGGAGAAGCAGCAGGGCTCGCTGCTGGTGATGCTGCGATTTCCTGGTAGCCCACGGCAATACAGTCGACTAGCGAGAGTCGGTCGTCGAAAGGGAGGAGCGACTCGCATTCAATTTCGTTGAATGGTAGCTTTGGCTCTGGCTTGGGAACTCCCGGAGTGCCTACCAGTTCGACCGGAGGGGGAGGGATCGTAATGCCCTCCACCCAGAAATGCTTGCTACGGCGGCGGATAATCTCGTTCATGATGGCACGCCCAACGACGGAGGCTTCGAAATCGAAACATTCTGTAAGGATCCAGAAATATCCGTGTACAAGACTACCAATCCGCACTTTGTGTAGTGGTGTCTCTGCCTCCTGGATGTCTTCCTGTAGTCTGTAGATCATCGGGAGGCCGTAACGTACAGCGTTGACGCCGAGGCTGAACACTAGTTTCAGAAGCAGGACATGTAGTAGGACGTAATCGGCGTCATAATCGAGATGCTGTAAGGCGTTGTCGTAAACTGCAATGTGCAGGAGCTGCAGAAACCTGGTGCCCGACGCCCTGATGTTTTTGTCGTGGTTGGAGGCTGAAGACGCGGCCCGACGAGCAATAGAGCTGCCATTGGCGTCCCGGGTGGCCCTGGCAGATCGCTGATGACGGCCATCATCGTACACTTTCATGTCGGCCTTCGTAGTTTCGCGGTCGAGCCAGGTGTCGAACGCGTCGACGTAGGCCTTTCGTACTTCACCATCAGGATCTCTCAGCAACCAGTGAGTACCCTCCCACACCTGAATAGGTACACGGTTCCTTGTGAGCGAGCGATCACGTTTCGATTTGGAGGGAGGGTTCGCAACGAGGAGAATAGACTTGACCGCCCTTAACGCGGCAATCTTGGCCGTCCCAAACGAAAAGTATGCCTCCGCATGCGAGATTCGGTCAACGAGATCGGTGGCTTCGTCCTCTTGGTCGGCGCGGGGCGAAGAGCTGGTGCTCCCGGATCGACTAGGCTTGAGTCGCTGGAGAATAGTCGAGACCATGTCGGAAATCTGGTCGGCGTAATAGACATGAGTAGCCAAGTCGCCCATGCAGTGCTCAATACTGGCCAAGAGATCGCTCCTTTGGGCTTCGATTAAGCGAATTTGTTCAGCGGGTGATTGCGACCGCTCTCCGCCTTCTCCATCGTCGTCGTTATCGATCGTCAAGGGCGGCAGTAAGAGAAGCTTCTTCATCTGCTGAATTAGCTGAAGGAGGACGTCCATGACGCTCAACCCAATAAGGTTAACATCGTCGGATCGCAGCAGCGATCCCACCATGGCGGTCAGGGCGAGGTGCACTGGCAGGTTCTCGTCCCGGACAAGAGTTCGGACAAGGGTATCCATGGTCGTGATCAAGATCATGTAGCGATCTTGGACCGGCGCCCACCTAGCCACCTGATTGTAGATGGTGATGGCCCAACCACAGTCTTTGTGTGTCCTTGGATCCTTGCGCAGGAGACGCTCGCCGTGGCCGAGTTTCTCTTCGATGAAAGCTAGGAGGGCCTGGGTAGCACTTTGGACCTGGGGTCGATTTGGCACGATGAAAATCATCTTGAGACAATGCATCGCCAACACAGAAATATCCTCTTCGGCAAGCTTATCGACGTCGAAGGCGGTTCCGGACAAGGCGATAGGATTCGGTTCGCCGGTCGTGTCGGCGGTCCGAACAGTTGCGACGCTCATTCGGCGGCGGGTGAGCTTCTCGGAATCGACGCGTTCTTCTGCTTCCACCCGTTGATGCAGGGTCTCGAGGAAGTCTTCGTTGTCGTTCCAAAGATTCTCCAAAACAATCGGTACAATAACGTTCAGTTGGCGACCGACAAGGGAAGAAAGAGCGTCCGAAGATGCGATGCTCTTAATCGCTTCAAGCCCTGCATTCCGCCATCGCATCATCATGGGCTTACTCGACGGGCCTTTGGTGGGCACGAAGTTGGGCGAAGCGAGGCTGGCATAGCCCCGAACAACAGACTCGTATTGCCTGATATAATCTTGATCGGCGAAGAGGGATGACGCGTCGTGGTTTTCGCAAAAGGCGTCAAAGGTCGGGATGGAGGATTCGATCATGGTGATGTCGTGGGATTCCAGGACCAGAGTGAGGACACGAAGCACACATGGTGCGATCAGTGGTAGGTCCTTGGGCGACTTTTCGATGAGAGCAGCGAGAATCTGCAGGGTGACCTGAACATTTCTACATTGCCACACACACGCCACGTTAGTTTGAGATTATCACTCATTAACAAGAAATCAAAATAAGGGAAGAAGACAACAGAGAAGAAAGGGCAACAAGGATGGCGTCGAATAGAGATATCGAAGAAAGAAACGGTGACAACGGCGACTCTGGGTGGTTATTGTCGTGGACGTGGAACGTACCCGATTCGAACTCTCCAGACATCACTGGCCGTCTTCTTTTCTAGGAACGAGCCAATCTTTTGGATCTTAGACCGTCGCGAAGTGGCGTAGAATAAAAGATAGCTGAGTTCGCTGGAATTGGGCTTGACATCGACGGCACCCTTTCTCGTACGCGGATAACATTTCAAAACAAGGACCTGGTGCTTCGGACGGCACCTGTCCTGGATGGAATGCATCGCGCCGGACGAGCCGGAAGCTACCAGGATGCAGTGGACAGATACCGGGTGAGAGGGGACACTGCGGTTGGATGGAAGACGAGGTCGGGATTTCGGTACGATGGCATTACTCAAGGGAAGGGAGAATTGGAGGAGTAGAGGACATGGAAGCTCGGATGCCGAAGAGGAAAGAAAGGAAAGATGGGATCAGCGATGGAGAGATTTGAGATTATTAGCGGGAGGGAGAAAAGGGAGAGGTGGAATCAAAAGCAAATGGGCGGACAAGGATTCAAAGATACAAGGATACAAGGATCAAGCCAATTGATGGAGCGACGGTACAAGTACAAAGAAGGTGGCGTTTTCGTTGTCGGTGACCTGAGTAAATTGACTTATTCCAAGTACCTTATTTCTTTTAGCTCACCACACCTGGCGCCTTCTTCCTTTGTCCATCCACCATGTCCAGCACGCCTTCGAAGAATTGTACCAAGTAAGACACCGGTGACGCTGCGCAAAAGGCCCGCCTTCTGCATTAAAAGTCCACTTCAGCCCCCCGAGTGTTTTTCTACTCAGGCAGGCAGTTGCCAACACTGTAGGTAGTTCCAATACTTTGCAAAAGGTGACGAAAACTCGAGCATCAAGTACTCGTACATGAATTCTTAAAGGCCAGTATTTCCGCTCTGCAGCTTCACAGCTTCCAACTGCCCTCTCGGGTTTCGAGCCGTGAGCTGTCCATCGACATCCGCATCGATATCAGCGTCAACGACTCCGACCGCCTCTTCGGATCGCAATAACTCCTCCGCGTTGGACCATTATCTAGGATTTAACGTTCAAGGGAAGTGCCATCCCTGCGCCGATGGCCTGTCCATCCCGAGTATCGCCAGTAGCCTAATACGGAGCTTTCGTGGCCTTGCATCCTGGTGCTACGTTAAGACATTTACCGCCTCGAGCACGAAACCAACGCCATGGGAGCAAGCATCGAGTTCCCCTCCATCTGAAGACATCTAGGAAGGAGACTTACACGAGGAACAAGCGACGAGTAACGATACATTAAAAATCCCCCAAGCTCCCGAGATTGGCGATGAACAACCTGTGATTATCTTGGCAAGTGGGTTTCAGTACTTCTTCGTTCTTCATTACTTCGTCCTTCATGCAATCGATAGTCTAGCGGTCTACGAAGTACTTACACGTGGGACTATTCAAAGTATCTAAGAGGGGAGGGAAAAGCGCCAACACTGCGACTCGATGGACTAAGATTTCAGTTGTGATGGGTGATTCAGAGTCGGCTGCCTACGAAGTACATCGATTTTGCTACCTCAATTTGACATCTCCCGTCGACTCCGGACCCCAAAATGCCATCGAGCCCGTCCTCAAACAAGCGTAATCAACGACGGACAGTTCGCCGACTCTTGCACCTCACTCACCTAGCGAATGTTGTATCGCCTGGACATCAATATCAATATTTGACTTCTACAGTGAAGTGCGGACCCCTCGCCCTCGCTGGGAAGTACATAATTACTCGTCACCATTGTGGGGTTTTTATCTTTCCGGATTCCCAATCTAGTGGGATTCGTGAAGCAACCTGAAATCGTAGGTTACTCGCATACTCGGCCACGTCATTCCACGTAGAACATCAACGGACGACATGCGCCACAGTCAACAACAAAGGTCCGCCTGTTGAGCTGCTGGCGGGAACAATCCAAGCCCATTGTGATGCCCTAATCCTCATGGATCCACTCGTTAAAAAAGAAGCTTCAAGAAACCCCGACGCCCGACCTTCAACGACGGGCTACTGGTGATGATCTGGCTTGTTGCCCGATTGAGCCTTTAAGTTTCGGCTGAAGGACATTTCCGCCCCCCTCCCAGAGCACCAGGTACCGAATTCCGCCGGCGTGGGCCGGGCAGGCTCTGATAGGCTCTAATTTGCTAACAAATCGTCTTGATGCACGCCATTAAGGGATCTTTTTGGGGTCTGGTTCGCACGACTCTAGTGTATTGCAACGTTAAACTCTAGGAACTGCTAGATTAGAACGCACAGCCTGCAAGCACCAAAGGCACGCAAGGCAAAAGTGCGCGCCCACTTCGTCGATCAACGTTTCCGATCTGGGAAGAGAAGAACGTCGATGCGTTCAACCAAATTTACGTTTGCGGGGGAAACGAACAAATGAGCGGCGGGGGGCAACAGCACGAAACGTTGGACGATTCATCTTCTTTCAGGCTACACTGTTGTTTGCATCCAACTCAGGTGGCAGCAGCACAATCACATCTACCGTGAGGGCACATGTAGTATCCATTTGATGTTTGCATGTGGTCAGAAATAGTCATGTCGATTCTTGAAAAGGAACTTAAGTTTAACAAAAGAGAATAATATTTAGTAGCGACACATGGGGAAACGCTTTGCCGCCAGTGGAAAGCGGTCCTTGAGCTTAAAGCTTAAGTCTAGAGTTCGAACACTTATATCAAAAGCGCGGATGGCTTCCACGTGCGATAGTTTGAGGTTCTGGCGTTCTCATAATTTCGGGATGGATGCAACCACTTCCTTCATTAGTTCTTCAACTAAGTCACCGGGCCTTCTCGACTGCATCTGCGCATTGTAGACTCCGGCAATTGCCAACCAACAAATGGCTCATGTCGCTAATTCCAGACAACTTCGTCGCAATGTCTCACAAATTCAACAAGACAACGACGGCCCAGACTTGGATGAAGATCAGAGCCTTAGTCACACACTTTCACGAGCTACCTGTAGGTCGTCCTTGAAAATATGGTGAGAATCACGTCCTCGTCTTCCTTAAGAGACGACAATTACTCCCGCAAATATCCGATCTATAGACTTATTTTTGTGGCCCTCCTCTCCTAACCCTTCTTCCTTCTATGAAGGATAAATCAACAAGTTGCCGTAAATGTGTCCAGACTTCGTTTAATTGTGGTTGGCTTTAGCATTAGTTGGCCAGAGGAAGCCTCTTCTTGAGGAACTCCTCAACGTCGTCAAGCTCCTCTGGACAAGCCGAATGGGGCATTCTACGTCTCGCTTATTAGATAAAAATAAGGCAATTCCTGGAAGACTCCAAAAGAGACGAGAACAGAAAAGCCGAAACTTACGGGTAGGTCTTGAAGGTGACATCATAACCCAGCTCCTTTAGCTTCTCGAAAGAGATTCGAGCAAGCGGGAAAATGACCAGAGGGTCGAAGGATCCATGGCCCATGAAGACTGGCGTCTCTTTGTTTTCAGGGGTGACAAGATCCTTGAATTTTCCACCGAGGAGGATCCAGGACGAGAGGCCGACGATGCCGCCGAGTTTGACAGTCGCACTGAGGCCCGATAAGATGGACATGGCGCCTCCCTGGGAGAAACCACCGAGGACGATGCGGTTGGCTGGTATTCCCGCGTCGATTTCTTGCTTGATCAGGTCGTGGAAGTACGAACGACTCTCGAGGATGCCGGCTTCATCCTCGCTCCTTTGTAAGGACTCAAGAGTGCCGTTGAGCTCTTTCTAGAGAGGGTGTAAGCTATCTGAAAAGTTGCGCCATTCTTCAAAAGGAAAACACGGCTTGCGGATACTTTCTGACGTACAATGTCAAACCAACCAGGCATTTGCATGCCGCCGTTCTGGAGAGGAAATACTGTATGTTAGCCGCTGCCACCCCTTACGGTTGCCACAAATAGATAGTGATATTGAAGTATTGTTGGTGACGAGGAGAGTTCATGGCAACTTACACAAGTGATGGGAATCGCAGGTGCATGTGGAAGTATAAACTTGACATGATCCAATCGCTGCCGCCGCCTCCAATTCTCTACCGCCGGTTGCCAGCCATAGCCAGTATCTCCCAGGCCATGGGCAAAGATGACGGTAGCTGTGTGCTTAGCAGCAGCCGGGACAACGAGAGATGCTCTGCGGGGCATGGTTGTGCAGAAGGAATGATAGAATTCTCGGAGTCTAGAGTCTACGGGGAAGGGAAGGAAAACAAACACATTCGCAATGTAGAGCTTCAACGACACAATCTAATCCCCGAGGTGTGCATTCTTCCAGTGAGACAAAGTGGGGGGTGGCCGAGTCTCAATTTCAGCTGTCGATCGAAAGGCAGCTGTAAACGACTGTCAAAATAAACACCAATTTGATTAGTAATCGATCTACCCCAAGGTCACATTCGATTGCTTCTATTCTTCCAAGAAAATATTGGAGCCGAGGGAAGTTTTGTTGGGGCCTCTTCAAATTTATTAATGTCGCTGCCTACGAAAGAGTTGCAAAAAGAGTCGCAAAGGCCCATCCAAGTCGACAAACAGCCCCGGTGTCATTGAAATTAATCCCCACATGTGTGAATGGTGCCACTTCCTCTCGACCACGGCAGAGACAGGTCGCCGACGGGAGAACCACGGTCTTGAATTGATTTGATGCTTCCTGTTCTTTGTCGTGCCAAAACGTACCAAACGTATCAAACCATAAGGGCGCAGTCTCACGAATCTGTGAGTATGACGTAGAAGCACTCACGGCAAGTACAACCCTGGTACAACCCTCGTGTCTTCAATTGTTCCCTTCGGCGAGGTGTAGATTAGTTTAGAACGGCATTGTGTCAACTTGTCAACCATTGTAACGGCGACATTGGCCTGGCTTGCTTCAACCAACCTGGTGACGGACATAAGCTCGCCTTGCCTGAGCAGCCAGGCGGCAGCCTCGGATTATCAGGGTCTTGGCCGAATCTGAACCCGTCACTTGACCAGAAACGGGTTGAGCAGAAACACTGCAGCAGTTCCCTTTTTGCGGCAGCTCGGCCCTCGATTGCCCTTCTCCACTCCCGGCTCCATCGGATTTGACCAAGTTTTCTGGAGAGAACCTCGGGAGCGCACGGCATTCGATCCATTGCACCCCATTGCACCCCCATTGCCCTCGTGGTCTTGTGGTCTTGTGGTCGAGAGCTTAAATCTGGCCACCCACGTCCTGCAAGGTACCAGTACCGGAACTCAACGGGCTGGACTAACAATCCAGACATCCTAACCCAGGACCGAATTGTAGCAGTGACGTGGAGACCCCGCAAAGGCAAGAGAATAAAGTCATGGAGAAGTCCAGTAACAACTCTTCAACTTGGGCCGATAGCATCCACCGGATCCCCCAACATTCCCCATATCCATAGTGTGTGACTGTGTTGATCCCCAGGGCCTCGGCCGAACGGCTTGATGGTTACATCAATATCAAATGTTCTAGTCCATTTCGAGGAATATAATCAACGACTCGCCCACACTGGCACACACTGGCACAGGCAGAAAGAACGATACCGCACACAAAACCACGAAGCAATACTAAACTAGTAGAACAAGAGGCTAGTTTTCTACTTGACACGAGGGGCACAAAAACGCGAAGGGGAGAAAAAAAAGTTCATTCACTTTCACCTCGTGCTCTACTACAGTATTGTGTTCCCTTTGTTCTCCCATCGCGAAGCCAATTCGCCTCCTTCGTCTTTACCTTCGTACAGACCCTTTGATTCATCTATTCATCTCCCCAACCGCTTCTCCAACTTATCCTTGCGACTCCCCAACATCCAACCCGCAAATCCTTGCCATTGACCAGTGCGACCCCTGAAATTTGCCGACTGGACCCTTCAGGCCCCTCCCAATCCTCAATAAGCGAGCTTCCCGCTCCATCGGAGGTTGAATCGGACCTTTTACCGCACCTTGCTAGGCTTCCCTTTTTCCTCTCTTTACTTCGTTTACAAAATCTGCCAAGGAACCTCATAAAGCTCCCCCGAAGCTGCAAACTTCTTCGTCCTTCGCCCTCGCCACCGAATGCTCCCTCCTCCTCTAGAATATGCCCACCAAAGTGTCGCCCCTCCTTGAAGAGGCGGTAGTCGACGCCATGCAGACCCCAGCGCAACCCCAAGACCGCCAAGCGACAGAAGCCGCCACCACGGCGGTTATAGACCACGACCAAGACCACGAACACCTAGACCACGACGCCGAAGCCACGACGGCGGAAGAAATACACCAAACCATCATACATCCCGGCTCCGTTCGAATAAACGTCGAAGGCGCCTTCATCGTCGAGTCTCCCCCCGGCTCGCCGACCGAGCAACCAGTCAAGTCTGGGCGCATATCACCGACCCAGGAGACCAGCGACATCCGGTTACCGAATCACACGGCGGTAGTGAGCCATATTGCTGTTGATGTAAGTGGCGCATTCTTTTCTTGTTCTCCTTTCTCCGCAGTCGTCTTCTGTTTCAAGCTTTTGAGACCGAATTCCTAACATCTTTTTTCTCCCTCTTACTAGATCGGCGGCTCGTTAATTAAGCTCGTCTACTTCACCCGTGAAGCACACTCTACCGAGCCCGGTGGCCGGTTGAATTTCCACAGCTTTGAGACCGATCGTATCGACGACTGTCTGGAGTTCATGAAACACTTGCAGGAGAACCAGCAGAGACTCAATGGTTCGCATCCCGCAGAGCTCTGTGTCATGGCCACTGGCGGAGGGGCCTATAAGTTCTATGACAAGATTCGGGACGTCCTTGGAGTTGATGTGTTACGGGAAGATGAGATGGAGTGTCTAATTATTGGTGTGTCTCCTCGTACCCAGCAAAGCATACATCCATACGCCAGCGAACGAGGAAGGCTGCTAACTCGTAATAGGCCTTGATTTTTTTATTACAGAAATCCCTCGGGAAGTTTTCACATACAGCGAAACAGAACCAATGGAATTCGTCATCCCCAACGAAAACATCTACCCTTACCTCCTCGTCAACATCGGCTCCGGCGTTTCGTTCCTCAAGGTCTCCGGCCCCCACAAGTATGAGCGAGTCGGTGGTACGTCCCTCGGAGGCGGAACCCTATGGGGTCTCCTCTCCCTCCTGACAGGCGCACGGACATTCGACGAGATGTTGGACATGGCCGACCAGGGCGACAACTCCAAGGTCGACATGCTCGTGGGCGACATCTATGGAACGGACTACGGAAAGATCGGGCTCAAGAGCACGACCATCGCGTCCTCCTTCGGCAAGGTCTTCCGCATGAAGAGGGAAGCCGAGTCAGCGGCCGAGGACAGCGGCGGCGCCACGGCCTTCTCCCTCCAGAACCCCGCCATGCCGTCCGAGCAGGCCACACCGGCGGATTCGGAAAGTGGCCGCATCCCCCCGTTCTCCCGCGCCGACATTTCTCGTTCTCTCCTTTACGCCATCAGTAACAACATCGGCCAGCTGGCCCATCTCCACAGCCGCATCCATAACCTCAATCACATCTACTTTGGCGGAAGCTTCATCCGAGGCCACCGCCAGACCATCAACACTCTGAGTTACGCCATCAAGTTCTGGTCCGGCGGCCAGAAGCAGGCTTACTTCCTTCGCCACGAGGGCTATCTCGGCGCCGTTGGTGCGTTCCTCAAGAGACAGCCTAGGAACTGGGGTCGGCGAGGTAGCTTCGAGGAAGCTGTCGCCAAGGACGGCATAGAGTGGCGGATGCGCGAGCGAGTCGCAAAGGAAGCCGCCGAAGCTTAAGGAATGCCCCGACTGCTCCCTTGACCTGAGAGATTGAGAGCGGCTGGTTTTATCATTTTAACTGTTTTAATTTTTCTTCTTGTTGCTTTCCATGGTTTGGAAGCGCGATTTGTTCAGAAGAGGAGGATGCGCATTTACAGGAAAGAGGAAGGCATAAAGGCAACTGCATTTACCATGTTTTTACATGGACGCCCAGATGGCGGCTCATTTTTTCTTTTCTCTTCATTTTTTCCCTCCATTTTTGATAGCGTGGTATACCTATTGCATTTTGGGGTTACGGGCCGGTTGTCTTGTGATAGATTAGTATCCCGAACAGTTCCTGTATCTTGTTGCATATGAATGGAAAAAGGAAAAAGAAAAAAAAAATAGTGTGAGAGAGTGAGAGAGACTACTGCAAGAGAGGAGGAAGATCATTGGTTATTCAGGTGGATGATGGAGATAGAGCGTGGAGCGAGGTATATTGCTCAAAGGCAAGGCCAAACAGCCCTTACCGGGTCTTTGATGTCAGTCGTACAAATACAGGATATAGAGAGGCGCCAATATGCCTCAAAACTCAAATGTGCTCCTCGTGATCACTCATATCAAGCAATAACACGAGAGTTCCAGCAGCCCTGCTCCGAGCGATCCCGAATTCCGAGGATCTCAAGGCCGCCCACCCACCCCCAATCAAGGACACACACACGCCGACGCCGGAGGTGGTGCATGTCACATCGTGTATCCCATCCATCATCATAACACATTCTCCATCCCGCGATGGCCCCACGCGACAATTGACGCTAGGACTTGGACTACCTCTCCTTCTCCACCGTCCCCTCCGCGTCCTTCCCCTGCCCCGGAGCCTTCCCCACCCTAGCCAATATGCCAGCCGCCCACTCCTCCAACTCCTTCTCAGCGTCCTCGTCCGGCCTGCCCGCAGGTCCGTACATCTTCCTCCTAGCGTACCTCTTCAGATCCTCGGCGGACGAGATGTCGAAGGCGTAGGAGAGCCCGCCCGTGGCCATCAGCGCGAAGCTCATGACGTTCAGCGTCGCTAAGCCCAGGGCCTCCGCCGCGATGAGCCCCCCGTCGACTTTTGACGCCTCCGATGCCGCTGTCGATTCTGTGGCTTTGGCTGCTGCCTCCGCTGCGGTTGTGGCTGTGGATGTGGTTGGTGGTCGGAGGTTGGATTGGTAGTATTTGGGGAAGGCGGCGATTTGCTTGCGGGTTATGGCGCGGCGGGTTACGGCTAGGGAGGCTAGCATGAAGGCGGAGCCGGCGAAGAAGAGGCCGAGTTGCTTTACGGCGCGGGGGGAGAAGGGGTCGCGGGGTTCGGGGTTTTGTGAGGGCGGCGCGGAGCTTGGGGCCGGGGCGGAGTTGGTTTGGGACATTGTGTCGTGTGCGTGTGCGTGTATGTTGTGAGTCCCGTATTAAAGGATTGTTGGGGGACGGGTGTGTGGGATGGCTAAGTTTGAGGAGGTATGAGATTTTTCGATTGGGCGAAGGGCGCAGCTCAAGGATGGAGATGGAGGATTGACGCAGACCGAGAGACGAATTTCGAGTTGAATTGACAACTTGTATGAAGTAGATATCAATCCTTCTCTTCTCGCGAGTTGAAAGATGCAGCGGGAATTTGATGCGCGACGGAAAAATATCGGTCGCAAAGATAAGATATGCAGCTATCAGAGTATTTTGTGTGATAAATGCATCGGCCTAGAGACCATGATGAAGAGTGTATCTTTCCCCGGTTTCCCCCTCCATTCCTTCATTCATGAATGTCAAAGACGAGAGTTCAATAATATCTCAGGAGCTTGTAATTTGTTGCCAAGAACTCAAAACTCGAATGTCCACCGCGTCCGCGGCGTTTTGAGCGCCTGGTTCTCCGCTCTAACTTCGTTGATGGCTCTGGCATCGAGGACGGACTGACTAATATTAGACTACTACAGAAGGACAGAGCAACAATAAATACCTGGCAAAAGGACTTTATGGCAGTTGAATTCGATACAGATAGAAATACATTCTTTCCACATAGTCTACGATATCAAGTGCTTTCCAAGGGCTAACACAGACCTACTGGGCAACTTCCGTAGTCTGTAAAAGAGCCATCTACATACACCGGTCCTCGCAATCCCAAATCAACGTTGAACTCTCGAAGAATGGCCAAACCCAAACCCAAACTCAGGAAATCCCAAACCAACAACACCAAACCCTCCACTCCTCCCAAACCACCACCACCCACATGGCCCCCCTTCAAACCGCCTCTCCCGGTCATCCCTCTCTCTCCGACTCCTCACCCTTCCTTTCCAGACAAAATCGTCCTCCTCCCCAACTTCTTCCCCCGCTCCCTCTGCCGCTCTTATGTGTCCTTCCTCCGCACCCTCCCGCTTACAACGACTCCCGGCCGGCCGAGGAAGGGCGAGGCCGTACGTGTGAATGATCGCTTCCAGGTCGATGACCCTGCCTTTGCTGAGAGGTTGTGGGCGGAGACGGGGTTGAGGGATGTGCTTGCCCAGGAGGAGTTTGCGCACCTTTGGTGAGTTCTCCCCCAGGCTCTGTGGAATCGGTCCCTTCGTGTCGTATTCCGTGGTACTCTTTTTTTTTCTTCATGCGCTTCTTCATGTGCTCCTTCATGTGTGCCATGCCATGTTCACTGTTGTTAGTCGTGTCGTGCCTCTTGCTTTGCTCTGGATCAAGCTTGGCCTTCTTAAATTCCTCAACATCGATGAGCAATGACTAACATATCCCGCTTCAACCAGGGGCGGCCAAGTCATGGGTCTAAACCCCAACATCCGCGTCTACCGCTATTCTAAATCACAATTCTTTGACTGCCATTGTATCAACAGTCAATCTCCTCCCGCCCTAACACGCATCACCCACTAACCACAAATAACTGTAGACGATGATTCCAACCCCGTAGCCCTCCCACCAAACAATACTCCTTGCAAAACAACCTGGACCTTGCTCCTCTACCTCACTTCAGCCTCCGACCCAGACGGGTGCATCGGCGGCGAGACCGTCTTCTATCCGCATGACCGCCAGTTGGAAAAGGAGGCCGTCGTCGTTGCGCCGGAAACGGGACTTGTGCTTTTGCATAAACATGGGAACGATTGTCTGCTGGTTAGTTCTTACTACTTGTCTCGGGATGGATGATATCCTTTCTTGGCATGTCAACTGGTTGAATGGAATGGAATGTCACTAATCGTTCTGGCAGCACGAGGGTCGAGAAGTCACGTCAGGAGAAAAATGGATTTTGAGAACAGACATTTGTGTGAAAAAGTAAATTTGCGGCCTCTAAAATACCTTGCAATGCATCCATGTCGACGTCAACAAACTAGCGAAGAGGATCAAAAAGAGTCCCTTGCAGAGCGGGCAAATAGTTCTCCTCCTAATCAACCAGCCACTAAATTGTCTGCCCTCGAATCTCAACTACCAGACCTCAAACATCTCAGGAGTAATCGATGAGGAATACTCCAAGGTCTTGTCCTCGGTGTCTTCAAGGCTTCGACGCTTCGGATGAGTACCCCGAAGGACATCCGAGTCGGCGACAGGCTGGTCCAAGTCGATACACACCCTGCCTTTCGACTCCGAGTCTTCTGCAGTCTCCCCCTCGCATTTTTTGTCATTTATATTTGCTCCCCACACTCTCTCGGTGTCAGAGCTCACGCCATTACTGGTCGAGCCCTTGCCGAATCGGGAGCCTGAATCACCGCCCTCAAACTGACTCTTGTCCATCATAACACTGGCGGTCATGAAGAATTCCTCCATGAGCTTGATATTAGGCGAATTAGTCGACGGAGTCTCACGCCCTGCATGCTTCATAACTGGAGTGATATCGATGAGTATAGTGCTGGTATCAGATTCCGTTTGGGCATGGTTGTCGTTCAAAGTCTCGTCTGCGTCTTCGCTTTCCAACTGTGGCTTCTAGCCAGTGTTCGTATTGTAGCAACTTGCCTTGGGCAGCTTAACCTGGATGGGTCTTTCAGTTAGTGGCTGCTCTTCGCGAGTTTGTGCAAACCAGGGAGGTGGTGCTTCTACGATAGAATTCTGACTGTGGGGGCCTGCTACCTTCTTGGGAGACTCGAAGTCTATCAACACATTCTCTCCTCCTTCGAGGCCAGGGCTATCTTCCTGCTCCTCATTAACTAGATCACCATTTGGCACATTCGTTAGATCTGTCAATGTCTCTGACGTGGAGACCAATGGATCCGGTTGTAGCTGGTTGTCCGGCTCCTGTTGATTTCCGTCTCCCTGATAAATCAGCTCAGCCAAGAGTGATAGAGCACTCTCCTTTGGTGGTCCGCTGACTGAGCCTTCTGGGCCGTTGTCTTCTATGTCGATGAGCATTCCATCCATTTGCTCGGGGGGCCTAGTATTCGACTGCGATTGTTCAACTTGGGCCAGCTCCGTCTCCTCCTCTAGGCCGTTATCCTCTATGTCGACGAGGATTCTATCTGTTAGCTCGGGCCTAGTATTCGACTGCGATTGCTCAACTTGGGGCCCCTGGTTCTCCAGTGACCCGGATACTGAAAACTCAGTATTAGGTCGCAACGAGCTCATTGTCAATCGGGGCTGCTGCTGCGGCATTTGAGGGGGTTCGCTTATGTCAATAAGTATGCCATCTGTCTCGAAAACGACATCATCCGCTTGTGCCTGCGTAATGGGAGAATCCTGCGTATCCGAATCCACTTGGAGTTCAACAAGCTGTTCGCTCCCACCGGTTTGACCATTAGCCACCTCTACTACCTGATCGGCGAGTTCCGCGGACTCCAAAGCATCGGCCTGCTCAGGTCCCTGTTCGGCATAAAATAAGCCATCGTCAAGTTCGTCCTCATCCTCCATCGAGGTGAAAAGGTTCAGGACCTCGCCGCGATGAATGATTCTTCCATCATTCAGACGAGTAACTTGATCCTGGTCAACTCCCTCGGGGGGCTCGGTCGGCTTTTCCGCCTGCGTCCTCGCGGACCTTCCAGTTGCCAGCCGGCAGAGTACTTCGTGAAAGATCCAAGGAAAGCTGATGAGCGGCATCGACTTAGCATCAATTTTCTTATGCTTCGGCCCATTTGAGACGCTATTTGTGGTATCCCGGCGCTCATAAAGGGCAATCTTCACTTCCTCCTCGGTAACTTTGTACATTGCTGCGACGAAAGGGTCGATCTTTTCCTCTGAGTTCCCGCCCGCAGCATCATAGCAGAGCTCACGGAATCGCTGCTTCATAGTGGCGTACTGTCGGCCAACCTCCTCTTGAACTTTATACGCACTGCCGACCCGGGGTTTGGACAGGACAAAACCTGACCAGATCTCGAACTCGGTGGCGATCTCGCGCTGGCCTAGCACCCTTCGCATAGTTATGTCGTACTGAGTCTTGATTTGGCGAGCTTTTTTGAGAAGTGCGTTATCCTTCGGGCACTTGGATAAGATTCTCTTGTCAAACGACTCGGTGTAGCTAGGGGTGAAGGTTACGTTGCACACAGCATCGTAGATGACGCCAAGGGCTTTCTTAGAGCGATACGTCATATCACGAGGAGCTCGCCTCTCCATGAAGTGTGGCCATCGACGCGGCTTGAGCGATCTATCCATTTCTGCCGGTTCACCTGTCTTGACATAGTCGACGGCCTTGGAATGTATGTGGGCGAGTGCTATACCTATATTTCAGACGAACCCCATTTTGTTAGACTCATTCATTCCTAACTAGGAGGGGAAACTTACATTTTGCGTTCTTGGCTCCATCATCGAAACTGTCTGCGTGGGCCAGATGGGCTAAGGCAACTGTCGGGAGGATGTCGTTTTTCATGTACCGGACGAAAAACTGCTGAAGGTGAGCTACGTGAACATCATTATCCAGTTCCTTCGGTTTCGGCGATTGGTAGTCCATGGGCGGATAGTTCCACTCGGGTGGAATGAGACTCGGCTCCCAAATAACGAAGAAATCATCCCCGTCGAGGTCTCCTCCGGAAAGCATGCTCGGAAGATCACGGTCCCCTACGCTTGGGAAGACGACCACGTCACGAAGGTGCCTGAGGGCTGGCACGTCGACTGCTTCAACCACTCGGATGTCTCCTGGATGGAGAGATGGGTTTCTACCGATGATGCAAACGCCCGTGATAACAGTTGCATTCCTCTGGTCTTCACTGTCCGTGATTTGGAGGAAGATTTGCGGTAGCAAGTCCCGGCCCTGTCTAGTTGAGCCCTCCGTAGACTTCTTGTGACCTCGAAGTGTCCCAGTCTCGTCAACGCAACCCAAGACAAAGGCGCTCTTCTCTACGGGGATCCTCGCTCTCTCCTTGACTAGCTTGAGAGACCAGACCCTCCACAGGTTGAGAACGGTGACTATGAATGGCTCTTGCACGGATGGCTCTTTGAAACCGTGGAGGATAATGTCGGCCAATGTCAAAGTAGTCTGGTTTTCGTCTACCTGTTGGCGAAGAAGAGTGATGGCATCCCGGCTGCTAAGTTGAGCGTTGTTATGCTTATCAACGTGGATGTTCAACAGGGTAAGGAACGCCTCCGTCTTGACACCCAGCGAGGACAAGATGGTAATGGTTTGTCGGTTCAGGGTGGCAACGGCGAACTGTGCACATCGAATGATCTCAAGACCATTGAACTTGGAGGGAAACTTGAACTGGGACTCCCGAATATGCACTTCCCGCTTCTTAGCGTCCGGCCAGACCGCGAGGACACCTTTGCATCCGCCCATGCGGAATTGAAACGCCGAGGGAATGATTTCCAAACAGCCCATCCCCAATTCTTGGACAATCATCTTGGCTAGGAACTGGGATATTTTACCCACCCCATCAGTAAAGCAGTAGCCTGCTTTGTTCGTAATGTCATTGACATGGCGAATCTTTGGAATGCTGATGGTTCGAATTTCTCTGGTCGTGGAGAAGCATTGTCCCATGCGAGCGGCATACTTGGCCACGGTCTTGATGCGAGAAAAGTCACCCATTGACTCGCGGATACTATCGCAAGAAACTTCGTCTGTGCCGGCAAAGAAGTAAGCACCGTTCTCCCGAATCTGCGAGTTTCCAAAAGCTAGGAATTCGTAGTGGCGTGCCCCGATTCGAATGCCGCGTGTGAGGACGCGAAGAACACGTTTGTACATCTCGTCGTCCTGTTCGCTCTCACTTCGAGGATAGATTCGGCCTTCATAAAGTTCTCCAGTGAACTGAACACGAATAAAGCGGTCCTGTAGAGATCTGTACTTCCGGAGAACTCGATTGGCGATCTCAAGGCCTGGCGAGGTGAAGTACACCCCTGTCGGGGTCACCATAACCTTCCGAGTCACCACGCAATAGTGAGGCACCCTCAGACTCAGGGCTTCCATCCTAAAGGGGGTATCTTCATCCATTTCGAAGATTGACATCGGGTCGCTAATACGCTCTTCGTTGTCGGCGACGTACTCGAGAATGCGTCTTGCCTCCTTCGGGTCAAGACTGCCAAGTTTTTCCAGAAACTCGGGGTCTATAGCATATTCTGAAAGCGCACCGCGAGATATGCATACGTCGAGCTGATACCTGATCTCGAACGGCATCTTGTCTAATATGGTTGATGATGTCTCGATGATCTTCGCGAGGGTCTCAGACTTATCAGCTAAGTCGCGCCGCATCTCAGGCTCTAAATTCGCGAGTGTCCAGAATGGAGGCGATAGGCGGCTGTCCACCTTTATCTCCGTCTCGGAATCGATGTTAACGTTGAAATCCCCAAGAGCCTGAAGAACGGTGGTCAACTCCGTGCATTCTTCCAAGATGAACCTGAAAGTTGTCCACCTTCCAAGATGGATGAAAGCCGGATCTGTGATCTCCTGCGAGTCATAGGGCGAGAGTTGACGGAACATAATACCACCTGCGTCTGTCGCAATGTCGGTAACTCGGTACCACAGACATCCCTCCGTCCAAACCGTCGCGTTCTTGGCGAAAGTTTCCTCGACATTTGTTCTCTTCCAGAAGTAATGAGGAGGATAGTCGAGTGGAATGGTTAATTCCCAGGCAGTTGGGCCAGCTTTACGCCAGTGAATCTTCTTTAATTGGTGAAAATCCAAGACGAACTTGTAGAATTGCGTAGGCCTCGTTGCGAATTTGACTCCAAATGAAGCCACGATCTGCTTTCGAAGGAGATCGACGGTGAGCTGAAGCCCCCCATCCTTCTCGGGGGTGAACTCGCGTTCGATTGATTTCATTCGTAGCATGGTAGCGTCACCGAGCATAACACCGAAGTCCAAAGAGATAGGGCTCAGCTTGCTGATCCTGCTGTACCATAGGCGAGCGTTGATGGGACTTCTGACCGTGCTATCCATCATTCGCTTGGGTGGCTCGACTTCGATAAGGACTTTGCAGTTCTGGCCAGCTGAGCGCATCCATATGAAGGATTTTTCCCAAAAGGCCTTGGCCGGCGGAGGGCTGAACCGTACCCTTCCGATCCTGCAGTAGCCTTTTCCATCCTCAAGTACTTCGGCGAAGATTATCTTGCCCCCATGCTTTTCCAGGGTTCGATATAGGTCTAGCGGAAGTGTCGAATACGGTATATTTCCGAGTCTGATGGTCAACTCAGGCCACTTCTTCCAGTCTGGATCTGGTGCAGTTGGCACTAGGCCAGCCCGTTTGAATGAGGGCTCGTCTGAGAAATGGGGCTGAGACTCGGGTACCTTGGACTCAGCCTCGCCTGGAGGACCAGAAAGAAGGCTGACTAAAACCTCGTCTTGGTCCTGGTCCTTGGGAGAAACATCGGTTGACTGACCGGCTTCAGCGGCCTCAAACTGGTGACTGCCATTCTCTATCCTATCTGCCTTTTGGCCAGAAGTCCTTGATGCATTCTTTCTGAAAGAGGGCCCTCCCAGTTCAGCTTTCGGGTCGTCGGGGCTCCCTGCATGTCCCCGGTTAGTCGACTGTGGCCGTGTCAAAACCGTCGTGTAAGAAGTCTTACCTGAAGATTGAGCAGGGTTGAAAACCCCAAGATGGCCACTGCCACCGGTCTCCCCGCTTCCATCAATCGCCATGGCTGGCGGTTCTGAAGCAGGAGCCAATGGGAGAGGAAGTTCCCCTTGACTTTTTGAGTCTAGGTTGGAAGGTAAAACCTGAGACAGAGAGGGAGACGAGGGTTGGATAAATGTGAGGGAATGGCTGTTTCGATGCTAGCTCCTCTAGGCGAGTGAAGTGTGAAGTGTGAAGTGTGAAGTGTGAAGTGTGAAGTGTTTGTTGTGGGTGTGCTAAGAGTTAGGTGGATGGGCTGCGGAGGCATAGAACTTGTCCAACAAGGAAATATTGAGGATGAGATAATACCAGATGAATTGGTATATGACTGGGAATTCCTTCGTCACAGGCACTTACTTCTCAGATGGAATTGAGATGATCAGCTGTAGTACTGCAGTAGGGTATTCCTTGATGTGGTTCAAGGGGATTGGGGGAAACAAGAGGTAGAAGAAGAAGAAGAAGAAGACTGGTAATTGGAAATGGAAGAGGAGAAGAGTAGAGGCGGCACCTTGGGAGATCTAAGGGATTGGGAAGGAAGCTACGATGAGGTCAGCATCAATGAGATTTGATAGACTCAAAATTTGAGGAGTCATGGGAATAATGGGAATAATGAATCTTTATCTGTGAAATCAGGAAGGTGCTGTGGAGGAAGGGAGGAGGCTGATTGAGTTGAGGCAGGTACCCGAACCTCAATCTCAATTATTTCAATATTCACTCTCAGGTTGGTCAAGGATAGAAACTAGAGCCCTGGGGCAGGTAACTTTAAGAAGATCGACAAGACGCTATGGAGTGATTTATGGAAGATATAAGCATCGTGAAACTGCAGGAGAAGGGAGGAGGGAATAGAGGCCTGTGTAACAAATCCAAGGCGTCCATCCCTGCAACGGGGCAGATAGATTAATCCATACACAAGATTCGTGTGGCTGATGTTGTTTGCTCTCTTGATCCTGGGGTGCAAACAGAGTCATAAAACATCTTCTCATACAACACATGTAGTAACGGGCCCAGAAATGCGGAATAAAGACTGTAATTGAAAGTTTCTTGTACGCTGGTCGCCCCATACCTTCGAGTCCTAGAAGATAGGCCTCCTTCTACACCCCAATGCTCATGCTGTTATGCCCTTGAAACCAATGCTATGATGGGAGAGAAGGAAAAGGACAAACGAAACAATAAAATGAAGAAAAGAGAAATCCTCCAAAGCCCTCTTTTTGAGTAACCCGTGAAACAAGAGACGGTGTCAAATTTATACACCGTTTCATTCCCAGCGCCATATCGATTGTCGCCCCAAGATTCAAGGAATCAAGGAACATCCATGATCTTTCCAGGGTTCATGATCCAGTGCGGATCTAGAGCCCGCTTGATCGCTCTCATCACCCCAAGAGTATCAGGACCAACCTCGAGCAGGAGCGAGTCCTTCTTACCCCATCCAACAGAGTGCTCACCGGTACAGGTGCCCTCCATGTCGATGGCGCGCTTGACCATGTTCTTGACGCACTTTTCGACCTTGTCGCGCTCCTCCTTCTTGGTGCGGTTGTAAATGATGCTCTCGTGGAAGTTGCCGTCTCCAATGTGGCCGAGTATGCTGGCGAACAAGCCGAGGTCATCCATCTCCTTCTTGCTCACTTCAATGATGTCGGCAAGTCGGCTGAAGGGTACTGCGACGTCGGTGCTCCCTACATGCAAACATTAGCATCAGAGAGTTGAGGGGGAAGAGGGAGAGGGAAATACACCGAAAACGTGAAGGAAAACGACTCACAAACTTCCTCTCCATCCTTTCTCAGGGCAAGCATCGACCACAAAGACTCCTTCCTAGCCGACCACAACAACTTTTGCTCCTGCTCGTCCTTGGCAAACTCAAAATTTCCCCCCTTGTGCGCCTTGGCAATTCGTTGCACCTGGTTGATATTCTCCTTGACACTGCTCTTGGTACCGGCAAACTTGAAGAAGAGCGTGGGCTGCTCCTTCCACGTCCGAGGTTTGGTGGCGCCTCCCATGTTGACAACCTTCATTTGGACTTCGTCCATAATCTCCATGGCGGCCACGGGAATACCGGACTGCATTACCTCGGCGGCGGCAGAGGCTGCGTCGCGGATGGACGGAAAGGGGACTACAGCTACCGAGAGATCTTCCGGGATGACGGCAAGCTTGAGGGTCGCTGAGTGCGAGAGTGTCTTGTTAGTAGCTCTTACATTGGCTAAAACGGAAGTATCCCAACAGGAATGCCCATAATATGAGTAGTTGCGAAACCATACCTTCGGTTACCAGTCCCAAAGTGCCTTCGGAGCCAACGAAAATGCCGTTAAGGTTATAGCCCGCGGATGATTTCCTCGGTCGACGTCTCGTTTTGATCACCGTGCCATCTGCTAGCACGACTGTCAGGTTGATAACCCAGTCCTTCATGGTGCCATACTTGACGGCATTAGTTCCAGAACAGTTGGTTCCAATCATGCCACCAATCTTTGCACTCGGGCCTAATTCCCGTGGGTTTCTTTTGATTAGCATAAGAAAACTCATCGTTGTATGAACTGAGGCGATGAAAATGCACTTGAAAAATCATAAATTATAAGGAGAGGAGGATAAGAAACTCACCTGGATCGATGGGGAAGAAAAGTCCACTTCCCTGCTTTGCAAGCTGCTCATTCAAATCCTGCCACCCAATGCTCGGCTGCACCACAATATCCATATCATCCTTGTTGAACTGAATAATCTTGTCCATAAAGGCGAAATCGACACTAATACCTCCGTAAGGAGCCGAGAAGTTGCCTTCGAGACTGGATCCTCCGGAGTAGGGGATGATTGGCACGCGGTACTTGTAGCATATCCGAGCTAGGATCGACACCTCCTCGGTCGAGCGCGGATACGCTACGGCGACAGGGAGGCCATCTGGGTTCGTGGTCGACCACTCGGAGTATCCATGGGCATACAAGTCCTCCGGGTCCGTGGAAATAATGTCTTCGTGGCCGAATGCCTGCCGGATTTCGTCCAGCGCCTGAAAACGTGGGTTAGTCAGACGATACTGTCTCGTTGTTCACATGGCTATTTCAATTTTGAAGGCTTTTGAAGACTTTTGATGATACCTTTTCCATGTCCTTCAAATTTGCATAGCGAGGGCGCTTTCCGGCGTCCAACAGAGTCTTGTGACCTCCGAGACGAGGCAGGAGGTCACCCGCTACGAATGCGGTTTCCGGACTAAGCGAAGCAGTTGCCCATCCAGCAATTCCAGCACCCAAAGCCACGGCCATGACGGAAGATCCCGTCCACTTGGAGGACTGCGGTGCTGAAGAGCCCGCATTGTTTGAAGTTTGGGAGTACCGGGGACCCGAAGTGGAGATTGGTTGCCTGTGGGATATCGACCGAGAGGCCGCTCGGCCAGAACGGAGGAGCGGTCGTGCGCAGTTGCCCACCGACATTGGTAAAAGTGTGGAAAGCTGCTGCAGTATGTACTATATAGGTAGGGGGTGGCGAATGATGTCGAGTCACCGACGAGTTGTTACAAGTGTGGTGTCTCTCACCTTTCTACCCGACGAGTGAGTTTCCTGGCTGGGGAATGCGAAATCGAAGAGAAAACTAGGTTGATATTTTATTTTCCGATGAAAGACCAGCTGTCTCAGTATAGACGAAGTTCCGAAACCGAATGGCCGACTGATGGTGACAGGCCCCTTTGAGATTTAGTTGACAGTCTTCAGTAGAAGGTGTAAGATGAGAGGGCCTGGCTCGTTAAATAGTGATCCTCCAGAGGTTGAAATCAATGAGATGCTCTAGAGACAGTGGATAAAGAAGAACAAGCCTAAATTCCGGAAGACTGGAGCAACGAGTTTTCATCGACCAAAAATGTCAATGTAAAAAGGCGAATAAAAATCCGGTGTGATTCACGCTAGCTTCGTGATGATGAGGAAGGAACGGTGGGTGTCTTGATGTATTATACCCAGATCCGAGTGAGTGGGTGCTTACTCGAAATGGCGCTGTTTGCTATTGCGGGCTTCACTGTGGTGGATTGGTGGTGTGGTGGTTCTGACGGTTCTGACGGTTGTGACCCTCGATAATACCAACCAGTATCAGTATTGAACTATTAACTACCAAGGTAGCTGTGAATCATTGAACCCGTCTCGGCTTCAGGTCTGATAAATGTCGAGTCCAGAGTTGAAAATTCTCACCCTCAAACGAACAGTTTTATAAGCGGTGACCGGGAATCTTGAACGCCTCGTTGCCTCGACAGGGTTCTCGTCCTCCTCTTTTTCGATATTTTTTTCTCCCAACCAGCAGACCCTACCTCGAAAGGGCAAAAAAAAAAAAAAAAAAAAAAAAAAAAAAAAAAACAAAAAAAAAAAAAAAAAAAAAAAAAAAAAAAAATAAAAAAAAAAAAAAAAAAAAAAAAAAAAAAAAAGAAAAAAAAAAAAAAAAAAAAAAAAAAAAAAAAAAGGCTCAGGCCCAGAAATGTCGGTGGCTTTCGAGGTACTGGGCTTAAAAGTAAGGAAAGTAAGGAGCTGATCCGATGCAGGTGGAATTTGAAATGAAGCGGGCTTTGTACTGTACCACAGGAAGATTGGGCTTGCTTCCCTTCCTCACGAGGTCTGTTTCCTCTTCCGAATCTGGAACCGGTTGCAGTTGAAGAGAAACGTTCTGGTGGAAATAGGAAAAAGGCACCCCGGCTGGATGTGGTTGAATGCGTCAACTGGTACGAAGGTATTATCCCAAGGGTATGGGTTAGGTCTGTGAGTGAGTCCTGGTCCAATCAGGTCTAAACCCTCGTTCAGAAACGTTATATTTTTGTCACTTGGGGAGGCGAATATAGCCCCTATGGACGGGGCGAGCGAGAACGGATGGCAAAAAGCAAATTCTGCAGGCTCGCAAATGCGCAACCAAGGACGGCTGAAGACTGAGGAGTAAGGGGAAGATGTGGATGAAGTTGCCGAGTGATGACGATCATAAGTACGGACTTGAGCAGGGGAGACACGAGCTTAGGAGCGTTAGGGCGGAGTACGGAGTAGACACTGGGGATGCAAGGGGAACCAGGACGGATTTGGGCTAAACATCTTCGAGAGGGTTGTAATCGGTATAGAGGTTCACGCAACATATAACAAGTGGATTCGTACGGTAACTTTTCTTTCTTAAACCATCGACACGCATGTAGGAGAGATGAGATATGCACCGAGGGTCGCGTGAATCGAACATTGAAACGGCAGGTACGCAGCTCAAAACAATGAATGCACGGCCAAGTATCTATACTACTTCATGTTCGCAGGCGCGTGTACAAGGAAGGGGTTACCTTGTAGGGTTGGAGCTCCTGAGTGTCTCCTCGTCGAAGTGGGAGGGAATCAAGAGTGTCTGTTTATTGAAATGTTGAAACGAGGCGGGGCCTCGCAGAATAGGAATAGTTGAACTCAGAGAGGGGAAGCGGAGAGACAAAGACGCTAGAGAATGAGGAGTTGGGAATGGCGGACGGGTCCGACTCGGACAGGGCTCTTGTAGAGCTTAGACTTTGAATCATAGCAAACTGGATGTAAATTGGTTTTGTACATACACAACTTGGTATGTTGTTCTCTGGAACTTTTTGAGGGACATTGAGCTCAATCTATCCATCAAGACACTAGCTTCAAATTCGGCCGAGGCGGTAACCACTGGGCGTGGGGATAGAAAGGTGTGCGAGGGGAATGTGAGAGTGTGGTGGGAGGCGATTGAATCGAAGAAACGAGAAACGAGAAACCAAAAACGCAGAAACGGTGATAAAGCTAGCCCAATTTAAGCCGTCCAAAGAATCATGGAACGGATCGATGGACGCATGGGGTGGGATTGGGGGGTTTCTTGGTTTCTTAGTGGCGTGGAGGTTGATAAATTCCAGAAATGGCAGATGCAAAGGCTGGCGCCCTCAAGATGCGTCAATTTCTCCCTCACCCTTTCCAGCTTGCATTTGATACGTTGTTGGTGAGATGAGACGGAGTGAGAGAAGGGGGCGAAGGGGAGAAGGGGAAAAACTTTTCTTCCTGGAAGGACTTCAATGTTCATTGCCGCATGCTTCACCCTTGGAGAGCGGCTCTTGTACTTCACGTACAGGTACGAACGTCGAACGGCATCGACAGCTTCTACCGTACGGGTAGAGGAGCCGCGATTGGCCCGAGCTTCAGGAATAATATGGCGGAGGTAGATTTCTATTGACGGCTTCGTACAATATTGCACCTCCATGCCATCAGTTGTGGGTATTACGACCTCTAGAGTCCAGAACGCCAGGCCAACGTGACGACGGAGGCAGCATCCGGCCTGCTGCCATAGGCTATGAACCATCACGGAGTCGCCTTTTGCAGGAGCTCAGTTCTTGCCTGCGTCGGGCTGGTCTTATTCTCCACCTTGAAGTGACGAGGAACAGTGCCCGATGTGTGATCAACAGTGTGCGGCTTAGGCACAGCCAGACAGCCAGGCGGCTTCCGGCCCTTATCTGGTCTAAGCAAGACATAGAAAGTAGTATTCAATACCTCAAGCTGACGCGAAGGAGAGGAATCCAAGAGGAATCCAAAACCGGATTGGATCTCTGTTTCCTATGCGTGGCTTGTCCGATCGGGAGTTTGGAATGGTGGAATGAGCGGAAATGCCCGACGAGAAACGACTCGCCGTGCCATTCGGTACATATCATGGCCGAACTTCAAAGACAACATTGAATGGTCGGCGGTGATCAGGGACTCCTCGTCAGTGTGGGCCCGTCGGGAAAGGACGAAAAGAAGTCACGCGCTAGGATCTGCGAAGCGACTCTCGTCTCATCGGAGGTTTGGTGGGAGCGGTCGAACTAAGACGACGTGCATCGAGATTTGATATAAACTAGCGCAGACTATTTGCGCGTAAACCGGGAAACGGGATAACGAGGCGGGACTGCCAAGAGGGAATTTAGAAAAAAAGATACACGATCATGGCTGTTGGCTCCCTGTCGATGAAGTGCATGCAAGGTCGGAGATCAATCCGACAGACCACTTTCATCTGGACTGTGATGATACATAAGGTGGCAGATAAAGTCCGACTACCGAGCCTAATAACCTGGATTGAGAAGAGCTTCAACACGGATCGGTATCCATCATCACTTGATGCCACTTGACATCTGATGGACTGGACTGTACTTCGTACCTGTACAAGTAATTTCGAGTTTGGAGGCTAGCAGCAAGCGGCTTGTTCGGTGCCAGTGCTGACTCGGAATATTACCCTGTAATTAACATCGCTCGAGATTCAAATCCATTTGTGTCGGAGCCTCCCAGATTGACCACTTTTCGAGATTGGTGCTCGGTATTACATCGAGGATAGCGTCGGCATGACCGTGGAGAAGCGGAAGAGTTCAATGTTCCAGACACAATTTGCAGCGTCAGCATCAGCGATCATATTAGTTGCAGCACCCGATGGGCAGCCCACTCAGGAACGACTTGAGGTCACCACCAGCCAGGATAGAGTGATATTGTTCAAGTTGATTACGAAGTACGAAGTATTGCGATCAAAATCCCAACTCCCACACTAATCCACTAACACGGAGTGGTCGCTCGCGCTCCATCACTGATCTCTGAAATCCCAACGGCATGACCACCTGCCAGTTTATGTTGCCGGATGGTCATATTTGATGCAGTGCAACAGCAGCACACCAGCTTTACCCGCCCAAGACACATCTGCTCTCAATTGTGATGCACAAGATCGCTTCTGGAAGTTCCGGATCCTCAGGCCACCACCCGGCCCCGTCCAAACGATCGCACGTCAATGGCGCAAAGATTTTCATCTTGTTTTATAATCGTGATGGTGAATCCCATTCTCCCGAAACCTGCATCCTTATACCCCAGCGCCCTTACCGCCAGACTTGGCTTGGCCTGGGCCTCCTTATGGCCACCTGCATCTCGAGGCCTGATGACCAAATATAATCCGTCGACAATGTCATCGCTTTTCAATATCAACCGCACATTATTACAATCGTACTACTTTCGAGCCTTGAATTCGACCCCGACCATATCTCGTAGGCTCAGCTCCGTCACCGACTTTTCATTCCACTTCCCGCCACCGCTTCTTTCTTGCTCGTCTCGATGGAGTACGAAGTTCACGTCTGTCAAATAGGCACAGATACATACCCCAGACCCCAGACTTGACCCCGGGAGGGACTCTGAACTAGTGCTACTTCGGAAGTCAAAGGTCGTCCGGTTGTCGGTACTAAACCACTTCGCGAAACCCCCTGGCTCATGTTCTTCTCAAGACATATGTACCCCATACTACCCTAAAACTGGATCCACCTCTTGTCCCTCTTCGGACTATTCCATGCGAAGTATGTAGAGCTGGAACTGCGACGATGGAGAGGCTCTCGAATGGTGGTTGACAACGACAGAGGTAGAAGCATGAGCGCAATGTAGCTCGGTAGAATTGCTCCGGTCGCCCTCAATTCAATGGCGTTTGGAACCGGGAATCTCGTTCTTCACGACTACTGGAGCACATGTCGTGGAATCCATTACGCGATGAATCTGAAAATGATCACCTTCGCTTAACTCTTCCCCCCTCCATCAATCTCCAATGTCTCTAACCGTGTCCCCCCTCTTTCAAGCAACATGCTGCAGAGCATATGCATCTTCCCCTCCAGAGTTGCGGTTGGCTTTATTTCCCCGGGTTGTCCAGTCACACTTACATGTAAATTGTCTCGACGCCCATCCATCATTCCGTTCCGGGCAGCTTCCCACGAGACCACCACCAGCATCTTCAACAGCTGCCTCTCCGCACTTTCCTTTCATCGGTTTCATTCGCCTCGTCTGCTTCAACCCCTCAGCAACCCTGCCTAACCGACCTTTGGGGCCATGCTCCCCGCAGCTGAGGTGAGACGACATGACGTGGTCCCGCCTCTTGAGGTCCGCGGATGATTAGGAATCAAATTTTTCCATCGCCCTGCTCGGCTGCCACTGCCTTCTTCATATCGCCTGCAACTGTGGAAACGGGCTTTTGAACATCCTTAGCAAGTCCAAGCCGCTGCATCTACGGCATGGCAAACCAAGGCACCAGAGCCGACTCAGGCACGAAGGCCCTTTTCCCCCGGCAGCTGCTGCACTTGCACATTGTGCAGTATGTCTGCCAACATGACGATCTATCCCGGCTTGCTTCCCTTCCTTGCGCACGACACTCGACAGTCGCATAAACTTTCTCGGCTCTGGGGACGACATCTGACCAGCTGCTGCATGTTTCTCCTTCTGCACTTATCCGAACACGACGTGAAGTTGACCAGTCCTAGGCGAGGGGTTATTAAGACGCTCGTTTTACTTCGCAGTTCTTTTCGCGTTTGTATTTCTGTAAATGATGAAGGCGGTAACAATTACTCGTGCCTCTCTCTGCAACAACGGTCAATGAGCAATTACCGTCGCTGGAACCCCGTGAATGTGAGTCGAATCCGGCATGGTCAAGGATCTTCAGCGGGCCTGTTGGTACCGAGAACCATTGCCTATGTACCTCCTTCGGATGCAGTACTTCGTAGTTTATTACCCCAGACTCCAACCAGGGAAACGCTACATTAATAGTACCCGATCAAGCAGGTCAATAATACGTTGTGGACTGACCTACAGATCCCTGAGCAGCTTAATCTGACATCGGTGAAGTCGGTGAGCAAGAGCGTGTGGAGGTACGAAGTACGTCCCTCCATCACACTTGCTGTTGCCAACCTCAAATCTCAACCTCAACATTGACTCGTCCCTGAATGAAACCGCCACCATTTGACCACCAGTGCAGCTTGCAACGACGCCACCCAACGCATATTCCCTTGAACATTACGACGTAATTTCCCTCATTCGCCCACGTTTCCGCCCCGAGTCCTTTTCCAGCTCAACCCCCACGCCCTTAGCCTGGTCCAGGCCCAAGGAGAGGGTAACAACGCCCGCCGCCCTGATGATCCTTGTTAAGGGGAGCACGATAATCTCTTAACCCTCATCCCGCCCTCTCAACCGTCGATTTCACCTCTGCAAATCCCGAATCCGTTACAACTTCGCCGTGAAACCTCTTATGAGACACAAGTTCTTTTTTCTCACCTGAACCCTACGCTGTCCGGTGACCCACCCCTCCTGTGAGAGGGAGGGGGTGAGAAAACAGACCGGGGATTTTTCATATCGCTCACTAATGGAAAAGCCAAAAGCGCGGCCCTGCAGCTCGGTGGCTGAGGCCTGTTCCGGGTTCACCCCAGAAGCAGTCACCGCCAGACTGGAACGATGTCAGACTTCCCATCGTTCCTTCGGGGGTAAATGTCGAGGGTGCTGGGCCATCTGCGGGAGGAGAGGAGGGCTGGTCTTTCTCTAGCGAGGCGGCTTGGCAAGATGATTTTGTCTCGCTCTTTTTCTTGTTCTTGAGTTTGCACTCGGTAAGTCTAGTTTGGTCTGAGAGAGCACAACCTAGCAATGTCATGTTCCTGTAAAAGCAGGATTACCTGCGTACGTAGCAGGTCACGCTCTCTCAAATGTAAATATCCGTAACATCTGTGCTGTAAGCGGGCCTAGCTAGATACCAGAAATGGCTGTCAGCGCTGACTTCGGAGGCAAAGTCTCCAATATCTTGAGCGGGACAGCATCCTCCAAGTCGGCAGCGATTGGGTCATCTACCCTGTTTTGATCTCGTCCCGATGTCACCATTACCCCACGCTCCTCTCAAGATGAGAATATAATCGCTCTCTCAATCCCGATGCCATCAGACCATATCTCCTGCAACTTTGCTCCGATTCCATTACACTAGTCCATGATGCAAACGAATCACTCTGTCTTTATAGATTATCATGCTGCAGGGCTTTTGTGGCTGGCATGGGGGCCAGGAGTTTTTCCACACAATGGTAAGGGATGAAGGTTGATGGAGGTTATGATCGGGAGTCGGGTTCGAAGGGGTGCAGATTATAGGCTCTGGGACTAAAGCGAACAATGACCCTGGGATGGTCTTGTCCGCGAATCACTTGTTTTATCACGTTGCGTGGGCACTCTGTTCACAAAAAGCTGAAGTTCAGTCACTCAATTTTTCGAAGAGTCAATTGCGTCTCTTCCCGCAGAGACCTTGCCCCGTGTGGCATCTCTATTTCTCGCATGGAAAACGCTGATTCTGACTCGGACGAAATCAAACAGGCAACCAGAAACGCCTTTTTTTAATGCTCATTCAATTCCATGGCCCGTGTGTGTAAAGAGACTGATACCCCATTACCTATAAACATAGCTTTTTTTTTATGCTTTAGTGAGCAGCAGCGTGCGCCCGGCGGCGGTCACGCTCCTCAGCAATAGTAAGCTTGACACCCTTGCCCTTGGGGAGGGAGATCCAGGGCTTCTCGGTACCAATGACGAAAACGTTGCTCTCACGGGTAGCGAACGAGTTGTCGAGGGCATCCTTGAGGTGGACGATGTTGAAGCCTCCGTCGTGGCGCTCACGGTGGGTGATGACACCAACACGACCCATGTTACGACCGCCAGTAACCATAGCGAGAGCACCAGTGTCGAACTTGATGAAGTCGGTGATCTTGCCAGTGGCGAGATCGATCTTGACGGTGTCGTTGACCTTGATAAGAGGATCAGGGAAGCGGATACTACGAGGCAGAATGAAACCGTTAGCAGACTGGGGGGATAAAGGGCATGACATACAGCCGTCAAATAAAGCTCCAATCTTGTATTCGTCGGGTGACTTCGAATCGACCAAAGCTTGATCCAACGGCTGAATGATGTCTGACAGAACTCACGTCCTAGCATCGTGCGTGACCAAGAATGGGATTCCACCACGACCGAGCTGAACTCGCTTGACCTTGCCGAGCTTGTACTCAGCCTCCTCGGCCTGGATACGGTGGACAGCGAAGCGGCCCTTGGTATCGTAGATGAGACGGAAGTTCTCGCCGGTCTTGTCGATGGTGATGACGTCCATGAAACCGGCGGGGTAGCTGATGTCGGTTCGGACCTTGTTGTCGACCTTGATGAGGCGCTGCATCACGATGGCCTTGGTCTCACGGCTAAAAGCAGACATTCGTTAGCAAGTTCGTCTCATTTTCTCACGGCGAAAACGAGGCAGAACGCACTAGTTGAGGGCATATCGGAGTCGGTTTCGGACGAAGATGATGAGAGGGAGGCACTCGCGGGCCTTGTGAGGACCAGCACCGGCTTTCTATAGCAATTGTTAATTCTCTTCCTCTTCTGGAGAGCGAAACAATCTTGGGTTCAACGAACAGGAGCGTAGGTTCCGCCGAGCTTGTCGAGCATCCAAGCGCTGGGAGCGCTCAGTCTCTTCTGGTGCTTCTTGCTATGAGATAGTTAGTACGAGGCTCAAAGGCGCGCGATTGCGACGCATCTCCGCGGCGAAGAGCGAATCTCAAGGCCGAAAGGTATGATATATCGAGATTAGACGGTGTAGCAAGGCGGCGTCGACTTACATTCCACGGGCCATTTTGATTGCTGGGCGTTGGTGATGGGGTTAGTAGATCAGAAGTTTCGTGGTTGAATTGAGATCTCGAAGTTCTTTTTTTTGTGTGGTTATTTTTTTGGCTGGTGGGGTTTCTGATGTTTCGAATCACGTGAGAAAAATTGGACGAGCCGCCAAAACTCGACGAGTGCAATTGTAGGGTTAATAAAATTGTTGATGACTAAGCGGGATGTTCCGTTGTCCTTAAACTGAACTCCGAAGGAGGAACAATTCAAACTAAGAATGCTTAGGAAACTGGATCAGGCTCAGATATTGTGTTCATTTCCATTCACTCAGGGGTTGTATTAGGCCCTTCAAACGTTGCGCGGATCTCTCTACTTATAAGTGAGGCTTCCAGGAGCCAGTGAAGATGACTGTGATGGTAATACAGCATCGAGAAGCACATGCTTCCCACCCCATCAATGTTCATCAATGCTCGAATTTGCCAACTATTAGCCTACCGTCGTTTCCATACGACTTACGAAGTGGGCATAGCTATATTCAGGCAGTACAGTGTACCACTGACCCGCTGAAAACTGCGCTGCTCTGAGGTCCCTCATTTTTACAATCGCCAAGGACCGATACACCACTTACGTCACCGTCACGATGGCTTCAACTTCTCCGTTTGCCGACCTACCCCCAATTAAGATTGGGAAGGGTGGCGGAATTGGACGCCTGAAGGCAATTTTAGGAATAACACCAAATTCTGGACAACTCTCCTCCCTGGATGTCGTGATTATTTCGATCGATCTGGAATTGCCAGGACAGGACCGATGGGACATGCACAAGTTCAAGACTGAAGGATGCGGCATCGCCATTCTTGATACACGAGATCTGAGAGACTCTAGCCCGAGAAAGAGCCTCAACGATCTCATTACAACCCAGGAATTCTCTACTAAATACCCCGTCAAGGCGAAGAGATTGATACCTGGCCGGCGATGCATATTTGCCCCGACGAATCGCATCGGTCAGGACCAGTTCCGTTCCGTGATCGCTAAAGCTCTCCAGGTCAAGGACCAAGACTATCCGCCGACTGGCCGCCACGCTCGTCTTCGCAACATCGTCCTTGTAGGTCCTTCCGTGACAGACGACTTACGAATCATTCAGCTCCTAGGTGTCGACATATTCAACGTCGCTCCCGTGACGGCAGTCGTCGACACATTTAGAGTGGCGCTATCAGTCTTCGGGCATAATGCGAGCCGACAAGGTTGCCGGGGCCGCTTACAAGTTTTTCATTAGGAAGTGTTCTGACGGGTCTTGGGTGCCCACACGAGGAGCTCTACCTTTACAATGCGGGGAACGATGCTACATATACGCTGGTTGCTATGATCAAGCTAGTCGTAAAAGGCAGTAGTAGTATGAACAGACTTCTAAAGCGGAAGGAGGAGGCGAATATTGAGCGCCTTGAGAATCTAGTGTTCACGGACGCGACACCAAAGGTTGATGACCATGGCAACCCGCAAGAAGAGCCGCCGCGATGAGATCTTCAGAATCCATTTTTATAGAATTATATCTGTTTACGGGCTGTGCAGGTTTTGATTCATCACTAATGGTTTCAAGCATTCTCCTACCATATCTCTATGCTACTCAAGCGGAAGAGGGGGAAAAAAAGAGGAAAAAAAAAAAAAAAAAAAAAAACGTTTTCAAGCATTGCGCAGATCTCTCTACTCATAAGCGAGGCCTCCAGGAACTGGCGAAGATGACCGTGATGGTAACACAGCGCCGAGGAGCGCCTGCTTCCCACTTGGCCGTAAATCTGAAGTGTTATCGACGAGAAAGCGGGATATATCCATCTCCCCAATGTTGGCCGTTGTTGGGACAATTGATATCAGCTCGGGCAGTTCAGGACCCTGAACTGGACCACCCCATTTCAGCATCTCGTCCCGTGAACTCGGCCGATTGAGCTGAGTGTCCACAGGACCAGAGGAAACCTTGGTCAGAGAGTTCTCTATCGTCATATTTACCGACGGTTCCAGCAATTCATTCCCAGGGTTGGTGTCCTTAATCTGGAATAGGCCCTTCTCGATTCGTTGGTAAACATTCGGATACTTGTTGCGGACCCTGTCCCTCAGGTCCGTAGGCTGTCGGCTGGATAAACTAAACCGAGGGTCCCGTTGTATCTTAGTCCATGCCGGTCCGTAGATATCCAGGCCTTCTAGAATTTCCTTGTCGTCCTGTTCTGTGAACGGCCTCCGCTCTCTGCGGCGTGAACGTTTGAATGGTCCGTGGATCCCTAGCTCCGCCAAATCCTCTAGTTTCTTGCGGTGGGCTCGGCTTTTCTTTTTCTTTAGAGGCATATCACTCGCCGACTCGCCCGCAGATGCCTGTGGTTCTGCCTCCTCCTCCTCCGTAGCGATCAAGATATTTTCGGACAGAAGACCGGTCTTAGCCTTTGATTTCGTTCGGTTGGTGGGTCCAGGGTTCCGAGTCGAAGAAGAGGATTTTCCGGGTGGCTTGGGTCTCCTCGGAAGGTTTGTGCGGAGCTCATCGGGACAGCATGTCCGGAATCGATCCTTCAAATCACCGGCGGTGCGATCATTGAAATTGAAATCGGGGTCCTCCAAAATCGTCGTCCACTTGCCGACTCCATGCCGATTCACGCCCAGAAGAAGATCTTTAGTCTCCGATTCCGTCCATTTCCTGCGGGGCTTCGTCGATCGCCTCCTGGTCTTCACACCTAGAGGTTTCGTTGGGTCACGAAATCCCGTGGCTGCGTTGCGATCCTCGTTGACATTCGTAAACTCTCGGAGCAGGTTGAGGTTCAAGTCATTATCATTGAAGGAGTTCGATGAAATGGGTGGGAATAACGCAGCATCTGGAGGCGGCTCAAGTAACCCGTTGATAATGGGGGGCATAACCTGCTGCTGAGTGGCCTTCTGCTTCTTCACAGGTTGGGGCAGTTGGACAAAGTCATCCTTGACTGCGATCGCTCGGTGCCTCTTCTTTGTAGATAATTCGTCAGACCCATCTACGCCGTCTCCAAGTATTTTGCTTAAAGGACTTGACGAATCCGGTGCTGATGTCTCTCCAAGTAGGAGGCGAAGCGAGTGGGACGCAGCTCCAACGCCAACCCCACGATCCAAGATGGTGTATCTCGAATCCGCCCTCCCGATCCTCAGATTGGTGCTGTCGTCAAGGAGGTAAGGGGGAAGCGTAGAATTCATAGAGTTTTTATCGGCTTGGATATTCGCATCGGGCTCGAGAGGAGGCAGTCGATCGGGATGCCGAGAGGTACCGGATGACTGGAGCGGCGGGAGGTCCGTAGAGGGGAGATTGGGTGTCGTGGCATCGTTGAGGAGGTGAATTAGGCGCGGTTCTATCGTGGCCATTGTGCTATCCTGGCATCAAAGCTGCACTCTCCTTTAGTCTGGTTGAGGGAAGGCCCATAGTCCGAGGCCAGAAATGTTCCAACAGTTCGATTCGATAGTAGCGATCTGTGGAGGGACGAACACCCATAAGCTCAGAAGAAAGCGACATAAATGTGATGCTTGGAAGGGACGATGGCAAGGCTATAGCGAGGAGATGTCGGAGGGTTCCTTTCACATGGTATCGACGAAAGATGGGAAGAGTTAAGACTGATGGCGGAGAAGAGCAAGCTGGATGTAAATCGACTCCTGGAATCAGCTGAAGCTACAAATACTATGACGGGACCGAGAGGTGAACCCCACCAAAAATGAATCGAGTTTTCACGTGATATGGATTCCAGACCGAAGTCTGGGAAAGGAGGGCCACCGCCAACTGGAAATGCTGAGTTTGATCGGAGACCCAGGCCATCCGCATGCAGGTCCAGCTCATCAACAAATCAGATTGGGAATCTAGTCTAGCTGTAACACTGTGCGTCTTGATCTTCGAAGTAGTTGAGAAGGCTTTTGCGAAAACATCAGAGGATAAGAAATCACTGGAAGAAAGAAAGGGGAAAATAAGAACACAAAATATGGCATCGACCCTTCCCCCATTCCCGAGGATTGTCTTCACGATCCTCGAGCCCATCTCCTTGTAAGACAACTCGAAAGGAGTCGTTACTGACTTGTACCCTTTTCTTTACATATTCCTCTGCCACCCTCCCGAACTAACATCCCCCGATAGGATAGGCGGCTTCGTTGGCGCCATTTACTCTCCTGACTGGTTCATTGCAGAGCAAATACCTAGCCCAGTCCCAGTTACAACTTCTGCCAACAGTCGCCTCGTTGCTCTCCAGCTCGGTAACTTATATCTTCTCCTCTGTATGGTGGGGCTTGCCGTGCTTTCGACTACCACGGAGATTAAAGTTGTTCGAAACTACCTCATAGCTCTTTGGGTAGCAGATATTGGACACATTGCACTCACTTGGTATGCCCTGGGTAACCACTACTTCACAGATGTGAGTAGGTGGAATGCCATGACATGGGGGAACATTGGGGCAACAGTACGACTTCCTCTCTCATTCAGATACTCTTCACTCTCTTTAGCTTACCTGCTAACTGGTGCTACTCAATATGGTAGGTCTTTTTGTTCTTGACTCGGACGGCCTACCTTCTCGGGGTTTTCGGCCCCGATAGGATCAGGAGAATTCCACCCAAAAAGGTCAATTAAGTGGCACAACTTCGTACTGGGGGTTCTATGTTGTTGTAGGAGTGGTTTTACAGGCTCTTTCAGAGCCAGTCTTGACCAGGGTGGATGCTGCACTGTCTCCGTTCCATTACTGGGATGATTCCCTCCTACTTCGTGAATTTAAGACCGACAATAAAAGAGACAGGAACCCATAATTTTGAGGAATTGTTGGGTGTTTGCAGAGTATTATCTTGTCTTGTCCAACCTCAATCTCAATTAGGCAGATAGATATGCCTCTGTTCCGTTCCAGCTGGTTCCGGCTCTCGAAGGAAGGAGCATACCAGAATGATCACGTGACGTCTTAACCCGAACCCGAACGATTGAATTTCCTGATCAGTCTTCCTTAGGGTTCAGGTAAACAAAGCTTTCTTGCCTCCCTACCGACACCCTCTTTATTCATCCCACTCAACACAGTCCTTTGATTATTTCCATCAGATAGTGTGTGTGTGGAAGAGGACTGTATACAGCTCACCTGGAACTGAATTCTGATCTTCTATGGTTTCTCGTTGTCACAGCAGAATTCGCCTACGTCATTTATACCCTCAGCAAAGCCACAGTCCTTCTAACCTGTCCTATGGCAACAGCGACACGATCTTCAAGGCGAGCTAACAGCTCTGCCAGATCTACAAGAAGTACACGAAAAAGGACTGCTGTAGTTGATGACAGCCAAGAATTGCCAGAGCCAGAGCAGCAAGCCACGGTCCAAAAGCGGCCTCGGCGCAAAAGAACAGCACCTTCCTCCAGCCAGGCCAAACAACCCTCGGAGATAAAGAGAGGCCCTCCTGCTCGGCGCGGGGCGAAGGCGCCATCCGAGCCTAGGAGCATTGAGAGTGTTAAGTACAATGTGGATGAGGACTCGGAGGCAGTGGGTTCTGACGGTCTCATAGAGCAAGGACTTGAACGTATGTATTACTTCAGAATCATATTTCCTCGAAGCATTGCTAATCTGCCACTGCTCTAGAAGCCGTGGTCAGAGTTGCTGTCGGAGATGAGGAAGAGCTCCTCAACGCTGCGGTAATGACCGCGCTCCAGCAAAATCTTCTGGCCGCTGCCCGGGGTCTTAGGGATCACCTCGGGCTTGCGGACCGTTCTACTAGGACATGGGAGATATTGCTCGAGTCGTATCGACAAGCGCTGAACAACTGGAAAGTCCACTACATTATGCGCGAGTCTCTCTTCTTAGACAAGGATCTCGTTGCTAGATCCCTCGACGATTCTACAGACAGGGATGCCCTTCTGAATGTGGTTTCTGCGACGAACTTGGTTATCCTCATGGACGCTCTGTTTGCCGTGGGCGGCAGCCAAGACTCCGACGACATCCTGAGCCTCCTTCAGACCCTGGACAAGCAATTCCCTTGGTGTATAATGACACCTCAAAGCGTTCTCTCCCAGCGCTACCAGGAGTACAACACGTTTGATCGCGCTCTCGATATCCGCACGCAGCGCTGGATCTACGAGATTCTTGCCGAACGCTCTCTGGACGGCACTACCGCGCTAGAAATCGGCGCTGATGTCTTCCTAGCCTCGGCGCCAGGGGAGGCCCGAAAATTTGACACCCTCGACCTCGACGACGGCGAGCTTTTGCCCATCTTTGACGTCGACTTCTCCCAAGATCCGGACATGGAGGAAGAGGAAGACCAAAGAGAGGCTAGGAAAAAGGTTGCGGACCGAGTTGATGAGCTTTGGCAATGTATGCAAGGTGCCGAGGTCGACATCGATGATCTCCAGAGGACATTTCCAATCGATAGGTTCTTCGACGATCTGTCGGAATGGGCGGACAACCTATTCCGTTCCGTGATTGACACGATAGAGAATGTACCTGTCCGCGAGCTCCAGAATGAAGAACTTGTCTCCTCGGCCGTAGAAGCGCAGATCCAGCAAGAGACTGATGACCGCGCAGATCCTAGGTGCGTACCGTGGCGCCGTTCCCTCGATGTCCATCTTTACGGTCACACTAACCGTTATTTCCACAGCACCCTTCACACCGGCGTAGCGTCAGTAGGCGCTCTTTTCTCAGCCTCCCGAGGTACCCGGGCTACCATTGGCGAAGCTGTCCCCTCCCGTGACCGGCACGTTTCAATCGAGGCTCCAGCTGCTGCTGTGCCTTCGAAGAAGAGATCCCGCCGGCAATACGAAGATGAGGACGAAGACGCGAGACTGCCAACGATCGACGACCGCGATGAAGACTATGTGCCAGACGAAGTTCCCACAGAGGCACTAGAGGAGCCGGAGGAGGTCCCGCCTCAATGTACCTACAAGACTCCTAAACGCAGGCCGCCGCGGGCCAAATCTTCGAGGGCTACAGAAGAGCCTCGCGAAGCTACAGGAAACCCATCGGCTTCCGCGTCAGAGATTCAGGCAGAGATCCGAGCAGCGACTCCAGCTGCTACGGGAAGACGGCCTCCGGAGCAATCCATTGTTGTGAGAGCCGGCACCGAGCTTCTCGAAGATGTCCAACCTGCTGTCAGACAACCTAGGAGGCGCATTTTCTGGACAAAGGAGGACACGGAGGCAGTGATCGAGCTCATTAGAGAGCACGGAAGTTACTGGGCGCACATGGAAGACAAGGCGAGGCGCGAGAAGTTGTTCGCGGTTCGGCGGACACAGCAACAGATTCGAGACAAGGCTCGGAATATCAAGGTTGATATTCTTAGGTATGCTATCCGGCCACTCCCTTTTTTTTCTCGGCCTTTTTCTACCTTCTCTTCTTCAGAATCGACTAACGTTGTTATCTTTTCTTGTATCAGAAACGATGGAGTTCTACCTAACAATTTCGACGCGGTTCTTCTCAGCGCGAAGGATCGGAATTTGCTCATCAGATGTGGGAAGAACCCTGACCGGAAGGAGGAAGATGTTGAAGACGACGGCAACCCTCTCAACACTGAGTGGGAGGACTGAGCAAGCCATTCACAATGTGCGATGCGGCAGGACTCGACTACCCTTGGGTTGTGAAGGTTTTATTTCATGGGTGGATATTTCAATTGCCGTTCTTCCCAGTATGGCTCCTGGAATGGCGTGCGAGGATGGTTTTCCTGGGTTGCTTTGGTCATTTTATTCTTATACTAGGTCTTTCTGATGGTGGTTTGGGATGGTAGTTTGCAATTTTGGCAGGTTAATCAACGGACTCGATACCCCTTTTCTTCCTCCAATGCAGTGTTTTATGGTACCATGCCTGTCTACGTGCGTTTGCTCCCTTGGTTGCTGCATATCATGCCCATCTCTCCTACTTAAAGCCAGCTGATACAGCCCATCGAGGCCAAGGAACACCACTCCGTGAAAGGAACTACGCACGAAGGTCTCGTCAACGTCAAGACGCAACAGAGAGGTGACGACAAGCAAACGACGAGCCTCTTTTCATTTTACCAGAAACCAAAGATTGACAGGTCTATCATTTGCGGGTCCCGACGAGAATCAATTGACGAAGCGCCAAGGGAGAAAATTAGAAGAAACAAGTCCACCTCCATTGAAACCCAGGTTTTCAAGCTCCCGGACCGGACGGGTCGAGAAGCCGAGAATGAACTAAGATACATAGGAGAGAATTTTTGACCGAATGGAGTGAATAGAACAAAAAGAAGCTGGAAAGAAATTGGAAAAGAAGAAGAGAGAAAATTCATCGTCCACAAAAATAAGGGGGTATTTTAAATCGCCTTTTGCGTTTTCAACCAATCTCATCCATCAATCGCCACTGAGGCCGGAGGAAAACCAAGGTCGAAACACCGCAAGACATGAGCCAAGACGCATCGCTTAGCTAGGCGTTTGGCCGTCGATGCCCACCGTGTTTTGTGTATCCATCAATTAGCAGAAAAAAAATTGGAATCAAAATAAGGAATGTCTGTCGTGCGACTCGTGATAGGGGCGGCGGTACTGGGGATCCGTGAAACGCGAATCTTTGAACATTCTAACCCTCCAAGAGCGCCACCCAACCCTTCCCCAAGTGCAAGAGAAGTGTACCAGAAAAAGTGAAGAAAGGGAGAAAAGAAGACACACGAAACCAAAGAACAAAGGGGGTATGCTGCAGTATTCAACCTCGACAACATGACGAAAAAAAAAAAGGAGAGTTTGGGAGGAGATCTGATCTGACCGGGAATCAAAAAGGCGTACCATGAATGCCACCTGAATGGTTTAGGGTATGGTTCATCAACAAGGAAAAGACAATCTAGCTCGCCCTTCTATATTCGGCGGCGCGTTTGTCCGTCCCGAAGCTTCAATCTGCTCGTCCTCCATCCCTCATACCACTGTTCTCGGCTAGCTTCACGGAGCTCGGCACGCCACTCACTGAAGACGGCATCCTTAAGACGGGTGAAATCGCAGTGTTCTTCATTGTAGGGATCGGCGAAACCCCAGGGGAATTGGCGGCCGATAACGCCGGGTTCGTAAAGGTCTGGGCTGATGATGGAGAGGGGCAGGAATGTGACATCCTCTTCAGCGGCCTCCTCCTTCTCTGCTTTGCGACGGCGGACGGAATCGTCGGGGTCCTGACCGGCCTCCTGGCCTTCGTTCCCCTGAATAGGGAGTCCTTCTCCGGGTGCCGAATCAGAGCCGGCGTCCGACTGCACAGCATCCTCATCAACCTCGTCGATCCGGCTGGAACTAGCCGAGCTGCCATCTTCGTCATCGAGCGCCAGAGACTCCAGTGGGTCGAGGTTAGCTTTCTTGATGCTGTTCCATACACTGCGTTTCAAGGCGGCCATGTGCTTCGTGGTGATCGTATCGGCCTTGGAAATAACGGGGATTACCGTCGTCTTGCCTTGGAGGGTTCTCATGACCTGAAGATCGAGGTCGTCGTCCAAAGCACCCGGGTTTCGTGCATCGCTGATACCGTTATGGCCGTTCGAGTAGATAGACTTCGCCGCTGCAACGTTACGGTCGAGCCGACTGGGATCGAGGACCAAGAAGACGGCGTGAATGTGGGTGTCCTGGACGCCAGGCGACCTGACTACTTTCATCTCCTCTGCAAAGGTTTCCTCGAACTTGCTCTCCAAAAAGGCGGACATCTCCCTGAGCTGCAGATCAACCACGTTCTTTTCGAGGCCTTCGGAATCCCAGAGTGTAAGTCCCACCCTCTCACCGTCAATCTCAGTTTCGAGATAGTGAGGAATGAAATTGCCCGAGGGCGGGGCATGGGGAGTAAAATCGTCCTCTTCAGCTCTCTTAGCTCTCTTCTTGGGTGGCAGGGCAAGGGCGGTCTTGAGGAACTCGAGGAAGGATGTCTTGCCGGAGTTTCGGGTACCGATGATTAGGATACTAAATTAGACTCCATGTCAGTATAGACAGTATTATCGAATCAGAGCCCTACATGGGATGTGGCAAGACGTACTTGAATGGGGTAGGATCCTTGCGTCTGCGGACCCTCCTAGGGCTATTGATAGTGCTAATCGCACTGCTGGCATAACTGTACCGACCCCGATGGGTCATGCTCTCGGTACGCGCATAGGGATCCCACGGCGTATTGGGAACCGGCGGAGGGGCGGGGACGGCTGTCAGGGGGCCCCGTCCGGGGTCAATTGACGGGCGAGCGGAATAGAGATCAGTCGTGCCGGAGATGATGGAGACCGAGTCGGGTCGTAATTCGGTGCCGAAACTGTTTGACAGTTGCTCGTGACCTCGGTAGACATCGGGAAGTTTAGGGGCGACCTTGGAGACCGAAGGCTGGCGCTCGGCGTCCTTGGCCTTGCGGGACTTGAGGTCCCCAGACTTGCTTCGACGGAGAAGCATACCGAGACTAGAACGGCGGGGCGGCGTCATTCTTGTCAGCGTAAGGCATTAACAGGGAAACTATCTTCCGCTAGGCTGCGAATTCGTGTACCTTGCGGAAGAGTAACCACGCGGGTGATATGCCTGCTAACGACCGCTATTTGATGAAGCGTAGATTCGATCGACGTAGCGTTGCCGTTGATGCTTTTCACGACGCGGGTTGATGACAGCGCGATGAGGGAACGAAGGTGGATCGCACGGGTTGCAGCAACCAACACTAGAGGGGGGTTCGGGGACCAAATTCCTAAGCTGAGCGAGCACACGTCGTCGTTGTCTGTGCGCACGATGAATACGAATCAAGGAATAGATGGCGCAGCCAGGTCGTAAAAGAAGATGGGGTATCGATGAATGATAACCTGCACATGAGAAGTTGTTAGCTGTGGCTGATGAACCCATCTCCTGATGAGACCCCAATTCCGAAACGATATATCGAAGGGCAGGGTAAGCGGTCATCGAATAGCCATCCACGCCCTCAATTAATATATGCTTCGCGTTCGCCTGCCGACTCCCATCAATGCGCAGCGCATCATTGGCCACAGAGTCCCAAGAATGGGTATCTGTGCTGCAAGAGTGCAGAAGCCCATTATCCACCCGAGAAGGTCTAAAAGGGTGTGCGCGGAGTGGTTGCCCAACCCCCGTTGAAGCTTGGAGTTCGACGGGACCGTTGGGTCGAGGTCTCCTCCAGCCATGCTTCACGCGCACTTTAATTCTCTTGCGATGCAGTCAAGAGATCGACGTCACGGGTGAAGTTGTGAGGTCTGGCCCGCAAATAAGGCGGACGGGTGGATTCACACAAGGAAAAGCATGTTTCGAAACATGGCCGTTTGGGGGGAGCACTAGCTCCAGGGGTAGGAAAACGAGTACACGATTAATCGAACATAGGCAGCGCCTGGCGATGTGCTCGAAACGCACGATGTAAACTTACCTGGCTTGATCCTGTCCAGTTCGTAGAGAAATTCGTTTATTAGGAGAAAAGATGAAGAAAAGAAATGCTGGCGATATCAATCGCAGGGAATGGGCGTTTCTAGAATAGGGGGTCGAGGTGGGACTCTGATGCTCGGCGCAGCTTCGACTTCAACCGACCATCCGCAACGTCGATTGGCTAACGAGGGTGTCAGGGCGGATATGGCTCTAGAACGAATGGATTCGCTGATAGCTCGGAATCACACGAGGATTGTCTCAGCAAGTCGGGACTTGGATCCGGGGCTAGAAAATCGCGGTTGACAGGTGAACTCCAAATTGGGGGAGACCAGGTGTTTCTGCGACGGTCAGCAGAGAACGAGTTCGAAGTGAGGTCGCGCGAGAGATGGTGGTGCCGGGCAGCGCAGGACGACCCGAGACTAGGTGGATCAAAACCGGGGTAAAGAGGGTAAGAAGAAGTGAAAAAAGTAAACAATGACAGGTAAAGATTTTGAAAGACTGTTTTACTTTATTTCTCAGTCGAATGCAGCTTGCATTGCAAACGATGCGAAGTGAAGAAAAAAAGTTGAAGGAAAAACGCGTTGAAGGATCCTTGCCAACTGTGAGAATTCAGGGAGGAAAGAACAATCTGGGCCGGACATGACACACCAGACAGCCAGGAACAGGACACAGGACAAAGGACACAGGACAGGAACCACCCACTTTTGCTCTGACGTTGGAAGGGAGCAACCGACTGGAAATGGGCAGGAGGGGGTGAGAAGGCAGGCAGGAGCTAATTGATGCGGATGACACGACTAGACTACACACCCCAAGTACGATGTACACTGTCTTGTCTGGCGTGTCTTGCTAGTGGGGTGTACGAAGTACATGCGTTACCAGGGTTGTACGGAGGAGTAATAATTATCTTCTCGCCTCGCATCAAATCAATCCATCAATCCATCAAATCACTTCAATTCGCGGTGTAAGTACGAAGGTACCAGGTATACAGGTACGTGGAGGTGCCTGAGTCTCTTCCCTCCTTCGTAGTCCAGCTCCTCATCAGGTCGATTCCGCCGAGCTCCTCCGCTGTATTTTGTACAATGAAACAAGGCCAAGTACTAACCCAGGTACCCGGGCCAAGACTCCGGGGGTAGTTTTGGGACCGACTCCACTAAGACTCGACAAGAAAATGCCCCAAACCCAAGCTGACCTGGCTGGATCCTCGATTCCTCGATGCAAATAACTACATCCTTAGTACTCCTTGTGCATCATTCACTTCAGACATGCATCCGGCAATGGTGCACGAAGATACGGAGTACTGCGCGTTGAGTGGTAACAATTTCAATCTCTATTAGAGCTTCTGGCGCTCGACCAGTAGCTGAGAAACAGGATTTTCTCGAAGCATAGTTGAGCCCTGCGCAATGCAGATCTTCAAGCCCGATCTCGCCTTATTACTTCGTACCTACTACCAGGACGAGAAGGAGCCAATTTTTCCTTTTGAACACTCACGGTCCCGACATCACCCCTCTCCAATTCCTTTCCTCGGTAGAGTTGAACATGGGTGAGTTCGGCGCGGTTAGTTTCATCCTCTCCCTGGGAAACCACAGGATGACCGAATGGATTGATTCCACTGCTCCAGCCCGGTGATATTAGGGGATATATCACTACCACTGGTACACAATGCACTTCTCCGACCACAATGCGAAAGCTGCGGATAAAAACGAGGCCAGGAGATGATCCGGTCACGGGTACTTACATTGAGGCTTCTCGGGGCCGATTTCTGCCCTTGCTTGATGTAAAACCAGTTCATCATCACGGCATTCTTCTGGCGTTAAGCGCCGACCTCCTGCCTTTGCAACCGATGTGAACACCCGAAACAATGCCCCCAGATGTCTCCTGGGCTGCGAAATACGAAGTACAAAGTGTTTAGCTTGTCCTTCGGAGCATTGTCGCCTACAAAGGTCATCAGAGATGCCACTTTCATCACTCCAGGCCTTGTCTCCTTAAAATTGCAGGTACCCCGGCAGCCCCCACAGCCAATCACAGCTAGCCTTCCCCTAATGATGGAAGGACAGCAAAAGTGGACTGTCCCGTTAGCTCCAAGGTTGATCGAACCAATCAGCAGGATGTTCTCCTGAACCAAATGGGACCATGAGAGCCCGTTGTGTGGGAGGCGAGACGAGAGGGGGACAGTAATACCGTCTCTGCAGGGCGCTACTGTAAGTCCGCCCATACGCCTGGAGATGTGCAGGAAATAAGGTGAGCTCTTCTGCGGCCAGCCATGCACTTGAAGAAGAAGAGGGGTAGTGTAGTGTAGCGAGTGGGCTTGCGCATCTCGGCATTCGAAGTAAAACGGTGGGCACAAGGAAGCAGTGGGCACCTTCCTGCAGGTGCTAACACGTGCTCGACCTGAGAGCGAGCAAGATTCAAGAATTGAAGGCAGTCGATGGGTATTTCCACTGTAGCTCCTCAGTCTAAGAAGTATTATTAGGGGTTGCCCTGGGCTGTCATACGAAGCAATCACACCAGACCGACACCTCGGTGTTTAATCCAGCGTTATATTTGCGAGTTGCAAAGGTGGGGCGCCCGGGATATTTTCCTCCTCCAATTTGATTCTCGGTCCTCGAATCTCAATGTCCAACTAAGATTAGGGGCCACGAAACGGTCCTAGCATTTGACGCTAAATCCTCAGAATGACTGGGGAAACCATGTGGCGGAAGAAGAGACGAGACTTTTGAGCTTCTGCGGGAAATGGAGGGGAGGTTCGTTTGAGAATACCGGATCCCTTGTACTTCGCAATTACCGTCCAGCTTAAGGCAGGAAAAGGGGTAACAAGACACAAGACCAAGGTTACTCTATCCCTGTTACCCGCCTAATGAACATCAACTTATCAAGAAGGCTCCTTCTTGGTGGAGATCTGGAGGACGAGGCGAGCTGAGACTTGCTGGAGAAGAGAACAACGATAAGTGTCGATCGACAGACTGCGATTGCGATTCACCGTCAACCCTGTAAGGCTTGCGGGTCATCGGAATTTTAAGCAAGCTCGGTGGCCTGCCTGTCCAGATTTCATTCACCATTGCTGTTCTCCTTGACTCTGCTCTTCCTCTCTTACTTAGGAGGCCCGCCGATTTGAAGATAATCGGGACCCCAGTCCACCAACTACGAAGTACGAAGTAGTCGTAACACAGACGCAAGAACACTTCAGTCCGTGACCTTTTGCCATCTGCGAAAACGGAAGCTGTCGTGTCTCGATGATTTCTAGAATAAGTCTGATATGACCTTCCCCATTCGGCACCTCACAGACCCGAGCCATGCAGTAGTTCGTCCAATAAATCTGGTAGGTATTAGATTGAGAAGTGTCTTCATGTGTGTGGTGTGTGAGTGACCACACACTCCTGCCACTCGTCTTCTATCCTTAATCGTACATGGGCCTCAATATATCGAGATCGAATACCCTTCCCCCCCAATTTTTAATTGTCGAAATTGCTTACCCTGAGAAGACACTCTCTTCAATCTCTACCCCAAACCCATGAGCCATGTCCCTCATATGTCGGTCAACTTCCTCCTCCATGCCCCCGCCCCAGCCCAGCAGCTGGCGGATCTTGAAGAAATAAAACGCAATATCCGTAGCCACAAGGACGGTCTTGAAGAGGAGATGTCGCCACGCATTCACGAGTCTCTGCTTCAACGGTAGATTCGGATCCGTATACAAGCTGCTGCTCGCCCACTCGCCCATCATCTTAATCCGATTGACAGGCGACCCGAGGTACTGGTTGTTGCCCTGGACGATGCGCATGTTGCGGCCGATGAAGATGAGCTCCTTGGGCCACTTGTCCTCGTCGGCGAGGAAGTCCTTCAAACTCGCCTTCATCTTCTGCTGCATGAGGAACTGCTTCTCCGAAGGGGATTTACCCTCGAGTTCCCGTAGGAACTGCTTCGTCTCCTCGCCTTCGTAAGGCCGCATCAGTGTCGCGCTCGCGAAGACATCGGAGCCTCTTATCCCCCACTGCTCCGTGATGTCAACCATCATCTTATGATCAAAAGTCATGAGTGCCTTCCAGAAGACGCAGTACTGATGGCGAAATTCTGTGTTCATGTAAACGTATAGACCGTGGTCGATGAGGACCATTTCGGCCTTGCCGTTCGGTTTCCGCCGCACGAATATGTTACCCGGGTGAGGATCGCAGTGGACCACTCCCCATTTGAAAATCTGAGCCGAGAACAGGTCCACCATCGTCTTCATGACTTCTTTCGAGGTCAGACCTAGACCACCCAGACCCCGACGGCCCTTCCACTCTAGCCTCTCGGGCTTGAGCTTTTCACGAAGAGGGTTCTGGCGCAATTCCCGCCGAGCATGATTGAAATCAGGAGGTTGAAGTTCGTTACCAAGGCCAGGTGATCCTTTCCCGGAGCCACCGAGCCACATAGACGTGAGTCCTTCCTTGTCCCACAGCCGGACACCCTCGATCCATTCCGCCACAAGAACCCTCCTTGTTGTAAATTCGGGGTACACTTTGGGCACGTATACCCGGCCACGGATCCCCGGTTCGCCCTCAATAAGCTTCTTCATAGTCTCAGAGTTCTTGGCTTCGTTCACAAAGTCCGTCTCCAACTCTAAACGCTCTGTTATGAAGGGTATCATAGTGTAAAAGGGCAGGTCAAACCAGTAACTGAAGATTCTCGTTACCGTCCTAAGAGCCAAGACAAAAAATGAGAAAATATCCCGGTAGTATAGATCTCGCCCCTTTGAGGATTCGTAGTTTCGCATGGCAGGGGGAACAGCATAAAAGAACTTACTTGAACGCCCAAAGATCCCAAGCAATCTGCTTCGCGATCTCCCGCTTCTGAATCTTAATCGCGACCTCGCGGCCATCCGGAAGTCGAGCCCAATGGACTTGCGCTACACTAGCACTGGCCCTGGCTCTCCTCTCCATAAGGCCCTTACCCTCCTCTCCCGTAAAACTCACCCCAAACACCTCTTCCACACTCTTGCCAAAGTCCTCTTCGATAACCGCCTCGACGTCCTTCCACTCATCCTGCGGCGCATCATCAAACATGCGCGCGAACATGCGCTGGAACTCAGGCGGCAGAACGGCGCTCTGCATCGCGATAGCTTGTCCCATCTTCAGGTAGAGCCCGCCGTTTGCGCGCAGCAGGTCGAACAGCCGCTCCGCGCTGCGCAGGTGGACGTCCTGCACGGTGCCGCCGGTGATGGGCTGCGGGCGGAAGTTGATCTTGTAGTCCAGTGCGACGAGGGCGCCGATTCCAAAGGTGCGGAGGGTGCGCGCGAGGCTGGACGCGTAGAGGTAGCGGTCGATGAAGTAGACGGTGCCGCTCGTGGCGGAGAGGACGAGGAGGCGACGGAGCCATTTTCGCGTGCGCTTGTAGGTTTTCGGAGCTCGCGGGGTGCCTAGGGACGCTGGCGACGGAGGCCGAAGAGGCTCGAATGAGGAAGAGGAATAGGGGGAAGGGCGAGGTCGGGCGGTAGTGAATTGAGCCTTAGGACCGCGTTGGAGGGAGCCGCGAGTTAGGTGGCATGGCTTGCTGAGCTGCTGGTGCTGGCCAAATTGCAGGGCCCTCGACGGGGTCCTGCCTCTCATTGACCGGAACATAGGCTCTAAGGGTTGGCGAATATCACGCTAAGGACGCCATGTAGAAAATATAGCGGGCATTCCAGCTCGTGAGAGAGTCGGATCAAGAAGTCGGGGTGGTTGATGGTCAAATTTGATCCAGGCAGGCGTAGCGGTGATATCATCCGAGCGGAAAAAGCCGACTCATCCACACCGACGGAGTTAAGACGGCAGAACTAATCGCCGCGCTTCAGCAAACTCAGCTCAAAGTCCGACAACTTTCGGCCTCGGATTCGAGATGTGCCATCTTTGGTGAGTTCTGCCCACGCAGAAGGGGAAACGCGGCAGTCTTAAAAAAATTTATAATAATCATAAATAAAAATAAAAAATACAAAGAAACCCTGTACTCCTTGTCGGAGCCGAGCAGCACAACCCACAACACAAAACAGGTCTATGCCGCCCGCTCATAAGAGACGCAGGCTAGGAGCCACACCAAACAGAAGAAATGGTCCCAAGTCATCGTGTGGTCGTAATGGTCAAGTAGGACATCAGAAAGTCAACCATCAGTCGGAATCTGCATCGTGGGACTTCGGGGGCAGGGGGTAAGTAAAGGTAGGGAGAAAGTGAAATTGAAAATAGAATTGTAAAAGAATGACTTTCGTAGCAACCTGTAGGCCTAAGGGAAACGACAGATTGCTCGCCGCCACTCGCGCCTCCCCTTTTCTCTTGCGCGCCGTCGCACGTCTTGTCTGATTCCTGCTCTATAGATGTGGGAGCCTTCGTCCCTTTCATGTGAAAGTGAGGTCCGGCCATGTGGCACGGCTTCCTCCGTGGCGGCAGTGTTCTTTAATGTGGCGTTGCCGAGTGCAGTTGCCCTTTGCACCAACACAATGCTATTCACTGAAGATTTCAGGAGGTAGTTAGTAAACAGATAATTTCGGTAACTTACGAGGAAACCTAAGATGCATCTTCGATGTTTTCCCTTTTTTTTTTTTTTTTTTTTTTTTTTTTTTTTTAATTGAAAAAAAAAAAAGGATTTATGATGGCTTTCTTCAGACGAAAGGGCGAGAAATAGATTTCTTTTAGAACTTCCTTCCCTACTATGAACGGTGACGAAAACTACTGGGGCGATGTAAAATATTCAGCTAAATATACCCTAATTCACTTCGTAGCCTCAGCCTTCTTAACTGCGACCTTTCATGTGAACTTTTTCCCCCCCACGTCGGAGAGTATTTCACAGAGAGATATCTAATTTCCGCTATATCGTCGGATTTCCCTGAATTTGTAATTGATCCCTCTCGTCCCTCAGCAGCTTTGTGATCCGGTCCTGGTGGGTCACTCTACCATTTATGAAGTTTTATTTCGAGATCATGCATTCAACGCCTATGATCGACCTAAACCGATTCACCACATGCCCAATAACCCTCACCCATGCCTCGACCTTATTCCCCCTCTGTGCTCCTTAGAATGTAGTACATACTCGTCGAAGCTCCAACTCCTTAAGTCTCTGGCCCCTGCATCGCGGATCTGCCCCTGGAGAACCTGGTTGACAGCTCAAGTCAACGCTTGATCTTCGATAGAGAACCAGAGAAACGACTAATGAGCGGGCCAACACTGATGGAAAGCAAACACCGTGATCACAACTAGCGGGCGGTTCTCGAATACGTAGGTCCCATTGACTGCTGTTCTGAATGATCATTCCCGTGACATTTTGAGCCCAAGCTCGAGCCAAAATTCGAACTCGGAGTGGCCTCATTTCCGTCGACGGATCTACCCACTGGAATTGAGACCGACCGTCCATGGCAAAAAGAAAAACTCGCTTGAGCAGAATCAATTGTCTCGATAGACGAAGCAAGTGGACATTTACGCCGTGTTCGGGCCGATATACCATTAGCTTGCCGTTTCCATCACATACCGCTTCTTATGGATGATTGTTCTCGATGCCTAGCGGCTAGATCATGATGGCATAAGTATTCTACGATCCCAAGATAAGAAAGCAATTACTTTATACACAAGGGGGGGCGTATTAGATTTTCCAGCGAAGTTATGGCCTCCTAGAAACACGAACTCAACTCTCCACGAACTCATAGCACCAACATACCTTTGTACATAGTAGGGTAGTCGAGCGGCAACTAACGTCCAAGGCGCATGGGCTATTTTTATCGTCGCCCACCCACATCGGAAAGGAAGCGATGCAGTTCCGGCGTTGAGACGTCTGGGCGGGTTCATTCATGCAGTTCCTTCCCGCCCCTTCTTGTCAGAGCCAGGCTTGGTCGCCGAGTCTGTGTTGAAGCGTGGACTGGGGACAGGGAAGATAGGTTATGTCAGTGACAGCTTCTGACTGGTTTGACTGGGCGTCATTTGAAGGCTGTGCAGCTCAGCCTATCAAGTGCTGGTCTCCGGAGTGCTCATTTGGACCCTGAACAGAGTTGCTTAGGATTCAATCCTGTGACCCAGCCCTACGATTCCGATGCATAGGCTGGGGCTATTCTCTGAGGTTCAGGCTAGCTGTAAACTCTACTCGACTCACGAGGCAATTTTATAGTTTTTCCCTCACACTTCCTCGCTACCAAAAGATGTCTAACTGGCTGAGGCAGTGGACTCGATCGACTGAATGTGGGCTCCTTTGTCGTCACCAATTCGAATCAGCAAGGGCTTAGTGCGTGGCCCACGAGGCGCAGAATATCGAATATTACGTGTCCGAACTACGAATTAAGGTGGATATCAAGGGCAGCATCTGAAACAGTTCCTCCTGGGGTCGCTAGATCTTATCGACGGACCCTATCTGGGGCGTTGACGAATGGGTACTGAAGCTATTGATGAAGTATCGAATACAACTACGGACTTTGTTGGAGTCAAGGTGTGGGTACGAAGTACAACACTGAATTATCTCCACAGCGTAAGTGAAGGCATGAAAACGACTCCTGAGAACTTAAATATTAAACTTGGATCTAGGTTGATTTGAGGCTCAGGAACAGTGGCCCGCGAAACCCAACATCATGGACGCTGCTACTTCGTATAGATAGAGGGTAAGCATCCGGTGCGAGCTATGGATATTTGCATTTGCTTCGTAAAGTTGTTGGACACTTCAGAGAGAAATGTCCTCATTTCCTGTTGTCCGTTGTGTTGGAATGCTCGAAATGTCAGGGTAATTTCCGAGCTTCATTTTAACCAGCCAGCTTTTGGTGCCTGAATACAAAGGTAGGTACGAAGTACGAAGTAAATACTGGGGTTACGTACTTGGTAACGGACACGACTCGGACTGAACAACAATAGTTGCAGTACCTCATACATTCTAGAATGCGACATGACTTCGTATTAAAGTGAGATAATATCATTGATCAATCGCTGAAGTCTTCAAGGACGTCGAAATGGCAACAGTGTTGGTCGCTGTTTGGATCAATCACAATACCTTGAGAATTGCTCGATGACCAGGCTATTTGAGGAATTAACGGCCCGGCGAAACTAGACCCCTTCATCGCCCCACCAATTTGGACCCTGACAGAGACAGACAGAGTTCCTCTGCACAAAAATCTGCGCATCCTGCTGGCGATCTTGCATTAGTCCGCTCCTGGTAGGCGATAACAGATCAATTGATAATATTGAACGTTCTGGTCTTAGCCTAGGGCCCTAGGCTAAACCGTCATTTCTTTCATCACATTTCACCCCGCTTCGTCCCTTCTCCACTCCGTTTACACGACATAGTCTCGAGAAACTGTCAAGACCCTCATTACTTGCAGACTGATCCATCCGGGAGCTTACGCTTCCGTCTTCGTCAGCTTTATCGTTGGTCACGGTCTAGATCAACGATTGACGGTAGGTTCCAGTTGCTGGAACTTGACTAAATGGATGAACTGGATTGATCTTGAATTTACAGCGCTAGTCCTGCCCCGGGGGAGGACATTGGGGTAACAGCTGAAGCTATCGTTTAGCCCGCAACGCCAAACCTGAGCAATCCACAGACCTCACATTCTCTACAAAGTACCCTGACGGAATCCAGCCTTGAGGGAACATCTCGACTGATGATGATGAGTGATATGGTGATGCAGCAATATTGGTAGGGGACACAGCATGCAAGGACAAGACGCAGGATCGCGAAAAAGGAGATGAACACTTCCAAATGGTGATTTTAATGTTACTTCGTCGTTCGTTAGTTGGTTGGCACGAAGTCGTGAGGTAGTGTACAGTGTACGTTGGAAACCAAAAGTGCGGAAGAACATTGAAGCTTGTTCATGCATGCAACCATAACTAGGTACCTACAGGAAGGTACTAGACCTAAACTAGCACGGGACGCTGTAACAAACCTCCCGCAATGTGGCGTGCTTTAAGTTGTGGTTACCCCGACTCAAGGTACCTTTGTATCTGTCGCCTAGCACCACTGCTCCCTGGACAGACTTCGTACGAGTCCCAGGTTCCTTCTGGAAGTGCGTTTTCCACGTTCGGCCCTGTATTCGGTACTTTGGCTGTTGCCATGGCTCAACTGTCCCGCCCCAGATTGCCTTGGCTCTGGGTCCTCCCATCCATAGCCAGGCACTTCCGTCGGTCCTATCCTGTTGTCCCCTACTGAAATCCCCAGCATCTTCATCGTGACAACCAACGCTTTCCCTTCTCCAAACCTCCATTAACGTTAACCACGCTCCTTAACCTCCACATTCGTTGATACGCACATCTATTTTATTTTCTTCTCTCTTCTACGCTGGTCCGATCCCCGAAGTTGATATTCTTACTCGAGCAATTGTCTTATTCACGTTGACGCTACCTCTTCTCCTTGAACGGTAGCGATTCCTCCGTCTCACAGCGAAGAAAGCTCGTTTCCCCCTACCGACAAACTGTCCTCGTGCGACTCGCGAAGGCTCCGAATCGTCGAAGTGTCGTGTACGACTTACTCGTCCCCGAATCCAACCCGTCCCTCGAGCGATCCATTTGTTCGTCCGCGAGAACTATGAACCCAGGAAATTAGAACGTGTCCGATTCTTTGTTGAGCGACACATTCCTCTTCGTCGCCGCGTCTTGACGACGCTGGCGCCCTTCGCCGTACCCCGTTTATCTTTGTCCCCTGGATCTTCGTCACGATGTTGCGACCAGCCACTCCTCTGTCGATACTGCTCTTTGGGGCTTTCGCCTTGATATTACTGGCGGTTCTTTCAGCCCCGATTATCAGCGCGATTCCCCTTGGCAGTTTGGGCGGTGTTAACTTTGGTGTATTTGGGTTTTGTGGCGCCGATGGTTGCACCGACATAACAATCGGATATGATCCGAGTACGTCTCTGCCTTCTAGGAACTTGAGTTTCGAATGTGCGACGCTCGTTGCCGTCATGGAAACTAACATTAATCTCGCGTAGCTGGGCTTCTGAATACCGACGAGTCCAGATTCGATCTGCCCACGTCGGTTCGGAATTCTTTAACCACTATTCTCATAGTGCATCCTATTGCAGCCTTTCTGACCCTTGCCTGCTTTATCATGGCCGCTGCTGCCCACCTTCATTCTGCCTCTCACTCCACTCGTTATCTTCTCGGCATCTTCATTCTTATTCTCATCGACTTTCTTGTGTGCTTGCTTGCCTTCCTTGTCGATGTGTTGGTCTTCATACCTCACCTCGCCTGGGGTTCTTACATTGTGCTTGCCGCCACAATTATGGTCGCTCTTAGTGGCATCTTCGCATGCGCAATGCGACGAACTCTCATTAGCCGGAAAGCCAGGCAGAACAGGGTCGCTCAAAATGCCGAGATGAGCGGTGAGAATTATTATAATCGTGAAGCACAGAAACAGGCCCTTGCTCTCGCGCGTCAGCCTACTATGCCCATCCTTAGCGGGGCTAACGGCACTGGCGATGCGCTCCCCGCCTTCGCATCTTTTGAGAACCAGCAGAAGGAGGACAAGGTTAGTGACGAGCGAATACCCCTGACTCAACGAAGCCCTACCCAGCCATCGCCGAATCCTATGGGCTCCGGGTCCACGAGTCCGCCTTTGGGGGAGCCCATGAGGTCCAATTCGGTGCCACCCATGCAGCAGGATCAGTATGGAAACCCTATGGGCCCATCGCCCGACGACTATGCTCTCCGGCGCGGCCCGTCTTTCGATCAATTGAGCGCCAGAGGTCGTGGCGGTATGCCGCCGCCAGGATATCGTGGCCGTGGTGGGTATGGTAGAGGAGGCTACGGGCCTCCACGTGGGGGCTATGGACCACCTGGGAGGGGTGGATACGGACCCCCAAGGGGAGGCGGTTATGGCCCGCCTCCGCGGGGAGGTCCTGGTGGCATGATGCGAGGGGGCGGCCGGGTCCCCTACCAGAACATGAACAATGGCGGCCCTTACGACCGACGTCCGTCCCCAGCAGATGCCTATGGCCCGTATGGCCGGGGGCCTAACGACCAATATGGTTCCAGTACCACGATCCCCTCTAGCACTGGATACGATTCCTATAATTCCGATCGCAACACGCTGCCTCGTGCCGAATCACCTCCTCCTTTGCCTGAAGGAACTGGCACTCCACTAGCTGAGATGGACGCCAGCCCCGCAGGCCCCACGGGCAATTATGCCCAGCCCCAGGCCCCAATTAGAGATGGCGATACGGACGTCGCAGGGATGGTGGGACTGCAACAGGCCAGAGCGGGAAGTGCGAGGCCAACTGACTCATACGTCAGTGAGGGTAGCAAGTACAGCGCTGAAGAGTACGTAGCCGCTTTCTTCTGTTATAGTTAACCTGGGATTTTCCTTTACTAACAATTTCATAGTGCCCAAGGGCAGTACGTGCCACCTCGCGCGGCTTGGAACCAAGGCGCCGGCCCAGGCCGACATTCCCCAAGTGTACCGTCTCCTCTTGGTGTCCGCCGACCCGAACCTCAGGGCCGCAGTACCCCAGACCAGGGCGCCGCCTATTACGAAGATGTGGACCCTCGGTATGCGGCAGATCCGAACGCGCGACCGGCGCCGCAACCTCAATGGGCGCAAGGTTCTCCTGGGGGCTACGGACGACCAACCCCGCAAGCTAGCAACCCCGATTTCCAAAATAGGCGCCCGCAGCCTGGGCGAAGTCCGCCGCCGGGCTTGACGCCAGCCAGGTCCTATCCTGCATTTTAAGTCGAGAGTCTGGGAATTCCATTTCTTCGGAATGAGTTCTCATTTATCCTATCACCTATACCCCCCCCCCCCCCCCCCCTTTTTTTTTTTCATTTCGTCCTGTAAATAGTTGATTGATGCTTTGGATACCACGGCCATCTGACTTGGCATAGTATGCACGGGAGGGATAATCCGAGACACTCGTGGTTGCCGCCTGTCCCACCTATACGTATTGGGACGTATTCTTCCGGGGCCACTCTTTTCCTCTACCTCTTGATCGGGAGGACGCACCATATAGAGTCCATTCGGACTCGGCATCTTGATGTCACTACATTCTTTTGCTGTTGGTTGGGTTCTATCAAGGAGGATATTTGCAGGGCGTGGGTTGGAAGTAAGGTGCGGTGGGATGGATATCCGAGGATGTCGGTACGTGGTCGTCGACAGCTTTTTATACTCGTCAAGGCGTTTGGAGTAGAGGGCACCTTTACAACTTGTCTCGACAGGAGGCTTTCCCTGTCCGTTTCTGTCTCAATATACTTCTCCTTTTTTCCCCTTCTTGCATGTGTATCTGATCCAGTGAAGGCTGAGAGCTTGCCTTGTTCTATGAAAGATGATCTTCATTATCCTGCCTTATAAAGAGGTGACTTCTTCAACATCTGGTGCTACCGAGAGCATCTCAGGAGCCTAAGGACAAGCAGGCCACACTTTATGGCCTATGAGTCCCTACTTCTAGTGCCCTATAGCAAATGTAATTCACATGGACGTGCCTGTTTCTGGGGCACAGATGATCTGGGCTTCGAGGAGCATCCACAAAAGGGGTGCTCCGCAATGGCATCGTGGGACCGGCCTCGTCAGATGTGATCCCCCCATCCCCGAGCCCTTCAACACTGAAAGCAGACTCAACTGGTCTTTGCCATCCCATCCTACATTGTATGTCTCCTTCAGAGGAAGCCTTTTTTCTCTCCTCTTCCCTTCTTCATCCCTAAACAAACACTCCCACATCCATCCCTCTCATCCTTTTCCATACAGCCAGCCTTTCAAACACTTCCCTGTTGACATCGTCTAGTGGGAATCGCGTTTTCTTTCGAGGACGCCGTTCTCGCGTCATCTATTGTTCCTTTGATCATTTCGTGTTTCCCTCCCCTTCGCGTTTCGACTTCGGTCGATTGCCCTCTTTCCAGACCAAACAGTCCAGTCTCGACGCGTCTTGGAGCGCACGCAGGTAAGTTAGCATCAATTGTCGAACCCCTTGCTCTGCCCAAGTCCACAGCTCCAGGCTTGCCCTTCACCTCCAGGGACAAGTTCGGACACGTATGCGTTGAGGATTGCCTTCGAACAGTCATCTCAACCATACAATCCCTCCCAGGGCAGCAAAGACTGATGAAATATCGACAGGGCATTCGAATTCGTAAAGTACCTGGGGTTGCTAGCCTTTCCAGAACAGCTGATCGTTCCTCCGAAGTGAATCCCTTCCTTTCCTTCTAGAGCGATCTTCGCCTCCTGCCCTCTCATTCAGAAATAAAACATTTCGCAGCTGACCTCGTCACAGACCGACCACTGGCACCCGAGCAGCAAGGACGCGTCCGAACGAAAAGGTATCACCGGATACCAAGCAAGCAGCAAAACAGGAAGCTGCGACGAAGGACGCGCCTTCCGTAAGTTCAGATCGAATCACCTCCCAATCGAAGTTCCTTCCCCCTTTCCATTCCTGCCCTGTCATCATCAGCTGGGAAGCAACAACCAATTCGGTTATTTCCCAGCTGGTGTCAACCCCGCTCTCTTACACGAACATATCTGACGATGAGTTAGACATAGGCACACTGAGGATAATCGACGTCCTCGTGGACTCCGATTCCAGTGTGAGTCGTATTTGTTGCCTCAATGGCTCTCCACGTCCCCTTATCCCTTTTTTCCTTGTCGTCTGGCTTTCTGTTGTCTTCAGGATCTCTCCGGGCCGGGCATTTCCTTTGGAATAATGGTAGTATAGTTGACACTAACATCGCATCTTGGTAGAGTGCGGATTCATTCTGAAGGCGAGAGCCGGAAGGAGAGATCGCAGCCTCGCACCATCCCGTTTCAGAAACAAACAGAAATTGTAAGCTTCGAGCCGCTGAAAGTTGGACCGAGATGTCCTCGACTCCTCCCTCGGGCAAGCGCCCTTATGCGGGTTCCCCAAGCAGCGGAACAACGTCGTCGATGGCCCCGCCCGATAAGAAGAGGCAGCACCTGCTCTCTGAAGATGAGGAGCACAATGAACAAGAGGAGCAGTCTCCAACTCTTTACACGACGGCCGGTACCATTTGGAAGCCGGAGTCGGAGCAATCCTTTCAAGCTCCCATTCGCCGAGGTAGAGCGCAGCGGTGGTCTCCCCATCAAGAGCACGGAAACCGTGTCTCTCTTCTAACAAGGCAGCTGGAGATGGTGGGTATTGGCTCCCCCACTCGTGGAGGCAGGCCATATCTCGTCTCTCCCACGAGTCAGTATTCACCTCTCCGGCAAAACAACGACCGTGCCAAAACCCCTATGCATCATCCCGCCTTTGGTGTCGATGGCAGTCCGGGTCCGGTCTCCGATTCGCCGCCATCTCCCCAGGAGATTATGCGCCGTTCTGTCGAAATTGCGAACTCGGCCATGTCTCCGTCGGTATCGGAGTCTGATATAATCTCCCGTGGTATCCCGATCCCGAGGAACAACGACAACGGTTACGATTCGGTTGACGAGGCTCTTCGAAAGCTTCCAGTTAAGTCATTGGCTAACCTGGCCTCGTACCCGAATCCCAATCAGTTGAAAGCCCAAAATGCCTTGTCGCATGCTCGCATCAGACTCGGTATGCCATCCTCCCCCCTTATTCATGATTCACATTGTGTGTCCTTGCTCCAGTTCTAATATTTCGAGCATCAAGCCATGGAAGGAGCCAATGAGCCCAATAATCCATCCAGCAATGCGTCATCCCGCAGCAACGACATGGCAGTCTTCCCCAATATGAGTCAAGGATCTGGTGGTTCGAAAATTTCTGAGACAGATATTCGAGCTCTCGAAGACTACGCTGCTCGACTCGCGCAAGCAAAGATGAGCAAGCAGCACTATAAGCCTCTCCTGGGGGGTTATTCTTCCTCGACTCTGGCCACTGGCCCAGGAGCCCCCGCGCCGTTGCGGGCCGGACCCCCGGGTCAGCGCCAGTACTTTGTCCCAAAGGCGGGCTCTTCAACGGGTGGTAGCATGCCCTCGCTCCCTCATTCTCCTCAGAAAATGCACCTTAACCCCGGTGTTCGTAATCCTTTCCACGGCGCAATTGGAGCCGGCCAAGACTTATTTCAAGGCCCTCGCCATGCCCCAACTCTCAACCCAGTCTCTGGTCAGCATGGCGGTTTCGGTCCTCCCATGACGAACGCAAGTGCCTCCGGAGCTGCTCCGTCTGAACCAGGCTTTGAGAGACATGCCTATAACCATGGACACGCCAATTCGCCTACCAACAAGGCTGGACAGCCCCAGCAGTCGCCTTCTTACAATCTGCGCCCTTACCCTTACAGTACAAACATTCAGCAGGGTCACCCCATGGGTAACGTGAATTCACAAGGCCCTGACGCCGGCGCTGGATATGGCCTCTATGGCGCAACCAATACCTTGCCGATGGGCAGTACTCAGCAGGCGTTGGCCATCGGTCACCCCTCCGGTTCCAGCCGCGGCCCCAACGCTTACAATGGCACGCCCGGATCGAATATGGGTGTCTCTGCTCTTGGAATTCCGGCTCATCAGGGAGGCGTTCGCCAGAGGTTGAACCTCAACTTGCCCGAAGATGAGGCTTGGTCTATCGAGGCCCAGCTTCTTAAGCCCTACGGTTGGGACCCTTCGGAACTCAACACTCGCTACCCCGCTGGCGCAGTCAAGATGTCGGACGATCAACTCCACGAACGCCAAAAGAAGGTCGATGATTGGTTCTACAGCGGAACTGCTCGACTGGGTATGACATTGGACGAATTCCAGGAGCAACAGCAGCAAAAGCAGCGAAAGCCAGGACGAAATCCCTTCGGAGCCGTGGCTGACAGACGATCGATGCCCAAGGGAAAGGCGGCCTCACAGTTGAAAAAGTCATATAAGCATATGTCCATTGATGAGGCCAACAAGATGTCGACCGCTGAGCATGCGGAGCCTCTCCTGAACGCGGCCCTCCAGTCTCTCGACTACCAGCGACAGGTGGCGGAGGCGCGAAAGGAAGATGCCGATGTTAAGGCCGAAAAGGAGGCTGCACACGCAGACGATGAGGAGAAGGTGGACGAGAAGTCGGGTAGTGCCGCGCTTCTTCCTGGGTCCATCCCTTCCATGTATTAGTCCACTACTCAGGCCAGGCTGAAAACATGACGTATGTTGGGGACTTGGCCCGACTCGTTTACGAAGCAAGGGTTGGATCCCAATTCTTTGGTACCCAGACCAGAAAAAGACATGAAAAACAAAAAGAGGGTAAAAAGGCGTCGAGGAAAAAGGAAAAAGGATTCGAAAAAGGCGTTACGGTTATAGCACACCAGGATTTGGTTGCGCTCAGGGATAAGGTGGATCTGTCTAACTTGATTTTCTCTGTTTTCTCGGGCCCAATTCTGCCCGCTTCCCTAGTTTTGTTTGCTAGGCACATTGCCTCAGTTTATGGAGGAAACTAGGCTGTATTCAGCGCACTTTGGCTCCTCGAGTCTGGAAAGGCTGCCTAGATGAGCATTCGTTCTCTATGATAGTCTTTCTATAGGAATTCACATGTATCACACCACTGTCACTGATTGTCATTTCCGAGGATGAAGCAAGGTAAAAGTGTAGTAAGTGAAGTAAATGCCAGAGAGGCTTAGACAGTTGAGGGAGGTGTGCAGCCCACCCTTGGTCCAACAATAACTGAGCTGGCAGAGAGCACAATAAGTTGTCGCGTGAGGGGCGAAGGCGCACAAGGCAAACTGGTCGTGCTATCTTTATGCTGTGGGAGGTGGGAATGCGTCAGGCCGGAGGGGCGAAAAACGCGTTCTCGAACATTGAGTTGATCATTGAAGTGTTAGTGCAGGCGGTTACACCACCAACATGGGCGGTGTACTTCGTACTTGCAAGTCGAGGACGAGGATTGGCGGAGCAGTGTTAAGAATAGAACAAAGGAACGAACGCGACTGGACACGTCGAGGGCAATGAGCATGGCTGACGCACACTCCTTTTCACTTTTCCTTTTTCATTTTTTGTTTTCCAGACACGCGGCGTCGTCACTCACACAGTCACACTTACAAAAAGTGGACGGGTATTGATGTCTAGCAAAAAGGGGGGGGGGGGGACACAAGAACCGTCTCCCGAAGAGAGACGGCATTATTCTACTACTTGTGCAAGGGATACCTGGCTCGATTGAAGCTTGAGTTGATCATGAACGAGGGAGACTCGGGGAATAATTTCTCTCATTGTCTTCCACGTTCCATTTCCGCTTTCGTCGTACGAGTCCTGGTACCAAATGAGTCCTGGGCACGCTGGGCAGACTGCTGATGGCAACATTGACCCAGCGACGCAGCACACGACAGCCCAGGGCTTGGTCGAGGGTGGTCGGAAGTGCTTCTTCTTAACCTTTTTGCTTTCATCGAATCAATTCTCGTTTGGGTTACTGGGGAGCACCTCGGCGTTTCCAGAGATACGATACGGTTGTGGAGGTGATATCCATTTTGTTGCTCCGAGATTAATATAATATGCCACAAACAATGGAAGTAATGCTTGGTCGGTGCGATTGTGGTGATCGGGGCAGGGACACGTACACGTATTGATGAGGGTTGCAACTTGCCAGTGTTTCCAAATCATTCACTCTCGGCGTCTCAGTCGGCAGGACAGCACGAGCACAGGGTTCCCGTTTCCCAAAGCAGGCAAAAGGAGTTAAAAATGCACCAGAGGGGAGGAAACCATAGACACACGCCCCCTTGCTCCCGAAGAACACGCCCCCCTGGTTGTTCTTTCCCGCTTCCCGGTGGCCCAGCCCTATCTCTCCCCGTCACCGCGACCTTTTTTCGTCCTATTTCTTTTTTTTTTTTTTTTTCTCTCTTTATTCTTTTTTTCGTTTTCTTTTCCCCCCTCCTTGGCTCTGGCCTCCGACTCTTTACCCTGTCTACTCCGTACACCTACACTAGTCTGGGTCATTCCAGTTTCCGCCGCGCTGGTAAATTTCTGACCCTTGTCGTAAATCGGGACCTGTGCAATTCCCGCCGTAGCGTTGCTCCCCTTTATTGTTCCCTGGCTCCTCTCCTCCTTCCTCCTTCCTCCTTCCTTGTTCTTCCGTGTTCCTTATATTACCACTTCATCACCTTCCCACCTCCATTTTCAGTTTCCCTCCTCATCCTTTTCCTTCCATCCCTCGTGGATTTTCTAACAATCTCGCCAAATCGAAAATATCACCGACTCACAATATTGATCTACTCACCTGTTTCCTGGACCTGTCCGATTCTCCCGTTTCCCTTGGTGACGGATTTTGAACAGCGCACACTTTTCTTTTTTTATTTTTTTATGAGGAAATCCGTGGCTTCATATTTGACCTCTCTGGACGTATTTTGGCGCACCAGTGCTGTGTTGTGGCACATCCATCTCCTCACCTGCGCCTTACACGTTGCGTGTTCATCCAGTCCAGCCCTCTTCCCACCGCTCTAGAGCATTCTTCTCAATTCTTCTCTTCCTCTAACTCCCGCTCTTGCGCGCACACACACAAACACTCACACACACACACTCATCCTCCTACACGCAGTTGAGCACACTCTCGTCTCAACCAACCCCAACCCCATCCCACCAATTTCCTCACCACCATGCGCTCACTGGATGTCACTCACCACCTTCTCAACCTGCGAATCTACACACTGATTGTCAACGCATCCTGTGGCGCATAGCCAGAGAAACATAGGCTGCCTTGAGCAACCCTCACCCTCCTTGTCCGTCCTTGCATGGCAGTGCTGCGAATCCTGCCTAGAGGCAACCCACCCACTCTCTTTTCTATTTGCCTTTCTCGTTTCAACATTGGCTGTTTCTACATGTGATACCCCTCCTTGTTCATTTATCTGGATACCATTCCTTATTCCTTGTACGACAAAGGTGATCCGAATTGTCCACTGGGACGTCTTCTTTGAGCGAGGGGCAGTGGGAGTATCCGTTCTGGAGAACATCGAAGCTCCCCGCGCCTCCGACACTTTCTTTTTACACTTGCATGATTCCGGGCCACCACCACTATCAATCACCCTCAAGGCAGCAGCCGGCCCATCCCGGGTTCATTCAAGCTAACGAGATCAAGACCACTTTGGACTTATAAGTCAACCTTGCCATCACGCATTCTTTTCTCAACCATCATACCTACTTCATTCCTCCCACTCCAAGGAACTGAGATTGTCATCCGGTTCTTATTATTATTCCGGGAGTCTCTTATATATATTGAACCTTTCCGTCCGTGGACACTCCGGTCTTTGGATCCTTCTTGCAAGCCACAGGCAAAATTTTATCCATTCCTTACGCCGGAGCTTCAGCCCAGGGTTCTATTAACTCTTTGCCATTGCATTCTATCCGCTGGAGCCGACTAGATCCAAACCTAGACTTGGACCCTTGCCTTCATCTCAAGCAAGCTAACATAATCGGACCCTGCAACTCGCTTGAACAACTGATCAAAACAACCTAGCCGGTTTTTTTGAACTCTATAGCCCTAAGAAAAAGCACCAAGCCCGTGTGGATTCCCGTCATCTCCATTCCAGGACTTACGTCGTTCTACCTTCCTCACCCGCTTCCAAGATGCCGATGCCATCATCCCATTACCCGTACCCTGAAAGGGTCCATCGAGACAGGGGCTACAAGCATTATTCTCACAAGAGCACCGACTCTGGAGTTGGTTCGTCCAGTGACCAAGATAGTTACGCAACCAGTCCTGATTGGGGGTATGCAGTGCATGACTCGGCCCACACGTCGGGCGACGAACAGCTCTCGACGTTATCAGCTCTGACCGAGGCTCTCCGTGAGGCCAAGACCCGAATTCGAAACCTAGAGCGCAAGCTGGAGGTTGCCGACGCCGAGGCGAACTCCAGGGAACGCGACGCCGGCGAGCGCGAACAAGATTACCGTGTCCTCCGCAGCCGCTATGAGGCGCTCGAGGCGCGCAACGACGTTCTAACCGACGACAACGAGAGGTTGACGCAGGAGAAGGGCACCCTTGCGCAAAGGTGCGCATCCCTCACGACCAACGTCACTGAGCTCGAGACGCGAAATAAAGATCTCGAGGTGCAGAACCGGAAACTTGAGACACGAATCAAAGAAAGCAAAGATCTCGACGTTCAGAACCGGAAACTTGAGGCGCAGAACAAGGATCTCGAGGCAGAGAACCAAGAACTCGAAGCTCAAGTCAAAGATCTTGAGGCGCAGAACCGAAAGCTCGAGAAGAAATTAGCCGCGGCGGTAGCTTCTGACGGATACGAGTCTCAGTCGCCAGTAAAGGAAAAGAAGACCAAGGCTAAATCCTCGAGCTCCTCGAGCTCAAGCTCTCGCTCGGACGAAAAGTCGTCTTCATCTTCCAGCTCCCGTTCCAAGGATAAGTCGTCCTCGAGCTCCCGAAGCGAAGGAAAGTCATCCTCTACCTCACGGAACGCTGAGTCGAGCAGCGTACGCCGATCCGAGAGCAAGCGCAGGTCGACTGCGGTTGCCAGGAGGGATCCCCTCGCCGAACGCTTCGAGAGAGCCACTGCAAAGGCGGCCGCTCAGCATGATGAGTACGAGTCCGATGATGGCATATACGCAGAACCATGGGGCCCCACTACTCCACGCCGTCGTCGGGATAGCTCGGTTCCTCCTACTCAGCGATTTTCCGCCATGGTGGTTCCAGGACACCGAGACTCACACCGAGACACGACAGCTTACTCTGAGGTGTCGAGGGCCTCTCGCACTGACGCCAACGGCTACACGCGACCCACGGACGTCTACGTTAATACTGCCCGTCCTTATCCCAGGTAATTGAATGCGTTATGCAGCTGCAATATTGGCACCTTTGCAGCGACCGGCACCAATGGGGGAGATTTTCCCATCTCGCCCTCGAATGGCCTCCACCGTTAGTTTTTCTCACCGCGTGGATCGGTGTACTGGCAACCGCCAGCGCAATTTCATCTCTCGGAAAAACTCAAATTTTCCCCGTCCCTCGCATTCCTCCTGGGCAATTTTATTCTCATTTCCTTTTGGTCGTTTCTTAGCGTTCCCTGCTTTCTGGCTCTCCGTCGGGTTGATTCGATGAGTCAAAATTAACAGGGAAGCCAGGGAACCACTAATGGCTCTTCCCGCCCCCAGTTCCGTGACTTCCCTTTAGTGGCTAGCCTAGCCGTACTTGGTTCTTCTCGGCCTCAACCAGAGAAGTCTGGTACGACTTCACTACCACTTTCCAGTGGTCTGGGGGAGGGGCTGAATGACCCCACCACACCAAAATGATTGACGGCTTCCCATTCGGCATCCCTGGCTAGCCGGAAATTTGGGCCTCGACTCCGCCTCACCCAAGAAAAAGAGAGAAGGATGAAACGGGGAAAGGAAATTGCCACAAGAGGACTGTTGGAAAAAGAGGACACACACAAAAAAAAAAAAAAGGCAACAGGAAAAAAAAGTGGGAAATTACATTGATACCCAAACCCACATCACATTTTTAGAATATCCGGCCCGCGCCCGATCTTCACCTCACGTTTTTTTCGCTACATTTCTTGATATTTTCTCGTTATCGCACTTTCATCTCTCGCCATTTCGATCGGATTTGTTTTCCCCCTCAATCTCGTCCAGTTTATTCCTTGCATCACTTTCTTCCTGCAAATTTCAGTCACCGCACCTTGGTCTACGCAGTCGTTATGCGGAAGCTGCAGAAACACAACAACCTCGGACCGTCGCCGGGCGACATTCTCAGCAGCCATTGGTGCCCTGCTGACAGGTTTATGACTCACAGAAGATGGTTGGGCTGCGTTGGCCGACAAGGGAAGGAAAAAGGCGGAAGGTGACTGGAGGAGTCACGTCACATCACACCCCCTCGGGAGAGAAAGGGGGGGGGCGTGAGTGTAACAGCGTCGCGTCCGTTTTCGGGTTTCTTTCTTTTTTTTCTTTTTTATCCCCCTTTCTTTTTTCTTCCCCCCTTCCAGTTTTGACTGGTTCCGCTTCTTCGGGGCAATTTTACTGCTTTGCGATTCTGGTCTTGATCAGTGTTGATGATCACCACCTGTTGTCTTCGAGTCGATGCTTTTTGTTTGATTCCATGCAACATACCCCTGTCTGTTTTCTCGACTCGAAGATTTTCTTTTTCTGCTGTTCTTTGCGTTTTGTTTCTTGGGGTGATCATTTTGCATTGTGAACAATCATGTATGGGTAACACCGTCTTGTACGAGTTGGGAAAAAAAAGGGATCTTGGGACTGAGGGGCATTTATAAAAAAGCGAAGGTAAAAGAGGAATCGGGTAACCGCTATGTATTGGGGGAACGTCATGTAGATAGATTTCTGGGTCTTGTTCCTCAGATTTTCAATTGGGTAACCTTGTTCAACGCAAGCAATATAGACGATATATATGTATCATTGGACACTTGATGCGTTGATCTCTCTGTGACTGAGGGACTCCGTACTCCCCTACTTCGTATACCTGTGGGCTTGTGACTGGAGAACGGGAGACCTGGAGACATATGTGGGCGGATGCGAGTAAGAGGACATGTTCATGCCGTACCACCTTGGCAGGTGTTTCTAGAATATGGCCTGGTCTGGATTCGAGCCGGGTTGCTTTCCTGAAGATGCATGTACGGAGTACAGGTACCACTTTCCGCACCCTGAGAGTTCTTCGCTCAGCCTATTCCGTCCTTTCCGAATTTAGTTGGGAAATTCTCGATTCTGGCAAATCCGAGGACTTGTACGACAAGAGCAGTAATTCCTGCACTTGAGAGGGGGAAAACAAAAAATACAGGCAAGGAATTGGGGGATCCAAGGGGGTGAAAAAATGGGCAAAAAGAAATCTTGATGATTCGGCCCGGGCTCGATCCGGGGACCTCTTGTGTCCAGCACCTTGTGGATGTTAGACAAGCGTGATAACCAACTACACCACCGAACCAATGATTGATGTTGAAATGGTGCTTTCCAGAATGCCAATATGGAGCCTTGGGAATGGCCCCAACTGGTTCCAACTGGTGCAGAGGAATGAATTACTGAATGCATAAAACAAGATTGAATGGAATGTTGATTTCTTTCAGATCTACAAATTCCAATTGTAAAGATGAGGTTGATGGTTTTCAATTGAGAACAAGTATTTGTTTATTAGGTGTTGACTGACACATAACCGACGGGGGAGCTGCTGTCTGTGGTGTGGGTGTGGATTGAAACATTGAAGATGTGTGAATGTTCAGTACACACAGGTCTTGCTCCCTGAAACATCCCAAGTGCATGATGCTTCCAGAAAGGAATAGTGAACTTTTGATTCTTTTCCATCTGTTGATCCCATCCGATTGATCAATACGGCCTGCATTTCCTTCATATTTCCACAGTCGAAGACCAATGGCTCAGTTTCGTCTCCGAGGACAAGTCAGCTCTGCATGGCAATAAGTCAATATGGCAATCCCAATGCCAACAAAGGGAGAGCCACACCTCTGCAGCAAAGGCGCAGGTTCCAAGTCCGGGTGGATCTCCGGTGAGTCAAGTTAGGAACTGAAAGTCTGTCACGAATTGATCTGTCTCCAATCGGACATGTCTTAAGTCCGACCATCTGTCCGTTCGTTCTCTCAGGACCAACATAGGAGCGTCTCCAATGCTGAAACTTCGGACTTGACCTGCTGAGAAGGGGGGCTACGACAAGCTAGATAAACGTTAATTGATCAAACGGGCAGCTCAATAATGTAGCTTCTAATAGGATGGGATGACGGGGGGGTTGCAATGCGTTAAGTTTGGCGTAGATGTCGAAAGGAAGGGCGTGTAACTGTGCTTCTCCAATCCTTCGAGTCCTCAATGTTCTTAATCTATTCCGTCTTGGGAATTCTGTAATTCGGTTTTCTTTCCCTTTCTCACTTCATTTTTTTCTCATTTTATCTTTTTTCTCCTCATTCCGACATACATCTTACTCAAGCGGCGGCGTCCGGAGAAAAGAAAGAAGCTGTGCATCACATCCCCAATCCAAAGCGCAGCTTCACCTCTCCAATCACCACCCCCCTCCCATCACCACCAACCAAAACCAAAAACAAAACAAAAACCAAAACACTCCCCACAATGAAAATCTACCCATCCCTCACAGAAGACCTCACCGCCTGGGTCCTCCGCCAACCCATCTTCTTCACCGCCTCCGCCCCAACCCACGGCTCCCACGTAAACGTATCCCCCAAGGGCCTCTCCCCCTCCCACTTCGCCGTGCTCAACCCCAACCTCGTAGCCTACGTCGACCGCACCGGCTCCGGCTGCGAAACCGTCGCCCACGCCTACGAGAACGCCCGCCTCACCGTCATGTTCACCTCCTTCGGCCCCGCGCCCCGCATCCTTCGCCTCTTCTGCCGCGCCGAGATCGTCGAGCAGGACCATCCGCGCTTCGCCGCCATGTTGGCCGAGATCGGCGACGCCGGCGGCAGCGGGAGGAGGGTGTACCAGGGGGCTAGGGCCATCGTGAGAGGTCACGTTTGGAGGGTCACGACGAGTTGTGGCTTTGGCGTGCCGCTTATTCGGAAGGAGTTGCTGCCCGAGGGGGAGAGCGAGCTTTATGCTTTTACGGAGAGGCCGACTTTGGAGCTTTGGGCGGGGAAGAAGGCGGTGAGCGCGGATGGCGCTTTGCTGGAGTATCAGGCTTTGAATAATGCGAGGAGCTTGGATGATTTGCCTGGGTTGAGGACCGCGAGAAGAGATGCTGGAGAGAGGATGTTGATCGTTAGGGACTTGCGGGCGCGTGCTATGACGTTGTGGCATGAGAGGGCGGCGGTGGTGTTTGGATTCCTTTTGGCTGCTTTACTGTTTTCCTTTGGGAGGACACTGGGTTGGATATGAGGTACACACATTTATACATTTCCTTGTATGCTACGGAGAGAGATGGAGAGGATAGATAGATATATAGAGAGTGGACAGTCTCAATTAAGGATATATCTAGCTGGGTTAACAATGATTTTCCCGCTGTCTGTCTCTTCTCCGTTTTTTTTTTCTCAAGCTAGCTACTCAAACCGCTACTCCATAGTTGGCGCTCAGACGATGGGTGATCCCATAGATATAACACTACTCCTATCACTTTCCGGGAAAGCATTCCGCGCTGCACAGAGTAGCAACGGCATCGGGAGAGTGGTATAGTAGTCTTCGTCTTGGCGAGCTTCTAGGATGTTCGGGATCCTCCAGGAGGTTACCATAAGCGCATTGATCGAATGCAAATCCACTTCCCCCACTAGAGCAAGAGCTCTAACGACGAGTTTGGAGCTTAGAAGCTGCACGACAAGGCGAGGGGGAACACTGAGTTCACGCTGCCGTAGCGGCCCACGCTAAGGATACGATGATCCTCGAAGAGGCGACATTGTGCGTTCAGCAGCTCGTGGGAAGGGTCAATAGTTTTGCTTCATAGAAGCGCAAATCCAGCTTGCATCTTTAACCTGTGCCACCTTTCGATCCGGACGAGGCCGCCTGGCCTGATGCGGCAGCGGTGGAAGCATTTGCAGCGGCCTTATCACCGCCGCCACTACCACCACCACCACCACCACCACCCCCCCTCCTGCTTCGCCGGCTGCGGTGTCCGGACTTCTCCTTCTCTGCCGCGCCCGATGTAGATGCCGTTCCCGAACCGGTTGCGGTGGAAGAAGCAGCCGCTGCCTGGGCAGGCTTCTTCTCCTTTCGCTCCAGAACCTGGACGGTAGCTTGCGCGACAGAAACGGGACTGGCGGCAATAGCCTTGACAAGGCCGTCGTGCTCGGCGAAGTCGACATAGGCAAAGCCCTTCCGCTTGTCAATTTCCACGAACGTGACAGCACCAAATGCACCAAGAGCCTGCTTCAAAAGCGCTTCAGTAACTCCCTGCGAGGGGTTCGCGTGCTTCACAAAGCCACGCGTAGCGCCGGGAGTAATGGCACCGGCCTTCTTCTGACTGCCGCCCTTGTTCTTCTCAGCATTTGCCTTGGACGACTCTCCAGGTGTCTGCTTCTGGGGCGCAGGTGTTTGGGCAGCGGAGGATGAGGGCTGTGCGGTGGCAGAGGTTTGGTCTTGTCGTTTCTTCAGCAGAATCGGCGGATTCGCTGCGGTTGGGCCCGAGCCGTTAGCGGTGTTCTCTGCGCCTTTGCCTTTCTGATCCGCATTCTTCGATCCCCGTCCGCGGGAGCGACCAGATGACTGAGACTTGCTACCAGATCCAGCAGAAGGCTGGCTGTTGGCGGCGGGGGTGGTCGGAGTGGCCGGTTGCGTTGCGGCATTGGATGAGTTCTTGGAACCAGTAGCGGGAGTGGACGTGGCGGGTTGGGGGGAACTAGCGGTCTTCGCTTCCGCCTCAGCCTTCGCAGCATCGAGACGTGCTCGCCTATGGGCAGTTCCTGGGCTCAATCCTAGGTCCCTTTGAAGGATTCGAGCCGCAGCTGCAATACCAGCACGGCGGCTTTTAGGTGCCGCGTCCCCAGAGGAAGGTGAAGCTGCTGCTGCTGCTGGCTGAGACGAGCTTGAGGCTGTTGCAGAAGCTGATGTCTTCTTCCCAGAGGTGCTCTTCGCGTCCTTGGCGGAGTCGGCAGTCGATTTCTTCAAAAGAATCTTGATTTCCTCCTTGGGCTTTTCTCCCTTTTCACTCTTTTCCTTTCCCTTCTTAGACTCATCACTCTTAGATTTCGAAGCGGTCTTAGTGTCCTGTCGAGAATGCTTTCCTCCCTTTGAGGACGACGATTCCTTATCTTTATTGGCCTTCTTCGCCTTGAGGAACTCAATGAGAGGTGTGACTGTTGTCGCGGCTGGCGTGTTTGCATCCTGTTCGGACGGCTCCGCCGGAGCAGGTTTGGGATTTGCTAGCTCCTCAAGGAAAGCCATGAAATCAGGGTCCAAGTCGATAGTCCCCTGCCTAGGGTCAACTCTTTCCTTAGCGGGTGGGATCCTTTGGAAAGCGCATCTCTCCACAAAGGGCGGGAAGATCAAAGCCGGGTCGTTGTAAGTATTGCCGGCATCCTCCCAGGTGGCATTGCGTACGGTGTCGACTAAAAGCGGGACATTGTCCTGCTTCAGAAGGTGTAGGTAGGCAATGCTGGGACGGGATGGCTTTCCAGAGCTATGAGCGGTGTGTCAGTACCTGGTGTCTAGATTTCAAGGCAACACATGTGCGTATGCCAATACTCCTCCGCATCTGCACCTACGTTCTAGCTTGCTTTCCAGGCTCATAGAAAAACCAGTCTACCTTGCCATTTCCGACCTTCCACTGATCACCCAGGATGGCGGTGAATTCAGACTCTTTCATGCCGGGAGGCAGGTAGCGAACACTCATCTTGATGCCGTCCGCGGCGGCCTTGGGCTTGGCTCGGGATGCTTTGGCATTTTTATCTGCCGGTTGCTGAGTTACGGAGATGGGCAACACACCGTTAGCCCTGCCCGCAGATTTGTCTGGTGGCGGCGTCATCCCGACTTGTTGGGCTCGGTCCCGATGTGGTCCCGAGTGCTGTGCGTCATGCGAGGTGGGATTATTCGAAGGCGGTGAGGCCAATGTCTAAGCCGTAAGAGCCGGCTCGACTGAGCCGATGCTGGTTATGCTTAAAGATGAGATTCCGTGCTGGGGCCGCCGGCCAGGATATATCGAGTAAGACCCGATGGGTTGCAGGCTGGCTGGATGTTGGGAGGATCTCAGCCTGCTTCTGGCAAAATGGTGGGGAGGCAGACTTGAAAAAAGTGATGGGGATGTTTTGAGAGCTCGGTGGCGGATTTGATACCAGGATTCCAGCCTACCCAACCCTCGAGAAATACTCAAGGAAGGAAACTGGAGGCAAAAGGAGATGTCGTGCAGGTGGAAGGTGTTGAGACCAACATTGAATGTGTCCCTGGGAAGAGGAATTATAATGGATTCTCAGGCGAAGATAAAAGTGCTCCTAAGACCGAAGATGGGGAAGATTTGATCAATGCCACCAGTGAAGAGTACCTAGGTCAAGCCAGCACCAACACACCAGTAATGAGTTTAGAGAGGTAGAAATTTGGGAATTTTGATGAACAATTCAAAGTAAAATGAGAAAATAAGCTTCTAGGAGTTGATATCCTTTATCATTGAGTAAGAGGAATTTAAAGAATAGTAGTTGGCATGCATACACCTATTTTGCTTCCATCACTCACCCTTTAGATGTACTTGTAGCCTTGCTTTGTGCTTGCTCACCTCACCTAGGCCTCAGTGACTCTGGCTTCAGAATGGGGACCCTGAAGCAGCAACTAAATCACATGATGCAGCCAAGTTCCAGTGCATCTTTCAGGACCCATTCCAGTGCTGGGGTCTGAGTGGAAGGTGCTGTGCAGCGCAATGGTGAAAGGAGATTGGCCCCACACCTGTTAGGTCCAAAACACCAACTCAATCACGTGAAGGTAACAAGGCCCTGTGAATTTCTCTCCTTCACCCTACCGGCTAAACATCGCCTATTTATCACATCCAGTCACGTGAGATACTATCCCAAAGATGTCTTCAGAGGATGGTGATCATCCAGAGGGAGCTCCCCCAGAGAGGGGCAGAAGCCAATCTAATAGGGATTCTGCCTTTGACTTTGCTGGACTCCGTATCGGGCCGCCTCGACCTCGGAGAAACGCGTTCGGCGAGAGCTTTGCCCCCGTTGCACGACCCAGCATCAACCCCGCCAACAGCGTCCCTCAGATAAACGGAACATCGTCCGCGAGCTCGTCTGAGAGTCTTCCGCCTCTCTCCGGTCCTTCCCCCGCTCCTAGTCCTCCTACCCCGGCCTCTCAAAACCGGACGGCTCTCATCGCCGCCCGAGGCAGTCCCGGAGAGCAGCGACGCGTCTCAGCTACGGGCACAACGACCCGACCCCGACCCATCCCCCCGCCCCTCAACATCGTCGACGCTCCTCACCGATCCCCGCGTCTTGACTTCTCACCACGACCTGGTGGAGACCAACAGCTTCCTTACGCGTTCGCACCCATTCCCGGCGATTCGGAGCCATTCCCCAGATTTGTAGACCCTGCTCTTCCCGCGGATCAAAACGAGCTCCAAAACGCAGCATCTTCCACCAGTAAGCAGCTGTCAGGCTTCATTCGGCACATTTCGAACGTAACCATGGAATGGGTTCTAATGTGGAAATTGCACAGATTCGAGCAACACTCAAACTCCCACTCGCGAGCGTGCGACTGGAGCCCCGTCTCCTGAGAGCGCCAGTGTTCGAGGCAGCCCTCAGCGCGCCCTCCTTCTCCCGAATTGCATTGATCGCGATTCCTCCCCTCTTCCCTCGCCCCGTTCGTCATGAAGCCCGTTCCGAAGCCGGGTCCAGCTAAGCTGGGCCCCAATTCTGGGCTGGACGAGTGGTTAGAGGAAGCGAAGCAGTGTCATTATCTGCCAGAGAGAGTGATGAAGGAGCTTTGTGAGATGGTGAAGGAAGTTCTTATGGAAGGTTTGTGTGTCCTCGTGGTTTCCCGACGCCCATAAGATGTACTAATCAGGAAACCGACTTTAGAATCGAATATCCAACCCGTTTGTACCCCAGTCACCGTTTGTGGTGATATCCACGGCCAGTTTTATGATCTTCTCGAACTGTTCAGAGTTTCCGGCGGCATGCCAGGGGAATCGGAAGTTGAGGCCCCTCAATCGTCAACCAATGTGATAACATCGGATGACATTGAACCCCCAACGTCGATCACCAACCCCAAGTTAAAGAAGAAGCTAAAAACATCCCCCGATGACGCGAGTGGTGAGGTTGGAGATGAGGAGAGTCCTGGTCCTGCTGATGCCCCGAAGACAGAAGCTGGTGTTGTAACAAACAGCAGTTCTCAGTCTGCAGATACGCGGTACATCTTTCTCGGAGATTTCGTGGATCGCGGCTACTTCAGTTTAGAAACCTTTACTTTGTTGATGTGTCTCAAGGCCAAGTATGTGCTAACCCGTCTGGTGTTTACTCTGCTCACGACTTTGCTAACGGCGTGATATCTTGATAGGTTCCCAGATCAAATAGTCTTAGTCCGCGGAAATCACGAGTCTCGTCAGATTACGCAGGTTTATGGCTTCTACGAGGAGTGCCAGCAAAAGTACGGCAATGCCTCCGTGTGGAAAGCCTGCTGTCATGTTTTCGATTTCCTTGTTCTAGCCGCCATCGTTGATGGAGAGATTCTCTGCGTTCACGGCGGTTTGAGTCCGGAGATTCGGACGATTGATCAGATCCGGGTTGTCGCTCGTGCACAGGAAATTCCTCACGAAGGCGCATTCTGTGATCTTGTTTGGTCCGACCCCGAAGACATTGACACTTGGGCTGTCAGTCCTCGTGGGGCTGGGTGGCTCTTTGGGAACAAGGTGGCTACCGAGTTCAACCATGTCAACGGGCTCAAGTTGATAGCGCGTGCTCACCAGCTCGTCAATGAGGGATATAAGGTATGCTTTGGCTCCTTCTGTAGTGTTTATATGCCTGCCCAATCCTCACCTCGGCCGTACTGACTTTGACTCCGCAGTACCATTTCCCACAAAACTCCGTGGTAACGGTATGGTCGGCACCGAACTACTGTTACCGATGCGGTAATGTTGCCTCTATCATGACGGTGGATAGGGATCTGAATCCCAAGTTTAGCATCTTCTCTGCCGTTCCTGATGAGCAACGCCACGTACCGCCAAATCGGAGAGGGCCAAGCGACTATTTCCTTTAGATCCAGTTTTCTACTCATCTGCGGGTATGTACGATAGGAGTAGTGCATCGTGTTTCCTTGCAAGTTTGTTTGTTTTTCAGTTTTCCCGCAGTCATTTGCCGTTGTTTATTTTTTGGAGGGATTAACTGGGGTACATAACGAGGGTATGGAAGATGTAAAGGAAGATGGCATATTGATGAAACCAACGAGATACCAATCTGCTAGACTGTTCCTGTCAATAGCTTTAGAGGCGTTTGCATGGAATGCGAGTGATGATTTATTTCTCAAGCTGGTTCGGACCTTCTTTGGTGAAGTGATGTCCCTTCTATTGGTTTGTGGCGCATACTCGTGATGGAAATACTCGTCAAGAATTTTACCAAGATAGAGATATTTTATTCCCGATTGATTGCTATTGTGGATTCAATCGATGATAATCGCACATCTCGCAGAATGTGCTCCGGCGACTAAATCCAATAGGGCTGGCTCTCTATCCAAAAGTTAATCTGAGAAAGCCTACCTATTTCTGCTGCGTTCTATCTTTTTTTGGCCCCAAATTGAAGTCGCCCACCACCTGAAAGCCTCACGATGGATCGCCCAAAACGGCCTAAAAAGGCTCGCTACGTTTATGATCCGTCGCAAATAGTATCGCGATGGCTTTCCACAGTCGCCGCCGAAAAAGTCACTGAGTGGCAGACACTAGGCCACACTGAAAAAGCGCTGGCCGAGTCGCTCCCGAAACGATTCATGGTCTACGAACCAATGGTGCTCTTCTCCCCCGGCGCCTTTGCAGATTCGGCGTGGAAGAGTGTCCTAGAGGATAGCGACGAAGAGGAGAAAGATGGTCTATTCAGAATTATCCTCGGAGCAATATCGAAGGTACAAAAGAGCGAAGTGACGCACCTAGCAGTCAACGCCGGGATTCCGCTCTACGTCGATCGAGGGGGCGAAGGACATGGGCCTGGCCGGACGGCTGGGGAAAACGTGCTGAGGAGTCCCGTGGAGATCGCAACGCTGTACGGGGACTTTGGGCCTGCGAGGACGCGGTGGCCGCCAAGGCAGGAAGACCTGGAGAATGCGTTTTGGGTATCAACGAAACAGAATGGCATATTCCAGACCTGGGCGCCGCGATACACGATGTTTAGCAGAGGGAACATTACGGAGAAGGCGAGAATCCTGGACTTTCACCGTGGAGACGCCAGGCTGGAGAGGAGAAAGAAGTCGCTGGCTGCGTTGAAGGGTCTATGGGCTGTTGATCTCTACGCCGGCATAGGATATTTCGTCTTTTCTTACGCGAAACGTGGCATGAGAGTCCTCTGTTGGGAGATTAACCCGTGGAGCGTCGAGGGTTTGCGGAGGGGCGCATTGCGGAATGGGTGGAAAGTCAAGGTGGTTCAGGGACAGGCACTTGAGCTTCCCGTTGATGAGCTGCTGGTGGGAGATGAGCAGATCGTGGTTTTCATCGAGGATAACCAGAGGGCGCTCGAGCGGATAGCGAACCTCCGGCTGTGTCTCGAACGACTAGAGATATTACATGTCAACGGAGGGTTGCTTCCTACGAGCAAAGATACGTGGGAAGAGTCATGGCGCATGTCGTGCCCTAGCACGGAATGCTGGCTCCATCTTCATGAAAATGTGGGAGAGGATGATATTGAGAAACGGCGAGCGGAAGTTGGGCACATGTTTAACAGATGGGCCCAGGATGACGGCAACGAGAGGAAGGCTGTGGTAGAGCATGTGGAGCGAGTGAAGACGATTGCGCCAAGAGTTTGGCATTGCGTCTTCGATGTATACATTACGAAGGTATCACTATCTAAAGAGTCCCAATAGAATCAACGCGAGAAGAAAGACCGAACCTGTATCATCCTTCCATATATGCGCCAACATTCCCATCAGATCCGTGGGTTCATTACAGAGTATCATCAAGGGGGAGGAGGGCCGAAGCGGCAGCCGGAGGCTTATTCTTTCCGGGGACGGAGGAACATGGCGGGGATGTTCTCCTCTATCACGGATCGCTTCTTGAGTTCGTCCATCCTTTCCTCTTCCTGTTCCATCTGTTCATGTAGCTTGAAGTGTTCGATATCTTCCGGGTGGGTGAGGTCCTCTAGTTCGGTATCATCGCCGTGGTACCTAAGTATGCCGTTAGTCAAGAATGCCCTCACTTTCTACTACCGACTCAGTCGATCAAAGGAAACAGTGAATCGCTTACTTCTCCCAATGATGGATCTCATACTCGTATTCATCGTCGCCGTGATGTCCTGGTCCAGTGCCCATGTCCGGCAGCGTCTTTCCCTCGGCTAGGAACGTGGCCAACTCGTCACGCGACACCTCCTCATCGCCGTTGCGATCGAGTAACCTCAACAGCTCCTTCAAGATGGTCGCTCGCTTTTCGGCAGGGACGTCTTTATTGGACTTGTCGAATAGACCGTATGTGCGCAGAAGCTCTTCGGGTTGCCAGACTCCGTCGCTGTTGAAGTCGTGGAGGGAGAAGAAGGAGGCGGCGTCCCAGTGATCGAGGTGGTGCTCCTCTATGCGCACAGTCAATGTTAGTTCCGACATGTCGTCTAAAAGGGAGAGAGGAGGAAGAGTTCGGGGCGGGAGGAACAAGACAAACTTGCCTGCCATGTGTTTTGTCATCCAGTTGGCATCGTCAGCGATAGCTGGTTGCTTCGACCCAGACCCGTGGTCTCCATGGGCAGAAGCGCCGATTACTACGAGGGAGAGGGCGGAGAGTGTGTGAAAGCGCATTGCGAAATCGGGTTCCGTTGACGACTTTGTTTGAACAGGTAGAAAGGGTAAATATGGGGAGAACAGAGTTTAGCGGAAAACAGATGAGGATACACTTTGCAGAGAGAGAGAGAGCGAAAAGTCAGTAAGGTTGGTAAAGTCCGAAGATAAACTCGGAGCCAGTATCCACTCAGTGATTTATTTACAAGTCGAGTCTGCGCTAATCCTGGAGGCTGTGATGCTGGTGCGACCCGCGATTTGAGCCCGCCCATGCCCCTGCGCTCCTGCGCTCCTTCCCCTGACCTTGCTCCAGCCATAGCGTCATAGCTCCTCCTTCCCACCTTTTTTGTCCTCGTCACAAGCTCGTCTCTTTCTCCTCAACATTTCCATTTCCATTCCGCCCTTTACTTTCTGCAGGCCGTTAACCCAGAATTGGCATACCTCGGTATTCTTGCTAGATCAATTTGGGCCCTAAAGCGATCCATTTTGCGAATAATCTTCGCCTCGCCGTCGATCTGATCTTCGAATCCGCCGAGCCGGGACGAGTTCGATTCGCGCGAAACCTGAACTCGAAACTGCCAACCTCCCCCTCCCCCACTTCAGCCGCTTTCATTCAGCACCTACAATTTTGTCCTCGAAGATAACAGCCGCTCGGGCTGACGGTTTAAAATGAGTCGCTCGATAGAGCAGAACCTGCTCTCTCTTATGCCCACGCACAGCTCCCAGCTTCCGCCGCGCCTTGTGGACACTGCCCGCACCCTCCTGACACAGTCTCGTCAGCGAGCTAGCACTCTAAAGGCCGATGAAGAGGTCGCGAGGATGTATGCGTGTGCGCACATTGCCTGCGAGAGGTAACCATTCCTGGAGTGCCCTCAGCCGAGTTCAAGAAGACACGTGCTAACTACAGGATCTCTTTCTGCAGGCTAAAAATCACCTTAAACCTCCCACCTATTGAACCGAGACCGCCGATACCTCCGCGTGTCTACAAGCGATTATACACCCATCTCGACAATATCCTTCCAGGCCGGCAGGTAAGAAGCACACCTTCGAAACCCAAACAGGGCCTTAGCTCGCCTGCATTAGGGAGCGCTATCAAGTCAGTTCCGAATCAAGGCTTCGACAGGTCTGTGTCCCGCTCTGCGAGGAAGGTCTCGGCCACGGATATCACTCTCGTAGATACACCGACGAAATCCACCGGTAGGGGGTTCGTAAAGTCGATTCAGCCACAGGTCGGCCTGCACCCCTGGATCCGCGGCGTTCTCGCTTTCCTGGTCGCGGAGTTCCGAAGGGAGGACTACGGCAAATTTGTTCTTGCAGGTGTCGAGTACGCCATCGCGCCAGGCGGTAGGAGGACCAACGATAAGTGGATATCCTCGCATCTCCCGGCCACGGTTGCTGCGATTTTTGTGGTCGCCATGGACAGACTAGCAACGATACTCGGTAGTGTAGAGCCCGATGTCGAGTCCTTGGTCGACATTATGAAGAAGACCCTGGACATTATGAACCACGCCCGGGAAGCGCTTGATGTAAAGGGCCTAACGGAAGCGGAGTTTTGGGATGGGTGGACGAATCCTAAGCTCCCTGACGTGGGGACGGCAATCAAGCGTGTGAGAGAAGACTGGATTGATGCCGATTGGTATCTGGCTCTCGAAGACGTAGCGTCGGAGAACGTGCAGCGAGCCAAGAGTAAGGGGAAGGGCCGCCAGCGACGGGATGTGCGGGAGACGATGGGGATTCATAAGGCTGATACTCTGCATCAGCCGAGGTATAACTACTTGAGTGAGAAACGGCAGGAGGAGTATAAGGTGTGGCTACAGAGCGTCGCTGGCCGCCTTGCTGATCAAGGCGCTGGCGATTTGGACGACCTCGAGACGGAACTTGGCCTCCGCACCGTGGATTAGTTTTCTCTCTTCCCTGTTTTCTTCGATCCTGCATGAATGGAGTTTGGGAGTTATGAGATAGAGGGCAGGTTTTATTGGGATTAGCTACGCTCGGGCGTATAAAAATCACCGTTGGGATTGCTCAAGGAGGGAGCGTGACAAACAAAAGAAAGCGAAAGTGAAACTGGAAACCTTAATAGCGAACCGAACAGCGAATATAATATCGCTGCCGATTCTCCACCAGTTGGCGACAGCGTGTGGACAAGGGACTGACGAAATAGTATCAAGGCGCTCGGTTCTGACAGAGCTCCAAGGCCAAAGTGATGATATTCACAAGACAAGTTCGAATCTATGTACAAACAATAGCGAAAAACAACGTCAAATTCCCCTCCTTTCCCAATGCTCATACACGGTTGTTATTTACACCCATTGGGCAGTACGATGGACCCCAAAACGAACCCCCCGAGACCAATTTTTGCTCATCCTACTTCGCCTTCTCAAACGACTTAAGAGGTTTTTACTCCTCCTCAGCAGCGGCGCCGGGGACAACGAAATCAACGCAAGACTCATAGGTCTGACCCTGGCCGAGCCAGTACCATTGGAGTACCTACAGCATCAGACGTTAGTATAAATTACACGCGAATGTCTAGTTGATCTATAAATGGGTCCACTGGGGATGAGGGGGTGAGGTGGACGTACACAGGCGCCAGGCTCAGTACACTGTCCGCCGAGCTCGGGAATTGTGACGCTGAAGCTCGTCTCGTCTGCGGGAAGGTTGGGGAACTTGGCCCCATCAGCGTATCCGCTCTCCCACACCTTGAGCGCGTCGCCAATGACGGCGTTCTTGGCGGTATCGACAACGCTGACGTTGGCGTATCCGACGTGGGGGATGCGGATCTGGACCTTGAAGTCGACCTTGTCGCCAGCCTTGTACTCTTGGACGTTCTCGAGGTTGTCCTCGAACTGGTAGCCCTTGCAGAGGTAGAGATCGCAGTCCTCGGTGATGCCGTTCTGCCAGTTGGGGCTCCGCATGAGGGCCTCGGGGTAGGACGTGCCGTCGGCCTTGTAGAAGTCGACCATGTTTTGGCCGCAGACGGCGGCAGTGGCTTCTCCTGGGGCACGGGCGGCGGGGGACTCGACGAGGCCGTGGGCTTGGACGAGGGCCACGAGGGCCGAGAGGCCGAGGACGGAGGAAGAGACCATTTTGTTCAGGGCCTTGGGGGGCAGAGAGTAGGTTGTGGAGAGTGGGGAGGGAGAGAGATTCCGAGGGAGGTGGAGTAGGCGGATTGGAGGTTGAAAGAGAAGAATCGAGTGGGATTGAGAGACTTTCTTTCCCTTCTTCTAAATTGGACAGAGGAGGGTTTGCGAGGGGATGTGGGGGATGGATATAACCTCTCTGGCCCACCCCCTTTCAGCTCCCATTTCCCCTTTCGAGCGCTTACATTGGTTATATATGTCCGTGGCAAACGTTCTTCTGCCTTCCGCTTCCTTTCTTAGACCTCTTTCTCGGAGATCGGATTTCCATTGAACAGGTGCACATGGCTAAACGAAGAGAGCCCCTCCCGTTGCCCATGCAACCAGCGTTTGGGGATTCCCAACAACCCCTTTCTCTACCTAGGAGCATTCTATCTGAATCGGCGCGGAGAAGGAACCTGCGTTTTTCTTTTCACCAACCACCCGCCCCCCTGCGGCCGGCCCTCGATCCGGATAACTGCCGTGCGAGCAAGGGAGTAGGACATTGGCTGGTCGGATTGGAGAGGAGCCCCGAGAGACCTGTGTATATTAATTAGTTGTGGAATTGGAGATTGCCGGTGCCGGTGTAAGAAGGTGGGGAAGGGCACTCTATATAACAGCACAGTAAAGAGAGACATTGCTATAGTGTACGGAATGGAGTACTTGTGTAGTTTCCAGAGGGGACTTTAAATATTGGGGGAGATCAAATTGGGGAGCAGAACTGGTTCCGTTGCTTGGGGCGAGTCGGAGTCGGGGAGGGCGGGATATTAGGCAAAAGACGAGGAAGCCAAGGACCAAGGTGAAAGAACGGCATTATCCAAGTACTTTGTAAATTGATCTGTCGGCGGTTTATCAGATTTGATATATTGATAGATGCAAGGAACGGCGTTTCCCCCGAGAGTTTCTTTTTGAAGAACGAAGGATCTCTTTCATTCCCACATCGGCATTCCTGGATCCGGGCAAAACGGGAAGAGCAACGGTCGGAGATCGGAATGCACGGATTTAGGCTTGGCACCCGAGAGATACAGGAGAAACCCCTGGTTGCAAGGAATACGTGGGTTCCTAGAGACGCAATTTCAATTATCGCGGTGGGCTCTTGGGGGTATTCCAAATAGCAATATCCGGTATCTGGATAGCTCGAAGACTTGCGATGAACGGGGTTAACTGGAGTCAATATTCATGGTCCTTGCCTTGCTGTAGTTCATCTCAGTTACACAGAACCGTCTTGTGGAAGTTTGAGAAACATGATCAGCTAACCGTATGTTCTATTGATCTCCTGTGTCTAATGGTAGAGAAGTGAAGTGAATCGTGACAGTAAGATTTTCAAAATATTTCCCAGTCTTTCCTCCTGTTACGAAAACAATAAAAGCAATAAATAACTCCATTTTACCTATATTTGCCTCCTCCTCCAAGGTGCACCGGAGGGGGGCCTGTTGTCTGCGCATCCGGCTGTGTAAAGAAGAGCATAGAGTCCCGTCTCTGCGAAAGCGCACTTGTCGTCCTTTGCAACCACCCGTTGACGTTTCGGAAGACGCTCCCACGACCGCTTGCGTTATCCAAAGGCACAGGCAGGACGGTCGCAGGCTGGTCAACCGGGCTGTGCGCCTGATCAACCTCTCTCTCGGCAAGGGAGCGCTGATCGAGTGTCTCCTGGCCCGCAAAGAGTTTGTCGTCTGGGCCGAGCTCGTTGGCGTATACGGCGCGCATGGCCCTGTCCATGACTAGGGTATCCGTGCGGGGGTTGGTGCGTTGTAGCCCTGCTGGGGGAGGCTGGTCGAAGATGTCGTCAAGCCGTCGTTTGCGCCATCTTATAAAGAAGAATACGGCGGCAATAATGAGTGCGAGGCCACCTGCAAGATCATGTTAGCATGCTGCCTCTATGCCTCATGATAGACGCAAAAAGGATAGGAAGGAGTCTTACCAATCGTTCCGAAGGCGATACCGACCGCCGTACCACGGCTCATGCCACTGCCAGAGTTGCCGGACGTGATGTCTTGAGCATTTCCAGCTGGTTCGGCGCCGGTACCAATGTTGGTTGAAGCGGGTAGGTTAAGAGTAGGGCCAGTGGATGTCCCGCCTGTGATCTGGCCAACCGCGTCAGAAGTGGGCGTTGGGCCGACTCCTTCGCTGGTACTAGGTGCTTCTGGTGCGCTCACGATGGGGGTCTGGATTGGGGCAGGTGTGTCTGCAGGAGGGGCCGCCGAAGTTGGGTCACCAACGTTCGGCACAGGGTCTGTCGCCGACGAAATAGGGGCCGGGCCAACTACTGGAGACGGCGATTCGGCGGGTGGCCCGACACTCTGGGAGGGCTTGGCCTCATCTTCCGACTCGGGCTCCTGGGAAGGACCCTTATTGTCAGGCTCGGAATCTGTTCTCGGTTCAATCCCGAGGCGCCTGGAACTCTTCACATGACGTCGCCTGACCCCAGTTCGCGTGCGATTGGAGAAGCCACCGTCGGAGTCCGAGAACAAACCGTCGTTGTCAGTGTTGGTGTTGGCGTCGCTGTCGCCGTCAGTGAATACGGGAATCTGGCGCTTCTCCGCGCGCTTCACGACACGACGACGAGCTCCAGGAAGCCTGTTTCGGTTGAAGAAACCGTCGTCGGAATCCGATAAGCCGCCATTGTCAGTATTGGAGTTATTCCCACTTTCATCGTCCGTGAATATCGGAATTTGGCGCTTCTCAGAACGCTTGACCCGTCGAGGTCGGCCAGCGGGGAGTCTGCTGCGATTGGGTAGACCGTCATCGGTATCGCTGAAGGCCCCATCATTATCCGTGTTGGAGTTGTTACCACTATCGTCATCCGTGTTGAACCCTGGAATCTGGCGTCGTTGAGCCCTGTTCTTCTTCCTGCGGCGTTGAATAACAGTGAGCCTGTTTCGGTTGAAGAAGCCATCGTCAGTGTCTGAGAAGGCACTATTGTCTGCGTCGGAGTTGACACCACTGTCATTGTCGGTAAGGTCAACGACCTGACGCTCATCAAGCTCGGCTTGGAGCTCTCTTGTAGTCCTTGGTTGACTTTTGTAACTGGGTTAGTCCTCTTGTAAATCGATGTAAGTGTGGTTCAGGACCCTTTTACTTACCGCATAGTGAAAGTTTTGGCCTCCCGGATGAGTCCGAATCTCAAGCTCACCCCAGTTGGTAGGTATCTCGATGGAGATATTCACTCTAATGTTTCTCGATATGTCACTGCTCGTAGAGAGCAAATGGTCCTCGCAACGTAATGAAAACGATCTTGAGGGCGGCCGTGTGTCGTATGAGAGACACAGTAGAGAAGGAAAATAGAATGAAACGAAACGAACTTTGCTTTCAAGCCGCTCTGCGTATATCTGAAAGAAAGAGAAAAAGGCACAGCCAGCTGGCGGGTCTATCTAGCGACAGACAGCGAAGTGAATGGAGAAAGGAAACAAACCACTGGACAAGAAGAAAAAGGCACAATGAAACGAAACACGGGAACGACTGTGGCAGAGGAGAAAAGTATATTCGATGAAAGGACGGGAAGAAGAAGGTTAAAGTATGGAGGGGACAGGTGTTGTCGTCCCCAGATCCATTATCCCGTCCATGTCGACGACCTCGGATGGAAGGATCGCTAGTCTGGAGAGCCTCGTACGTCCTGGGCGAGGAATGTGTATACCTGCCAGGGGCTACCTGACGAGTAGAACGAGCAGTTGGGATGAAAAGCGGTTGAGTTCAAACATCGACAATAGTTCACTACCTCCTTCAAGGATGTCTAGCATTGTCAGCCAGTCAAATGCAACGCCCGTGCGAATATCCTAACTTTAGCTGCAGTCCCCACTGAAACCAGGCGTCGTTTCGAGACAAAGTGCTCATGGTTGGTCCAGGGTTTCATCCCACTTTTTCGTTTCTTAGCGCAGTTGGTCGGTCACAAGCGGAAGCTTCCGGGCCAAGCAGAAGAAGAGATCGAGCTGTTTCGTTTCAACGCCCTGGCGCTTGGCTCAAGCGAGAGTCCCGCCGCATTGCAAAAGATTAAACCTCCGGCGTCGCGTGAGGAATTTCCCGATCGAGAGACTCCTAAAGATAGAAATGCCAAGCCTAGCACTTATCTGCAATTTTCTGCGATTTTCTCGGGTCCACGGCAATGATCCAAGAGTTTATTTTTATCATCAATGCGAAGATGAGATTTGAAGCTGAGAAGATGAGCCAAGATCAATCGATGCATTGAAGAGGAAGGAACGAATGACCTGGTCTTGCGACCATCCCGTCAGCTGTGGACAATTGGCTGCTAGTCTATTGCCACTTGTCATTTTCGCAATGGACGACGAAACATCATCTCGATGAACATTACGACAAGACACTTCAACACTCCAAGCCTCCCCTTCCAACTACGAGAAAAACTAAACAGACTTCATATTTCCGAAATACCACGTACATAGGCTAACGAAATACACAAACTATCGATATCATTCTGTCCCAGACTCAAGGAAAACCCGACGAAATACAGCTGCGTCGACAGCTTCACCCGGATGCTGTTTCTTGATGTGCCTCTTCAGGTTGTGTTGATAATCAGCTATGAAGGGCTTGTCGCAATACGGGCAATGAACCCTCTTGCGATTTTTCTTATGCTTATTCATGTGCCGCTTGCGATCCCGATCATAGGAACTTCCCTGGCCACACTCAGGACATTTCTCCGGCTTCTCTCGTTTCCTAATCTCTCGTCTGTTTCTTGTGTATCAGTACAGCGGAATCAATGTGCCACACTTTCGATTCGAGACTTACTTTGTCTCTCCTACTCGTTTTCGTCCCCTTCTCTTGATTTCCCGGCTTCTATTCCTGCATCTTGTGCTCCTAGGAACTGGGACCGGCGGCGTCGGAGATGCACTTTCTGAGAGAGGCCAGTTGTTTGGCAACAGCGGCCCCTCATATCCAGTGGCCATTGCCACAGGACTGAAGGGCGTGTAACTGCTTTGGGTTCCCGGAGACGTGGGGTTCGAGAGACCCCAGCTAAGGGGAGATGAGAGCGGTGACAAGCTAGATGATGTTTCAGATGAGCAAACTCCAAGGTATTCCATGCCTGCACTGCCCATACCCCCCATATAGCCGACGTCCAACCCGTGTTGATGAGTGGTAGGCCAGTCGGCTGAGTTGTTGATGAGGGGGAAGCCGGGAAATGCAGCTTCAAAGGATAGGAAGTTCAAAGGCTGCTCATCTGTGCTGGCTGGACCGCTCTGCTGGACCCGGTCGAAAGTTGTACTGCCGTCATCGAGAGGCAGCAAATCAGTCCTAGTTCCAAATAGACTCGGAACCGAGCCGGTGGCCGGATTGGCCACAGTTTCCGATCCCATAAGACATTCTTCCCATGATATTCTATCCCAGTCCCCCGTCGGCCCTTGATTTTCCAAGTTGCCGTCCGACATTTTGTTGAAATTTTGGGCCCAGAGGGCCAATCGCTTGAAGAGTTTTGTTTAAAATTGGTTTAAAGCTTCGTAGTGAAGTTTTCTTTTTTGTTATTCGCTAATTGGACCTTTTAACGACGTACCCAGGTCCGTCAATCTAGTGTCTGTGATGATAAAAGGTCCTGTTAGACACCCCATATTGCTTCACCACTAATTGACCGCAAAAATGAACTGTCTAACACTTACCGACTGTAATGACACTTCATAGCTTAATTGAACTCCATTCTAGCACCTCGCACACATCTAATGATGTTGCAGGCCCGTTCTTGAAAGCAGCCCAGGACAAGGCCAGCTGAGGATGAAAATTCCAGTTGCTTTCCGATAGCCATCTCGACGTGGTGTCTAGCAGGTCACGAATGAAGGTGCTACCACTTGAAATGTCTTGTTCATGCAGAGGAATATCCTCAGCTTGGACTGGGGATTCGGTTAAATCCTACAGGACTAGGGTTAGCACTCTCGTTGATTCGAGCTGGCAAGGCGAATGCATATTCATCTGTGCTGAGAACCCACACAATATTGGAGAGAGATCCCGGGAGCTATTCAACATGGCCTGGAGGCAATTGAGCCTTGCCGTGGGGCGAGGTGTCTATTGCTTGGGGACGGTTAGTTCTCCTGATACCATCAATGTTATTTGGGCGATAGGCTTACTGACAGTCTAGAATGGAGAGGAAAGAAAACAACAAAACGAACTAAGAAAGAGGAAAACAAGAAAAAAAAAATAGAAATTGAAAAGAATGGAATGGAAGAGCTACGTCGATGGCCTCCTGGAATCGGTCCTCCGCGGGATTCCTAACGTTCATCGGTCATACATAATGAATGAAGCGGGGATTAATTGAACAAACGTTGGAGATCCGGCATAACGCCGATTCCAGGAGGCCATCGACGTAGCCCTTCCATTCCATTCTTTTCAATTTCTATTTTTTTTTCTTGTTTTCCTCTTTCTTTGACTCTTCCGTCGTCAAGGTTTCGCGCGGATCAAGGTTGGTGGTGAAGGAATGGATGGAATGGAAGGAAGAGGCAGGTACTCTGCGAGTTTGGAGATCTTGGGAGAAATATATATTCGTCTGATTGAGAGAGAAGAGAGGTAGAGAGTACTTCGTACCCGATTAGAGGATGGTATGCCCTCACTATGTGATTCGTTCATTGAAGTGGTGGCATCACCAACATCACCAACACCAACATGCGGCCGGATTTGATTGGACCCATCCAGATGCCTACTCTTGAATCTCCCCTCCAGATCTTTCGGTCTCGATGGAGCTCTTGATCCACCCTCAGGCTGCCACGCAACAGCCTATCATCGTCGACTTGAGCAGCGGTTGGCCGGCCGCATGTGCGCATCCCTCGATCGAGCCTTGGTCGTCCCATATGGGCTTCGTATCAGTAGACTTTCTTGACGCGAGTTGTTGGGTGTTATATACATATATATTGATGGATGGTATCTTCGGAATGAATGCTTGTCTATTTTCATCGCAAAACCTCAAAATTCTAGCAAAGAAAATCTTCGAGAAATCATGTCAGAGCCTCAGGGATCGCTTCCGGCCCCGGCCTCGGGAGTACGATCTCAATATCAGCACTTCGTACCTCAATTCCTCCTCAAGAACTTCGCGCACAAATACGCACCCCCGGACCAAGACAACACCGACTCCAACAAGGAGAAGAAGAATAAGAAGAATAAGAAGAAGAAGCAGAAAGGCCAGAAGTACGAAAAGGGGATGTACCCGGGGGACCCTGTTGTATACAACCTCGATCTCGAGCAAGATGTCCTCTCCATCCAAGAGACCCCGGTGGGCCGTATCCTTGGTGAAGTGGATATGTACCGCGACCCTGACAAGCCTACAAAGGAGCAGCAGCGTATTGAGGAAAAGTTTCGCGGCTTGGAGCGGACAGTGTGTGGCATATTCAGAAGAATGGTAAAGGAATTGGAAGATTCGAAAAGGGGCGTGATGCTCACTCGTCTCGAAAGAGATCTTGTCCGAAAGTTCCTCTTCTTGCTCAAGTATCGAGGTCCTGGATTTCGCAGACGATTCAACCACTCCGTCCCGGATACTTACTCGGAGAACGACAGAGTCCTCATCCTCGAATATATGGAAAAACGTGGATACAGTCGACCTTTGGACGTCTGGTTTGAGGGCCTTGGAGCCATCATTGACCTGGACATGAACAAAACAACCAGGGAATGGACCAAAACCCTAATGTCGACAATGTTCTTTCCGGATGCCGTGTGGTTCGCATCGCACATCGACATGTCCTTCATGGCCTTGTGCACTGTGGCCGATGATGAAGATGAGTACGTTCTCACCGACCACAGCTACAACGTATTTGAAGGCCCGAACTCCTTCGTCAGAGACCCGAAGACAGGAAAAATCGAAGGTGGTGCCTGCCGCCGGTTCCACGAGTTTGCGCCCATTTCCCCTAAACTCATGCTCGTTCTCCGAAGCAATGACCTCCCTTACCGAGGTGAACGTCTTGACCATGAGAGCCGACAGAACCTCCGAAGGGTACATGAGGCAAGCCTGCAGCAATGGGCCGTGCAGCCCAAATCTATCTTGCATAGTCTGCCTGTTGGGAAAGCCGAAACCTCGAATCCATACATTATCTATCACGGCAAAGTTCAGCCCGAGTGGAAACCCAAAAAGGACGATAGGTTCATATTTTCATTCTTCAGATTACAAGGAAGACATGTCAAGAGAATAAACGGGATTCTTCTTGATAATGCCTCCAGATGCAGGAATGTCGTGTTCGGCACAAGGGAAGGGTTTTTTCGCATTTTAGAGGACTACATGACTTCCACTACGCCCCATCACAAGGTCTTGGGCGGTGATACTGTTTCTAGCGGTCGGCGGCTGCTTGGGAAGTTCGAGGCTTTACTAAAGGCTCTTGGTTCTGAGGGGACTTGCTATATCCCCCCCGAAGAGCCGACCGAGACGGTAGATGATTACGACAAATTCATGGAAGTCCATATACAAAAAAACCGCTACTTTACGGAGCTTCTTCAAGACAAGAGCAGAGAGTTCAAAGTTGAAGAGCTCTTGGAACATATCCCAGAGGCGTCCGAATATGTGGACTTACCAGAGTTCCGCAAAGCAGCTGGTCGACGCCCAAAGCCTCCCAGGCCTTCAGGACTCGAATACCTCGACTTATTCGCTTCGAAGATAGACGAATTTTACGAAATGATGCCTCAGGGTATGGAGGTTGGGGGAGTTTACGGCGTTCTTGGTAAGAATATCCGAGTCTTAAGGTCCGACTGGAGAAGGCTAACGTCGTTGAGAAGGCGGGCATACACGGACAATATTCTACGACATGAACCAGGCGCTCAGGATGCTAGTTCTAAGGATAAAAATCGACGCATGGTCCCACGGCATCGACGAGCGAACCCGAGTCTTCAACCGCGAATACCTCACGAATTTGTACCTGCACCTGCCTCCCCGTCGCTTCTATTTCTATCTGCAGTTGTGTCGAAGAATGCACGCCGATGAACCGGATTATGACATTGAGATATCTACTAGCTCTAATTTGATGCCTAGCCCTGAGGAATGCATCGCAATGGGTAAGTAGCCAGGATTATCTCCGCTCCTAGCCTGCATTGGTTGATAGACGCGATTATACTACGTCCTCCTGTCGGCACAAGAATCTAGTCGTTAATACGCACAATAGGGGCTCGCTCGCTTGTTGGGCCAGTAGAGCTGAACAAGTTGATGTTTAGGACTTTTACCATCTCTACTTTCATGGCGCACAGAGATTTTGAGGACTCTTGGATACCCGCATCCTCAACAGGGGGTCGAATCCCTGGCCCTGAGTTACAATGCCTCGCGAATTTCCGCTTTCAAGGTAAGGATCCATCTAACTCTCTATAAATCATTTCAGCTTGGCTAAACGTGACGGACCGCGAAGATTCTATTTGCATGTGTGGTAGGTTCTCCCCTCTCGCCGAATCAGTATGGTCATATCTACTTGAAAACCTGGCTGACCCGGAACTGCTAGATATCCCTGAAGTTGCCCAAGCCGCCAGGATCTTCTTTTTTTCTGCAGGTCCTCCGCTGGATTCGTCGGAGATGGACGTCTTGGAAATGGTGGCCCGAGTCAGTGTGAGGTCTGTTTTCAAGGATATATTGGGAGGTAAGGTCGATGCGAAAGTAATGGATCAGTTCTGCGACGCTTTTTTCAACTACACATATCCAACCCCTCCAGTGGATTTTTTGTCTGACCAGCAAGAAGAGGAGGACTGTTCACAAGACTCGGATTAATGCCTACTAAATAGCCATCCCATTCAGTGGTGAGAGTAGACATCAATAGATGAGAACGAGCTATCTATGAGCTTGTGTTAAGTTTGGGTTCGACGAGGAGGCAAAGGCAGCACAGGCTACTGTGAGGATATTGAGCTGGCCGACAAGATGCCCTTTCCTGAGTGCAACTCGTCACCTCATCTAGATATCTTATGGGCCATAAGATGGGGCTAAAAGAATTCTCCACGACGTCTCTGTACGCCTCAAAATAGCCAAAACCAACCTTTAGCGTTCTCCAGTTCAAAGCTGCGTAAGTCCAAGACAAAACTCATGACACCCAAGTACACGTCACCAATCGCCAGTGTCTAACTGGCCGTCTTTCGGCACTCTTGAAGGGTGCCCCGGCGCATGAACTCGGCATTCTCTGTCCGAGACACTTCCCAACACTGCCTGTACAGGCATCAACGTAGAACAAAAGCCAGTCTTTCCTGCCGAGCCGGCTGATTTCGCCAACGTCCACCCTGTGGAGCTTCCAGGGACCATTATTTGATCCATTTGAGCCTTCTCCAGTCTCTTTTGTTTCCCTGTTGGCTAAGTGGAAATCTGAAGAACAGGCGAGAATGAGGATGGGGCCTTTCCCCGGCCACCTGTGTTTCTTCTCTTCTTAGGCAAAGTGAAAGGTAGCAAAGTTACTGGCAGGAAGAGAATAATTCCAGAGCCAGCGAGTTCTCAGGCCAGGCGAGAGGATATACACTTCAGGCACAATTCGGGAAAGATGACTCTTTGACGAGAAGGACTTTTTTGCTCCTTTTTATCAAACTTCAGGCTCTTGATGGATGACGCCCTAATTACGCGTTCTCTGGACGCTTGATCTATATAAGCTTGCCTTCTCTCCTGAGGCCGGCTCGTCTAACTCCTTCTCCTACAAAAAAGAGATTGCAATGAACGTCGCTTTGAAGCCATCTTGGTGCTGAACTTGGCATCCACCATACCTCTTTCTTGTCGAGGACCTCTAAGACACATTCTCTATCTGCGACAAACCACCGAACACACCGAGCCAGTCCAACATCCCTTCGCCCAAGAGTTCACCACTGCATGATTGCCTCTCACTGTAACAAGTAACGTCACCCCAATCTAAGGATCCCTGCCGGTATGGATTACCCTACCAATGCAGAATGTCTTCTGTCACGACTTTCATCCAAAACCCCAACATGTCAGACGACTTCCCTCATTCTTCTCGAAGGGAAGGGGTTGAGAGACAAAATGGATGAGACCTTCGTCTGGGATCAGGGGACGATGCAAACCTGCCACACGGCCGCACGGATGATGAGCTGGACTATCCAGTTGAACGGCGGGATACGACTGGAGATACTATCTTGGGCAGTCGCACTCATCGATCATGAAATGGTTGAGACAATGGCGACCATACAGAACAAGCCGATGGGAGAGGAAGATAACAAAAAGCCCCTTGGCTAGCGACACTCCCAGATCACTTGGGAAACCGATGATAGGCTCACGGCACTATGCATTGTGCCTCAAGATACTTGTCGACCTTCGAACTACAAGGCAAAGCGAGAAGGCAAAGGGAACTGGCGGACGATCCTTTCAAGCACGAGATGGCTTCTTCTGACAAGGGGGAACGGCATAGAAAGGATATCCCCGCAACACAACATGTTCGAACATCGGATGGAGAGACATCCATATCCGCGGAGGGAAGGTCAAGGGGAAAGACCGCACATCATCGTGGTCTAGGGAACCATGACTTTCCGACCTTCTCGAAGACTTCGACACGACGGGGCCATGCCTGATACATCGCACCCACGAAATGAAAAGAGTGGAGATATCAACAGTACGAGACCGGCCCCGAGAAGCAAGGTCGATCAACAGATACGAAAGAACAGCGAGGCAACTTTTCTTCCTGCAGCGGTCTAGGCGCCGTAGGAAGGACCGCATCCCACGAGTGAAAAGGTTTACAGCCCGTGGGGAGGTAGGGCGTATGCGGAGAAACGTTTCACGAAAGCCCCGACACTCTGGAGGATGTACCACCCCGGCGTGGAACAGAAGATTGAGGTGTCATGACGAAGCTGTCTTACATGGCAGCCTGCATTTGCAACACTTTCTATGGTGTCAGATACGCCGTGGGGAGATAGAACAGACACGAGAGAGGAAGCACGCACGGAAGAGAAAACAACCAGATGGAGTGTGGGGGGACATTCGTGATTGGGCCGGCATGTCATACAAAGTTGTATGATGGACGGCGCATGCGGTCACAGGGGAATATTTTCAAGCTGGTGCTCAGATGTTGGGGTTTTCTCCTCGGTTCCGTTGCATTCATCCTCTTCTCTGAATCTACACCCCGCGACTCACAGTTTTGTCTGATCATTTTCTCTCATTTTTTTTTTTTTTTTCTTTTGCCCTTTTTTGGTTCCTTACTTTCTTCTCCGACCCATTCTTCTCACATCAACCTTCCAATTTTGGGATGATGGGATGATTGACCGCGGTGGTGTTTTGGCCGTGGTTGTGTCTGATATTTGCCATCTGACACCCCAGCCATTTTAGCAGCCGCCGTTCCAAAACCGGCTCTTTCTACAATGAACCAGAGAAACTCAAGCCACCGCAGGAGCCACTCGAACTCGATCTTAACCTGCATGAGGGAGCCACAGATCATAATATTCCGATTAAGGCGGACAGCGTGGCGGCAAACGAATCAATCATCGAGGGTAAGAAGTGGCGAATATGACCTCGCCGATCAGGGGTGGGTTGTTTGTATGAGCGTGCAGCGCACGCTCTACAGGCACATCATGGGATGAAAAGAAAAAAGGAAAAGAAGAAGAAGAAGAAATGATAATCCAGAAGGAACACCCCACACCCTACTGTTTCGACTTGGAGCCCCCCATCTTTCAAACTCCCCGAGCGTGCACTTTGATACACGGCAACCGCAAGGAGAGGCCTGTCGGAGTGCAACAATACCGCATTGGATCCTAGCTAGGCGAGCCAGCAAGGCGAGCCTCGACTGACACTGCAAACAAGTCGACTCGCTGGCCTCTTTGATTACAGGACTAGCGTGTGTTTATGCCAGATCACCTTCACTCTCGCGATTCTCTAAGGTTCAGACGATTTCCTCCATTCACAATACCATGGCTCTTCACTTGATCAAGTGGCAAGTTTTGGAACCAAGATCAACCCCGCAACCGCAGAGACCGACGTGGGTAGGTTGAGGCTGGTTCTTCCGGAAGAGATTGTTCGATTGTCGCCTCGCAGAACCATCAACCCTTCCACGTTTGTGGCGCGAGTGTGGGGGTTTAGGCCAAACGATGGGCCAAGCAAGATCTAGAAATTCCCTGCCAGGGAAGGAGCAAGGCCCCCATGACAGATCGCCGGTCTTGAAAATGCTTTTCCTCGCCCAGGAGCATGGCCAGCACGGTTCGGCACTCTCCTGCACAGAATGTGGCTGGCTCCCCTTGTTCGAATAGGCCTGCCCACAGTCCAGGGAGTGGCCAAAGCCATTTATCTCTGATCCTCTCACCGACCATCAGATGGTATTATGAGCACGAAGTACTTCAAGTGGAAGTATTCTCGGTCAGACGAATTTAACCCCCTCTCCAACCCCCCCTAAAAAAAACCAAAAAAAAAGGCAAGGAAAAAAAGGATCGCGCCCGTGTTTCTTTCATTTGCACCTAGTAGCCTTGGTGTTAATGGATACGCAGCTCGCTTGGGGCGGGCAAAATTCAAAGGGGTTGTGGATGACGGTCTCGGGATAAAATCATCCTGAGCCTGAGGTGCAGTATTCAGCAGGTGACGTTTCATGCTGCTGAAGCACTTGTACCCAGAGGAACGGGTCCAGAATAAGGCTTCTTCAACTCGTCAACAAGTCTGCATGGCAGTCGCAGCGGCGGTCGGTCTTTTCCCTTTTCCGAGATACTAGCAAGTTGGCATTGCCTTTTGCTGCTTCTCTACCCGTACATGAGAGGCTGATGAAACCTCCTGCGAATACCGCCTATTAAAAGTACGCTCAGGCCAAGGCGACGATCCTCAATATCATCATGCCAGCAGAGGGAGACCTATGTAAGAGGGTAAGTCACGGGGTGGTCTGGCGGGCAGGATCTTCGGCTAGGTGCGCGAGGGCCAGACTGCGAGTAATCGCAACTCAGTCAGCCCAAAGCTTGGGGCATTCGGAGGAAGCACGGGGCAGTGGATCTCGCATGGGAAGCCGGCCAGGGCTTTGTGAGAGGCAATCGTAGAGCAAGGGCAGAAGGATCGGAGATCTTGCCGAGCGCCGCTGACAAAGTTGTTTGATCCCCGATGAAATGACGACATTATTGCCCGTGGTTT